CCTCAGTGTCCTTAATAAAATCATCAATTTACATCATGTAATTAGTAAAATCTGAAATCTTTCCCACAATACCACCAACATGTTGGAGATGCCAAGATGCAGAGGTACACTGGTACACATCTGGTGGGAATGCAGTCATATCATTCCGTACTGGAATCAGATTAGACTGGATGTACAGTCGATCCTAGGAGAAGACACTGAATGGTCAGAAGAACTAGCCTTACTACACATTTCCTCACAATCAACTTCCACATACAAAAGATCAATAATACGCCACTTATTAAATGCTGCCAAATCACTCATACCGGTATACTGGAAGAAAACTGACATCCCCACACGGGATGACTGGATCCACAGAGTCGAAGATATTAGGGCCGCAGACGCACTTCAGGCGGACCAGGCAGGGGAAGGAACAAAATACGTGGCGGCCTGGGCGCCATGGTTCACCTTCCGTGCGAGAACAAAAAAGGGGCACTAAGGGGTGGGGAAAGGGGGGTCGGAAGATGGGGCAGCCCTCCTACCACTCCCATACGTTCCGCTAGATATATAACTACTCTCTTACGCTGACGGATAAACGAAAGACACCTGACACACTGACTACAGCACAATTACCCCTGACATGGGGAAACCACATATAGGGATGACTGTAAGACAGACGCGGGGAGTTTCACGCACATACTTCTAGATGACAACAGAGACCATTCACCGCCCCTGCACCAACCATAAGACACTGGAGATGGGGTACAGACTCACCCGCAACACGAACAGGGTACCCAGACCTCATTAAATGCACGGGCACAGGTGGACGCAGTGAGATCTCCTTAATGACCCCAACACTAGTAGAGACTGATGAAAACTTGACGGAAACTCAGTTGATTAACTTATACCAATTTTGACACTATAATACAGGAGAGCGACAGCTCACTCGGACCTTAAATTACGCTCAACTCGCAATATCGAGGGGACGAAACACAGTAAACTAAATGCCATCCAAGACAATAGGAATAACCTTGAACCACATATAGCAACATAACATGACACCCAATGGAAGACTCTATTTTCCCACCCAAACAACCTTACCACTACATCCAAATAGATGCCCCTCTCATTCACCACACTCGAAACAAAGCAACCTGACATCATACAGGCCAATCAGGGAATAAGACCAGGGGCCTGGAGGGCTATCTAAGTCACTGGGAAGCCACCCACTGAAGAACAGGAGATGCCCAATCATAGGAATACACAGGATAACCCACCATGGACCTAATGCATTATGTAATACTAACCTACTTGGTGACAGGAATAACACAAGGAAAGGGACCATACGGTACGAAGGGGCCTTTATTTTATTTTCAATTTTATTTTATTTGATATTATTTTATCTTATTATACATTCTCTATCCTATCTCACATCATGCTACATTACCCTATTAACTCACATCACACTACACAACACCCTACCCCTACAATATATTGATAAACAATGAATAAGACTTAAGCCAGTATGTATGCAACACAAATGTATCTATGGAAATCTGTAGAACCAAGTTGGTACAGCACCCAACAATATTAAATGGAAATATAAGATGTCAACACTAAACAAGAATGCAACAAAAACGGATATTCAATGTTACAACTGAATAATGATACACTGTGTATTATGAGCCTTTCTAATGACCCGTTTTTGACAAATTCTGTATTTGCAAAAATGTACCAACACTATATTTTCAATACAGGCCTGCGAGCCTAAGCGTTATCTTGTTCATACATTAATAAAAACTGATTTACAAAAAAACATTTGTAAAATCTGGTAAAAAAGCGTGGCAAATTGCGAATCGCAAGATGGCCACTGCGATGCGCGGGAGCGAACCGCACATGCGCAGGTTACACTGATAGCGATTTTTAGCCCCGAGGTTGTCCCGCAAACAGTGGGAAACTGGGTTATAAACAACCCGAATAGCAGTGGAAAGGGTGTGCTTCAGGGGAGGGGTAAGGAACCCTGTAATGGAAAAATGAATCAACAGCATATAAGATAATATAAATACAGACCAATACAGTAAAATAATGTACAAATATCCTAGTACAATTAGCAAATTACAACACAAATCTGTAGAGCAAAAAATTATGAGGCAAAGAAAGAGGGAGTGGCTTAGGTCACATGAGAGTACATGGAACAAGGACTGATCCCATTGGTTGAATATGCTAGAATGTTAAATAGTCAACCCTTTAACCCCTTAAGGACCGAGGACGGTTCAGGACCGTCATCGGCATTTTTGCCTTGAGGACCGATGACGGTCCTGAACCGTCCTAACGGTCAGAGCTACTTACCTGATCGCCGTCGTTCCCCCGGCGGCGATCATCGTGGCTCCGGTTGTGGGGAGACTGCCTGCAGCCCAGACAGTCTCCCCACGGCAGATTAGGACCCCTGTGGCCATGTGATCGCTTAACACAGCGATCACATGGTCACAATAGGTGTCCATGTGTCTGCCTGCAGGGGACTGTCTGTGCTGACAGGCAGTCTCCCTGCTAGTGTAAAATCAGAAAAAAAATAAAGTTAGTGTTAATAAAAAAAATAAAAAAAATTATATATGTGTATATATGATATATAGACATATATTATATCTATATAATATATGTCTATATATCATATATATAATGCCATACTAAGTGTATTTTTATATTAATATGTACTTATATTAATATAAAAATACACTTATAATTAAATACACACGTATATATATAATATATATAATAACTATATATATTGTATATATATTATTATAAAATATAAATAATATAGTATTATAAAAATATAAATAATAGTAATTTAAATTAAATTTTTTTTAAATAATAATAAAAAATTAAAAAAATTATATAGCTATATGAAATTTTATTCTAACTGTATTTTAAAATTATATATATATATTTATATCAAAATACACTTAGAATGAATTTGTATATATATCTATGTATATAAAAATAAATAAAAATAATAAGAAATATACATACGTCCATATACAAAATTACATAAATAATTATATAAATATACACGTAGACTTCAAATATATAAATATGCATATATATTTAAATTCTACGTGCGTATTTATGTAATATTTTTACATAATTCAGTAATTTTATTGATTGCAATTTGAGAGACCTGCCTGCCAACCCAGGCCGAAATTCCAGAGAATTTAATTTGCTAGCACTGTATTTTACCCTGTAGCGTTCTACGACACCCTAAAACCTGTACATGGGGGGTACTGTTTTACTCGGGAGACTTCGCTGAACACAAATATTAGTGATTCAAAACAGTAAAACATATCACAGCGATGATATTGTCAGTGAAAGTGAAAGTTACTTTTTTTGCATTTTTCACACACAAACAGCACTTTTACTGATGATATAATTGTTGTGATACGTTTTCAGTTTTTAAACACTAATATTTGTGTTCAGCTATGTCTCCCGAGTAAAACAGTACCCCCCATGTACAGGTTTTATAGCATTTTTGAAAGTTACAAGGTCAAATATATAGGTCAAATATTTTTACATTGAAAATGGCCAGGTTGGTTACGTTGCCTTTGAGAGCGTATGGTAGCCCAGGAATGAGAATTACCCCCATGATGGCATACCATTTGCAAAAGAAGACAACCCAAGGTATTGCAAATGGGGTATGTCAGTCTTTTTAAGTAGCAGCAGTACAAACACTGGCCAAAATTAGCATTCAATTTGGTTTTTACTTTTCACACACAAGCAAATATATGAATGCTTACTTTGGTAGTGTTTTCATTTAAAGTGGCTACTAAAAGACTGGATATTAATACCCTGGGTTGTCTACTTTAAAAAAATATGTACATGTGGGGTGTATTTAAGATTTATAGGCAAGATAATAGTGTTTACAATGTCACTATTGATAAATTTTAAAAATGTATGTTTTGAAACACTTAATATCACCACTTGCTTTACCTATAGCCTATAACATGCAAAAAAGCAAAAGAAGCAAACACTAGGTATTTTTAAACTCAGGACAAATTTGAATCTATTGCCCGGTTTTTTCGTTGTAGATGATAAAAAGATTTTTTAAGTAAAATTAAAAACATATTTTTCAGTACCATCAGATTTTTGTATTTTTTAATTAAATTATACTCAAATAATGGTATCTAGAAAGCCCCTTTTGTCCTGAAAAAAACTATATATAATTTGTATGGGAACAGTAAATGAGAAAGCAGAAAATTACAGCCAAACACCACAAAAGTGTAAAAATATGCCTGGTCGCAAATGTACAACATCGCAAAAACAGTCCAGTCCTTAAGGGGTTAAGGGGTATTTGTTTTGTTTTTATATTAATACATTAATATAATTTATTTGCTGCTGAGGAATAAATTAAGAGATAAAGCCTAATATGAGCCTCTGTGTCCTTTAATAAAATTCTTGTTGTATACAATTTAGAATTTGGTGTAAACTCTACAGATTCATTATGCCTTTTCTAAATGGTACAAACTGATAGTGGAGGTGTCATTATGTTGTGGAATATTTTATTTTCTGAACTTTAGGAACTGCACTTAATCCCATCACTCTGAGCCAGGGTGCAACTAAACCTGGACCCAGCAGCAGGTCCCAGATACCATATGTAGAAAACAAAGAAAGGTTTAGGTGCTCCAAGGTCCAACAAAGGCAAATTTATTAGAACCAAAAGACAAGCAGCAACGTTTCAACCTTTTAGGTCTTTCTCAAGCTTGCTTTATAGTCATCTGTACAGTTAGAGTATTGTGTGAGGTGCGCAGGTCTTGGAGGGAATCCTTCAGGGAAGACATGCCTGCTCTTATTTCCTGAATGTCTTCTTCCGAGACTCTGACCCTCTTTGTAACTCGGTTTCAACAACTGCAGCAAATAGCTTTTGTATTATTTATTTTTTAAATAGGTTTGCAATGTCGTACATGGGACAGCGTTTTCAGTAGCCCCAGTACTGATTTGATTAGTCCTTAATAGTAAAGGTGCTGGTGATGGATCCAGTCTACAAGCCTCAGGAGACACGTGGCTGGCCTCCTAGCCATCTTAGAGGGGACCTGCCTTTGCAGCATGGTGCCACTGGAGGCTTCTGGGATCTGCGTCCCATTTGTGTTGGATTGGAGCTGCCTAGGTGAGTATTCTGCTGTGTGTGGGGTTACCAAGGGGGCTCCCGTTATCAATACGACATTGGGACAAGTGGCGCAGCCGTTTTGAACCAGAGCCATACAAAAAGGGCATCAATCTGTAGGGGTTGATGTCCTGCAGCAGTTGGGTTCAGTAATGCAGGGCAATGCTATGTGGTGGGCTTGATGTTCACCCGATTAGCCGCAGTGGTTGCAGAGCTCCACCATATATATATTATTTTTAAGCTGTAAAATAGGAAAGTGAAACTAAAAGTGAAAATTAAAAAGTGCAGCCCTGTGAATTTAGTTGATTAAAGAAGGTATGTGCATGCATTTATAGAAACTTAACTCTAACAATAGTAGGAACCTATGTAAGGACTGACAAACTATAGGACAAATCCTTTTCCCCAGTTTCAATGTAACCTAACCAAATAGCTAATAAATTGTGCATTCATCAGAATTTTGAGCATTCAGTGATTCACACAACATCCCAAAAGCTATATTGACGAATCACAAAACAAATGAAGCAGACAATGGTCAAAAGAGTTCTAGCCATAGAGCCGCAAAATAGATGATCGATGGTCCCGGCCCCGGGTGCCATCCTGGTTCTTGGGGGGTTTGAAGCAGGAATGTATTATGCAAAGCATGTTTTACATGTGGGGTACACTAACAAAACATGCACAAGGCACGCAGTACAGTATAAGAAGGCAAATGCGGGTGGGGGCGTGTGCGTCGCATGATTACGTACAGATTTATGAACATAACCTGGTTGGGGATAACCCGAGGATCCCCATCATAACTTTTGTGAACCCTAACGAGGTAGAGGGAACACCCAACAGCCACAATTAAAACACCAAATAAAACAAAAATACCTATTGACAACTGGCTACCGATGCTCTACTCCACAGAACATGACACCATTGAGGTTAAGAGTACAGAGCTAAGGCGGGTGAGGGGCTGCTGAGCTGGGTGCTGCTGTGTCGTCATCTCCCTCTGAGGGGCTTGGCCCTCCATTCCCCTCAGCCCGTTCACTGCTTTCAGGCTATATCTGGGTCGCTCATACCAGCTGGATGACTTTCCCCTCTGACCACCCCCCCTTGTATCACCAGTGCCTCTACTGCCCCGACCTCTCCTACGCAATTTAATTGGTTCTGTTAGGTTTTACATGGGGCCTTATTGGAGTTCACATTCCCCCTATCACCTGGCAACAGGTTAGATCAGGGTTTGTTTTTTGTACATATTTTGTTTTCTGTTGGTATTCTCTTTCTCCTTATTCCTATCCTTCTCACCCCCTGCCCCTGTATTTTCCCTTCCCTCCTTGCCGTCATGCGGGACAGACGGAACCCATCGCCTATACAGATCGGGACCACCTTCGGGTCACGAGGAGTACTTTTTACAGATTACATTTATCTATATGCATTCCTCATACTACTATTAATACTGTTGTCATTAAAATCTTTCATATAACTTTAATGTTAGCATATGTACAAAAGCCATATTTATTTATTTTTTTGAAACCAAAAGGGATATATTTCCTTGGTTTTTGTTTTGGTTCTTGTGTGTATTCTAATTAATTAGCTAAAAAAGCGACAATTTCTGGGGAAATTGTGTAAAGTGTTCTTGCCTCCACCAGTAGTCTACAACTGGAGTGGGCGGAGTAACTGTTGGTAAGTAACATTTTTAGTAACATTTTTAGTGGCAGCAGGGATAGCTGAACGTTTTGATATAACATTTGTGTAGGTGGGCCTGAAAATGAGGGAGTGGTGGCAGTTTAGAAATCATATCCTGATTTTTCAGCTTTTGCTAGCTCCCACGCTAGTTTTGCCATTCATTCCTATGGGACCAATTTTGCCACAAGAACGACGATATTGCGTTAACCATTCGGCAAAACGTTCCACAAAGTAATAGCAATCCAATTGGGAACAATCTGCACGTTTTGGTATATTTCTGTCTATGTAGTGTAAAAACTGTGGGAGGAGATAGGGTGGTACATTTGGCTATAATAATAATAATAATAACTAGAAAAGTTAAAATTTCAGGGGAAATTGTGTGAAGTGTTCTTGCCTCCCCCTGTAGTCTACAACTGGAGTGGGCGGAGTAACTGTTATCATTTACATAGCACATTTAATTGCAACGTTGTTGCACAGTTACATTAAACCATACATTTATAAAAACATTAGCAGGTGTTCAAAAGGCCCTGTCTATGACATCACTTGCTGCTGCAGCTTGACACAGGTCAGAGTATTTTGGTGGTTGCCATCTTCAAACGGTCGTATCTTAAAACTATAACTCCTACAGTGAAGAGCTTTATATTGTGAGAATCACAAGACCCAGACCTACATTTGATGCATAGTATGTCTCTGAAGTATTAAAATTGAAGGCACAGTCGCAGTTTAGAAATTGCACTTCAAATTTGAGCTTTGCAGAGTGAAGTTTCAATGAATGTCAATGGACGGCGTTGGTTGCAAACAAATGGTCATATTGTGAAAACTATCAGGACTACGGCTTAGCCGTTGACATGTTTAGTGGCAGCAGGATTAGCTGAACGTTTTGATATAAGATTTGTGTAGGTGGGCCTGAAAATAAGGGAGTGGTGGCAGTTTAGAAATCATGTCCTGATTTTTCAGCTTTTGGCAGCTCCCATTCTAGCTTTGCCATTCATTCCTATGGGACAAATTGCGCCACAAAAATGACGATATTCCGTGAACCATTCGGCGAAACGTTCCACAAAGTAATAGCAATCCGATCGGGAACAATCTGCACGTTTTGGTAAATTTTGGTCTATGTAGTGTAAAAACTGTGGGAGGAGTTAGGGTGGCAAATTTGGCTATAATAAGAATAATATATATGTGAGATAACAATAAGTGTTCTTGCAAGAACACTTAATAAGAATATATATGTGAGATAACATTAAGTGGTCTTGCTATGCAAGAACACTTAATAATAATATATATGTGAGATAACAATAAGTGGTCTTGCTATGCAGGTCTTATGTCCGTCTTAATGTAGACGATTCCCACAGAGGAAATTTAAGCCAGGTGATACAGCGTGATTATAGTCTTGAGAAAGTTCTGTGAGAGGAACAAAATGCGTGGGCGCCACAGACATATCAGCTGTTTACTGTTCTCCAATAGATCTCCAGAGACTGATTCACCATTTACCTCTGCCTTTTTTGAAGATTCCGACCACGGCATCCATATAACTGTGATCCAGCCTGCGATTACCTGTCAGCTTACCAGCAATATACCACGACTGAGTGCTCAGCAACAACTAGAAGCCTTCACCGAAGAAACTAGTTTTTTCTCAGTTTCGATTTTTCACGTGGCGTCCTTTACCTCAGGTGGGGCCCACACCGAGGTCAAGTACTTTCTATCTTATAGTATAGTAAGAATTAGGGAGTTTAAGAGAGGGTTAGTGAAACACAAACCACCCACCATAAAATCCCTTAAGTGGAGCGCTAAATGATACTTACCCCTAGTCTTAGGGGTATCAATCAATTCAAAATGGAGGTTTGAATATGCAAAAAAAAAGGCAAAAATTTCAATAGTGGAGTATGTCAAACCTAATACATAGATAGTACAATATATATGATTCAACTCACCAGTGAAGAGCCAAGTGAGGGACTGGCTCAAATCACATTCGCCTTGGTGTATATTGAGAGACACCTTCCCTCTTTCAATGCTCATGAGGAAATATTTAAAAGCAAATATATGTCCCTGGTGAAGTATGTCACAGCATGCCATGCTGAATTTCGGAAGTGACGTCACGTCCATCCGTCACTTCCGGTGTGGGTATCGTCATTTTCCTTACTGGCGTTTCCTTATGATATTCAGGGTGTCCAATGTTCATAAGTAGGGGTATTTATACCCATAAGTCTATTATCACTCATATGCACATAAAAAAAATGACAGGGAAGAGAACATTAAAATATTGGTGGAATAATGCAAATTCTCATGGAAAATTAACATATCTAAATAAGTGAAATGTACAGATTGATATAATGAGATTCTATTATGCCTCATAAATTTAAAGTGCTATACTCATATAAAACCCCCAATCTTGTAATTGACCTATATCCAGATATGCTGTATATCTGTAATTTGGATTATTACGAGCTGAAGCATTCAACTGACAAGAGATTTTAGTAAATCAAATGTCAATTTTTTAGACCTTAACATTTACGTAGAAGATACTCAGATTAAGACTAAAACATATTTTAAGTTAGTAGATGTCAACAGCTATGTAGAAGAGGGAAGCTGTCGTTTCTCTTCATGGCTAAGAAATGTACCAAAGTCACAATTGTTAAGAATTAAATGCAATTGCACAGAAGAAGAGGAATTTAACCAACAATCCAAGAAAATTCTGAGTGATTTTATTAATAAAGGGTATGAGGAAGAACTTTTAAATAAGGCCCTTGAGGAAACTCTCTTAAAAAACAGAGAGGAACTTTTAATTTCAAATAAATAAAAAAAAATGACAATTGGGATAATCAAATTTCATTCATTTGTGATTTTAACTGTAAATATAATGATGTCCAAAAAATCTTGAACAAATACTGGCAAATATTGACAAAAGATGATATATTAAATTCCATACTCCAAGAGAAACCAAGAATAATTTATAGGGAGTACCGGACTTAAAAAGCAAGTTAGTTCACAGCCATTTACAGAAAACCAGGCCCCAAAAAAATCCATTTAATGAAGAAGGAGACTTTTATGGCTGTGGAAATTGTGGGGCATGTACTAATACCAGAAATAAAAAAGACACATCAAGGAATTTATACATCCTAAGAACGAGAAAGAAAAATTCCCCATAAAACAGCTTATTACTTGCCATTCGAAAAGAGTAATTTATATAATCATCTGTATGTGTGGTCTACTCTATGTAGAAAGGACCACACGGGCACTATATGTTAGAATCCAGGAACATGTTCGCAACATTAAAATAGGATTCGATAAAACATAGTCTTTCTTATCATTTTAAAATGAAACAGAAAATGAATACAAAAAGTCGTAACAAATTGGAGGGGAGAAGATCTCATTACTGCAATGGATAAACCGGAGATGAGATGGGTTTTCAATTTAAGTCCCTTCTCCCCTACGGGCTAAATAGTGATTTTGAGTTATGTAATTTTTTACAATATAATTTTTTATTTGTTTTTTAGTAATTTTACTCATCAAGTTGTCACGGTAGTTTACCCCAACTCGCAAGATTTAGTCCAACAATTGACAAAATAGAGCAGATACGTCTTACCGGACCTTAGAATGGCCGGACTCGACATAGAGCAGAGAAATACAGAGTCAGGAACGATCCGAGGTCAAGGGTACAAAGAGACAGCGAAAACAAGAACTAGCTAAGGTCTGGTACACAGTAATCAGTAAGCCGGCAAACAAGACAAAACAGGGATAAAGAGATAAACGGAGTCAAATACAAAGCCAAGGTCAAGTACGAAAAATCACAAATGAACAAAACAAGCGCTAAAGGGAACTGAAACAGAAACCACGATAGGGCAGGGAGTTAAGGGAGAGGCAAGTATAAATACCCTAGCATTTAATTTGATTGGCCCCTATCATATCCATGCCCCCAAAATGTGAGTGTATGGGGAATGTGGAATGACAGGTGCCAATGGGAGACCGTTTTAGTTTTCGGCTCCCACTTTCCCTTTAAGAGTGTGCCCGAGACACACGGCGCACTCTTGGTGCTAGGCGGGACACGCGACCGCATTCCGCGGTCAGTGCCCGCCATCATCCGAGCTCTGAGTGAGCCGCGCGCGGCGGGAACTGAGGACCTCGGCTGGCCCCCGGATAAGGTAAGTACCGCTACACAAGTATTCTAGTGATGTTTATTTTTCATTTTTTAATATTTATCTATTTTTTTGTATATTTTAGTATTCTTTCCAACAGCCTATAATAATCCAAATTATAGATATACAGTATATCTGGATAAAGGTCTATACAAGATTGGGGGTTTTATATGAGTATAGTGTCAGAATTACAAGTTGATCCAGCACGCAGTACTGTGTCACACATAGGACTAAGGATAACGTATAACCGGACCTTAGAATGGCCGGGCTTAACGTATCCAAGAATAGTCAAAATACTAGCCGAGGTCAGGGATACAGAATCAGACACAAAGTTGAGGGAAAGCCAAAAGTCAAGGATACCAGATATCAGGGAAGTCAAAACAGAAATACAGAGTCAGGAACGATCCGAGGTCAAGGGTACAAAGAGACAGCGAAAACAAGAACTAGCCAAGGTCTGGTACACAGTAATCAGTAAGCCGGCAAACAAGACAAAACAGGGATAAAGAGATAAACGGAGTCAAATACAAAGCCAAGGTCAAGTACGAAAAATCACAAATGAACAAAACAAGCGCTAAAGGGAACTGAAACAGAAACCACGATAGGGCAGGGAGTTAAGGGAGAGGCAAGTATAAATACCCTAGCATTTAATTTGATTGGCCCCTATCATATCCATGCCCCCAAAATGTGAGTGTATGGGGAATGTGGAATGGCAGGTGCCAATGGGAGACCGTTTTAGTTTTCGGCTCCCACTTTCCCTTTAAGAGTGTGCCCGAGACACACGGCGCACTCTTGGTGCTAGGCGGGACACGCGACCGCATTCCGCGGTCAGTGCCCGCCATCATCCGAGCTCTGAGTGAGCCGCGCGCGGCGGGAACTGAGGACCTCGGCTGTCCCCCGGATAAGGTAAGTACCGCTACACAAGTATTCTAGTGATGTTTATTTTTCATTTTTTAATATTTATCTATTTTTTTGTATATTTTAGTATTCTTTCCAACAGCCTATAATAATTCAAATTATAGATATACAGTATATCTGGATAAAGGTCTATACAAGATTGGGGGTTTTATATGAGTATAGTGTCAGAATTACAAGTTGATCCAGCACGCAGTACTGTGTCACACATAGGACTAAGGATAACGTATAACCGGACCTTAGAATGGCCGGGCTTAACGTATCCAAGAATAGTCAAAATACTAGCCGAGGTCAGGGATACAGAATCAGACACAAAGTTGAGGGAAAGCCAAAAGTCAAGGATACCAGATATCAGGGAAGTCAAAACAAAGCCAAAGTCAAATACCAGAAAATCAAGATCAGGAACGCACTCTCGGATAACCAAATGCATGAAACCACGACAGCACTGAGCAAGAGGAGAACTGGGCCTAAATACCCCTCCTCTGGATCCGATTGGTTGTAACCGGCCTTTGACCCCAAAGGCAATTAGCAGGTGTGCCTGATTGCTGCTCAGCTAAACCCTCCTGTGGATTTGATTGGCCATGACCTGTCTTTGACCACAAAAGTAATTATCAGGTTTGCATTTGCATGATTGTTACTTGGCACAACTTTTCCTGGCAGGAAGGTAATGTTGCTCGGCACAACTTTTCCTGTCAGGACAGTAAATGCTATTAACCACATTTTTATGTGCGAATGAATACGTGACATATAGCACTTTAAATTTATGAGAAATAATAGAGCCTCATTATATCAATCTGTACATTTCACTTATTTAGGTTTGTTAATTTTCCGTAAGAATTTGCATTATTCCCCCGATATTTTAATGTTCTCTTCTCTGTCATTGTTTTTATGTGCATATGAGTGATAATAGACTTATGGGTATAAATACCCTTACGTACGAACATTGGACACCCTGAATATCATAAGGAAATGCCAGTAAGGAAAATGGTGATACCCACACCGGAAGTGACGGATGGACGTGACGTCACTTCCGTAAATCGGCATGGCAAACATGATCAGATGTGAAGGAAACGCTTACAAACCCGACGGACCTGATTGGACAATTAAGAAGCAGAGAGGACAACTCAGGAGCAAGACTGGGGATTTAAAAGGAAGGAGGTAATGAGAAAGAGATCAACTTCAATTGAAAAAGCCAGAGGAAAGGGCGAAACGCATCTCAAGAAGATTTCCAGCATACAGGACAGTGTTTTTATTGTTTTGTAAGATATATGTGTTACTTTTTAATACTTTAAATAAATTAATCAATTGGATCATTTTTTAGTCCCTATTTTGCTGCTATCTCCATCTACCTCCAAAGAAGGTGTTTATACATTGTACTCATAGTATTGATTTTTTACCATTGTTTTTTTTTACCGATATAAATGAACACAAGTTTTATGTGTTTTACATTTGATACATGCTGACACACCATAAACCCACACGCTAGGTTGTAACACGCTGCTTCATTTTTTGAAACTGTTGCAATTTTCCTGGCCTGATGTGTTCTGGTGGCAGTTCTTATTTTTATTATCAAAGCATTATCGGCAGCCACAGTATGCTGTGATTGTGGTATTTTACATCTGCCTATCTATAATTATCAGGATTCTCTTGTATATGTGAATTGCTTCTTGAATATAAATTGAGTGTTATTTAAGAGAGGAGTAAGGATTTCAGCAATATTTTTTAATTTTTTTTATTTTATTTTGTATTAAAGAATTATCTGTTCTCTCTGTACAAACAGTTTCTTTTTGCTATGTATATTGTTTAGGAGCGCACATACTATTTTGTATATTTACAGCAAGAATAAAAGCACACAGGGAGGGGGCATGGCCTGACCGAGGACCGAGCTTGACGCACGAGGCTAGAACTCCGTCCGAAACCGCCGCCTAAAGCAAAAATTAGCAGAGTAACCTGGGAGGCAATACCATACACAGCCTACATGGATAAACGAAACCCCAAGAAACAGCCCAAGAAGGGCCAGGACCTGGGAGCTTCAGTTGCCGACATGTTCGCGGCTGCAAAACCCAACAGGCCCAAGATGGCGCCGGCGCAGGCCACGCCCCCTCGTCCTCGCCACAGTGGTGTGCCTCCCCAGCGACCCAACTGACAGGGGATGCACCACAGATCCTGGCACAATTGGCAAAAGTAAAGCACTTCCTCTCCAGGGATATCAAAAAATCCACTGCGGTCTTGCAGGGTGAGATACAGGCGCTGGGGGCCAGGACCACAAGACTGGAGCACAGGCAGGAGGCCGCAGTAGACTCTCACAACTCAGCTGTCCTGCAAATAAATCGCCTTACTGCACGCCTGAGGACTGCTGAAGTGGCGATAGAAGATATGGCAAACAGATCCAGGAGGAACAATTTACGTCTCAGGGGGCTCAATGAAGTCACGGGAGAAGGCCCTCTACCTGACCTCGTCCTCACGATCCTGCGGCCTCTTCTCCCTGACTTACCCGATCACCTGTGGCATATTGAGCGTACACATTGAGCGCTAGGACCACGACGTACAGACCAAAACCACCCTAGGGATATAATAATGCGCTTCTTCTACTTCCAAACAAAAGAAGCCCTCCTAAAGAAAAGCAGAGAGGTACCCATTCTACATAATAGTATCACTTTATCTCTATAACAGGATTTGGCCCCCACCACGCTGCAGAGACGCAGAGAATGGAGGCCCATCACCGATGCCCTACGGGCCGCTAACATCAGGTACACCTGGGGCTATCCATTCCGGCTCATGGTGTTTGGAGGGGATCGCACGCATGTACTTCAGCCAGGAGACTGTGTCATCAGGTTGTTACAGGCCGACAGAACAAGAGGACTTTTGGCCTGTTGGCCTGAGACTGGCATCTTGTAGATCATCAACAAGACTGAGGACCTAGCAGATCAACACCTCTAATGGACATTCCGAGGGACTGCCCTGAAAGGGGAATTGGGTGAGCTTTCTTGGAACCTACCATGGGGCGATAGCGAGGACCTAACAACGGTACTATGACTCTTAAGCTGACCTTCCTTAATGTTAAGGGGCTCAATTCCCCCAAAAAGCGATGTCTCATGTTCCGTGAGCTGAAGCGCTTGCGCCCCGACATCGCCCTGATTCAGGAGTCTCACTTACCTAGACAAGCCACCCTTGCCCTCAGAGACGACACGTACAGCACCATAGTAGAAGCTAGAGCACTTAATAAACATAACAGGATGGCAGTTCTGCTGCGCCGCGACTGCCCCATCAGAGTCACAGCCACCGATATCGACCAAAACGGACGTACCTAATTCTTTCAGGCACAATACACTCACAAGTAATATCCATAATCAACACATACGCACCAAATTCACCCGACACGGCATTCTGGAGTAGCCTGGAGAGTAAGATCCGCTCCCTCCCACATGGCATACAGATCCTGGGGGCGACTTTAATGCGGTCCCATGTCCAGCTGTAGACAGGAGCCCCAAGAGGGGTCAACCATGATCACATGGCAGGGGCGCCCAGGACAAGGCCTTCTATGGCTTTCTGAAATCAACGGGTCTCATAGACATTTGGAGGACACAACATCCGGGTGATCATGATTATACCTTCTTCTCTGTCCCGCACCACACATACTCACGCATAGACCTGTTCTTAGTCAATAGTGCCACTGTACCGAAAGTGATCGACACCCGCATTGGTTCCACCACCTGGTCGGACCACTCAGACATACACCTGACGCTGGGCAATATAGGTGGGAAGGCCCCGTGGACATGGAGACTTAACACGCCCCTTCTTAAAGACCACCAGACAGTCATTACCATCACCGAGGAATTGTCCTCCTATTTTGCCACAAATGATTCTCCCGACCTGACAAGGGGAACTATTTGGGCAGCACACAAAGCTGTAATTAGAGGCCAACTCATAAAACTAGCTACACACAAAAAAGAGTCAAGATGCCCTACGGATTGCTGAACAAAAACACAAAACAGCCCCCACTGAGACCTTAGAAACAGTGAGACTGGCAGTGAAAGAACTCCTCCTAGAGGATGCAGCTCGTAGCCTCCTCTGGTCCAAACGGACCTTTTACGAGAAGGCGAATAGAATGGACACATACCTGGCCCTCACGCTGAAGCCGAGACAGGCGCGACTCCACATCACCTCACTGAGGCATCCAGACGGCTCCATAAAGACGATCCCCGTAGACATAGCTGCGGTTTTTACCGTTTATTGCAAAGATATGGCAAACATATTGTTTTACAATCACTCACCCACAACAACCCCCCAACGAAACGACGAAGCCAACTGGACCACTACCTTCTTGCGACAACTGAACCTACCAGGCCTGTCCCCCGGAGCGATAGCTGCACTCGACCAATACATAACGATTGATGAAGTTGACAGGGCTATATCCAAGCTGCACGGTAACAAAGCCCTGGGTCCCGACGGGTTCGGAGGTGACTATTACAAAACTTTTCGCGAAGTTCTACCTCCCCAGCTGGTGACCTTATTTAATGACTTCTGCGCTGGCGGACTACCCAACAAAGACATGACCTTGGCCAATATAGTCCTGATCCCTAAGCCTGGGAAGGACCCACAACAACCAGGGAGTTACAGACCCATCTCATTCTTTAACCATGACGCAAAACTACTGGCTAAGATCCTAGCAGAGAGACTTAACCCTTACTTACACGCATTGATAGACCCCGATCAGGTGTGATTTATCCCAGACAGACAATTATTCGAAAACACAAGACGAAACTGCTACATTATATCCAGTCCAGTCACTATACCATGGAGTCAGTCCAGGTGAGGCTACCCGGGGCCCTTGTGCGCCCCTTCTCACTCTCAAATGGCACTAGGCACTAGGCAAATGGCACTGTCTCCCCTCCTCTTCGCCCTGGCCTTGGAGCCTCTGTTACAGGCCTTTCGAGAACACCCTGAAATTAGGGGGGTGAGCGTGAGGGGCCAGGAGTCCCTAGTGTCAGTATATGCTGATGACATGCTCCTGACCCTCACATCCCCTGTCGCCTCAATGGGTGGGATCCGGGAGACCATATTAAGATTCAGCCCACTCTCGGGATACAAGATTAATATGTCCAAGTCCAGTGCCCTGCCCATAGTTATGCCCTCGGAAGACATAACTCACATACTCGACCATCACAACATCCAATGTGCAACACACATTTCCTACCTAGGCATCCAGTTGACAGCCGATCCGGCCGATATGTACAATTACAACTACCCTCCCATGTTCAGAGCCCTTATGGACAATTGGATGGATAAGCCCATTTCTTGGATTGGATGGATCCATTCAGTTAAAATGAATGTCCTCCCTAGGATTTTGTTTCTCTTCCAGGCCCTTCCCTTACCGATCACAAAGGCAGACCTGGCACACCTACAAAATCCCATTGGTAACTTTATTTGGCAAAACAAAAGGCACCGGGTAGTGAGACACATCCTATACCGTCCAAGGCAGATGGGTGGATTGGGCCTACCTAACTTATATTATTATTAGCCCAAATAACACAAATCGCAATATGGCATTCCCCAGTAGGGACAAGAAAGTGGGTAGAATTGGAGTCCCTCCTTATGGGAGCAGACCTATCACAATACACCATATGGGTCCCAAAGGACCGAGGACCCCTGCCGAGGACCAACTGCTCTGCCATTACCAACTCCATACATATATGGGACAGGACGGCCCAGAAATTTCACCGCTCCTCTGCACCATCCCCGCTCATGCCATTCCTGAGAAACAGGGCATTCATCCCAGGACTGATGGCACGTAACTTTAAACATATAGAACAAGCAGGTCTACAGAGAATATGCCACCTCTACACAGGGGGCGCCCTTATACCTTTTGACACAGTCAGTCAAGGACACCATCTTACCCCGGCAGACTTCTTCAGGTGTCTCCAGATAGCTGATTATGCTAAACAACCACACATAAAAAAGGCCGCCCTAACTACCCGCACCTTTTTTGAAAACATATGTCTAAGGGAGCGATCCCCTAAAGGCCTCATCACACAGCTGTACTCACACCTTTGCTCTGAAACCACAGAATGGGGCAGCCTGACGTACACCTCTCATTGGGAGGTACTGGAGGGGGTATAGAATGCATAAGTCACCAACTGATCTGTGTTGGAGGAACTGTGGCCTCAGGGGCAAATATATTCAGATGTGGTGGGAGTGCCCTAAGATTAGGCCATTCTGGGAAGACATTAGGGACATATTAGAGCAAGTGTTCCAAAGGGCTCCCGCCCTAGACCCATGGATATACCTTTTAAACAGGTCAATAGACGAATGGCCGAGACAGGACCAACGACTACTCCAAAAAAATCACATTAGCCGCTCGCAGAGCTATAGCACAATATTGGCTCAAAACTCAGCCCCCTCACAGGTCAATAGTGATCGGGAAGATAAAGGACAGCTGCCTCATGGATGACCTCACGCCTAGGGTGCGAGGTAAACAGAGGAAGTTCGTGAGGACTTGGGGACTGTGGAGAGGGAGCCACCTGGCTGATTAGGGAGATTACTGAGGTGCGTCTGGTGTGTTTCCCCCCCCCCCACCTTCCGCTTGCCCCCGTCCTATCCCCACCTCCTTGCCCTCCGTCCCCCTCGGCCCTCCCTGGGCTGGTTTTGTCCCTTCCCCCCTCACTATTCCCCTATCTCTTACTGTTCTCTCTCTCTATCTCTCTTACTTTCCCATAGGTCCTCTCTCTCGTAGAGGGCTTGATATAGTGGGGCAGGAGAAGGCGGCTAGAAGGAATTGGACAACAGAAGTAGTGGGACGATAAAGGAAATAGCACTAACATTACAAATGCCCTAGTGCCCACTGACCCCGGTAGCAACCCTGCAACCTATAACGATCCCACCATTTGCGACCATGTTAATGCGTAACGTAAAAATCCAATGACACAATTAATCCAATGACACAATTAATCCAATGACACAATTAGGAGGTTGACCAGAATTATTAGACATCCTTAAGAGACAAGTCCATTAGGTAAACTCAACTACCGCACAGACCTGCATGTAATCTCGCCTTGTATCATCGCTATCTTATGTTTTCAAATATATAGGCTTGTGCACAAGCCCAGTTGCAAACCTTTGTTAATAAACAATGTCATTCAAAAATAAAGAATTAAAAAAAAAAAAAAAAAGCACACAGGATCACTGATGGTCAGTCTATGGTGGGGGGGGGGGGGATACTTCACTTGATCTGTAAATAAAATCATCAATTATTTGCTTTTTCTTGTGATAGCTTTTGATTGGACAGGAGATCCAGCCAACTTGGTTGGGCAGTTCTCTTGTACATTATGGAAAACTAAGTTGCTTATTTGCCCCCATTATTCCATTATTTTTGCCTAAATCAGATTTAAAACAAAAAGATTACATTTTGAGAGCTTTGAAGTTGATATTTAGTGAATAAGAGAGTGTGCTAGATCTTGCATGCTGTAATAATTGGCCCCAGCAGCACCCTTATACACCCTTGAAGAACCGTATGAATGTTTAGGTGAGTGTGGCCTTCTTGCTCAAATGTAAATATATTTGGGAGTCCAGGCCAACTCCTGTGGTTTTCCACACACTGAATTATGCACACATATACACACTATGATACATGCGCAAACATTCACTGATACATACACACATTAAAAGGCACTTATATATATAGTCGCAGGGCTGGTGCAAGGATTTTTGGCTACACAGGCGAATATGAATTTTGCTGCCCCTTCCCCCCAAAAATAAAAATGTATCTTCACCTGTGTGTCTCGTAACCCCTCTTTTGAATTTCTTATCCCCTTTAGTGTTACATATCCCCTCTTGAATGTGTTATCCCTGTGTGTTACACCCCCTTTAGTGTATTATATCGCCCTTTAGTGTCTTACACCCCCTTGTGTCTCTTACTTGCCCACCAGCCCCTTTCTGTGTCACTGTGATTTAGTGTGGGGGATAGGGGCAGAATTGTGTGGGATAGGGACTTTATTATTATTACAATACATAGCGCCAATAAATTCTGTAGCGCTGTACAATAGGGCTTTAGTACTGTGTGTGTGGGACTGGGCTTTAGTCAAGGGGAGATAGGAGTAGTATTGGGGAATACAGGCAGTATTGTAGGGGGGATAGGGACTTTAGCGAGTGGGGAATATGGGCAGTATTGTGAGGGATTAGGGCCTTATTGTGATAGGGGGATTAGGGCCTTATTGTGATAGGGGCAGGGGCTGATTGATTCTTTAGTATGGGGACAGGGCCCATATTGTGGGGGATTGATTCTTTAGTGTGGGGGGAAAGGGAGAGTATTATTGGGGATTGGGGCGGTAGTGGTAGGGTTAGGAACAGTATTGTGGGGTTTAGAGTTTTAGAGGCGGGTCTGGGGCAGTATTGTGGGGGACTGGGGCTATGTTGGGGTTAAGAACAGTATGGGGGCAGGAGCGGTATTGTGGGAGATAGAGCAGCATTGTGGGTGACTGGGGCTATGGTGGGGGGGGATTGGAACAGTTTTGAGGGACAGGACATGGTGTGGGGGGGGGATTGGAACAGTATTTAGGACCTCTAAAGGGCGTGCGAGGGAGCTATACAGGAAATGCGGAACTGGATCAGAGCTCACTCGCGCGCCCTCTCCTCCTGTGCCGGGCTGCGGAGGTACTGGCGTTCGGCCACGCTACAGTAAATGACCGTCAGGAGAGGAGTGCTGTGCACTTCTCTCCTGCCGCTCAACTGGATATTTGCGCTCCCCGGGCCGGAGAGCCCTAAGGTAGCCGCCTGTGCCGCCTTATGTTAGCGCCGACCATGGATATTCACAGTGTGTTTCTGACAGTGTATGTCTAGCTGTGTGTATATCTTATTGCATGTTCTTTGCATTGTGAACCTGAGTATGTGCTTGAGAGTGTGTGTCTGGCAGTGAATATCCTTGTATGTGTGTATGTGAGTGTGTGTGGAATGTATATCTGTGTGCGTGTGTGTCTATGAATGTGTATCTGTAAGTGTATGCGTGTGGGGGATCTGCTTTCAGTGTGTTATGGGTATAGCATGGCTGGCATGGATGACATGAATGACAGGGGTGTGTTTTGGACAACATGGCTTCTAACTTCTAGAGCATAAATATACAATAAAATGGGGTGGTGGTGGTGGTGGGGGGTGTTCCTATAGTGCAGCAAAAAAATCATGATAGGCGTTATAGCCACACATCTATCAATAGTACAAGAATAAAATCACCAATTGGAAAATCAGTCTTAAAAAAACTATACATACCATATATACCTAGTGTATACTGTTTATATACAGGTTAATAAAAAAAAAAAAAAATAAACCTATAGAAATCTTAGATGGGTATATACTATAGTAATAGATTATTTTTATTTTATTTTACAATGGATAGACATCAGTCTTATATTTCCATAGATAACCTGTATAATGTCCAAATCTACCTTTCAGTCTTTTACAAGCAGTGCTGTCCAATACTTCTTTTGAAAGGAAAGGAAGGAGCGAACAGTGCACAAACGTACATAAAGCGTTGTTCAATATATCATCAGATACTTTACTGCAATATAGCATGTACGTCAACATAGTAACTGTCAGGATAGGCTGTCAACTAACATGTAAAACTAAGTCACACCTTAGAAGGCAGGAAAATAAACTTATAGTTATGTATTGCTGGTCTTCAGAGGTGGCCTGGCCATGCTCAACATACTAATAATCATAGAAGTAGCTAAGTCAAGAAAAATGATGAGGTTCGGCATAACGTAGGTAGACAGAATGAAAAAAACTAGCTGAGGTCAGGGATACAGAAAGCAAAATAGTCAAGACAAGCCAAGATCAATAAACCAGTAATCAAATATGCAAATGAACACACTCTCAGATCACCACAAGGGAAACCATGACAGGGCAAAGGTCAGGTAGCTGTCAGGATAGACTTATACCCAACATGCAGAACTTAAGTTAACTAGATAACATATAACCAGAACTCCTAAAATGTGTTACTGAACCTTAGAAATGGATTTAACGTTAATAAATAGAATAGTACAGAACAAGTCACAGTCAGGGAAACAGAGGGTACATAAGTGGTTAGACAGGCCAAAGATCAAGGAATACAGAAGTAAAAATAATCAAAGTACAAGACAAGGTCAAAGTATGCTACAATCAATAAATTTTGAAAAGGAATGAAGACAATATTCAAGGCGTTCACTTCAAATGGAAGTGAATGTCTAGGAATAGGTACAACTTAAATAAGTAGCTTACGTGCCAATAAATATAGTAAAAACCTTTATTAGTCCACAAGGCATAGAGCTACTATTCACAGTGAAAGGGTCCCAAATGGGAACAGAGTATATATGTTAGGTATAGGGAAACACCATAGGATGCACCTGAACCAAGGACTCTATATATATAGGTAACTCCAACACAAAATTAAAAAAGGTGCTACCTAACAAGTGCAAAAGTGCATATGAAAAAAAGTAATCGAACCCGACGCGCGTTTCAATGTATTATAACGCCGTTGTCAGGTAGGCACTAGCTTTGTGCGGTGCTGAGATATAAGAGACAGATGCTAGTTTACTGGCTGTGGGGTATGGTGGTTATGGTGGGAATGGAATAGTGGTCGCTACAATAGACTGGAGATACCTCCCTTCTGCTTTGATCCTGATTAATCTTCAATTAGTAGACATCTAGGGTTTTTTTTTCTCCTCCTCTCTGTGTAGGAATTTAGACCACTTTCCCCTTTCCTTATCACCATTTATTGATTCTAATATACAGAAAGATCAAGACCACCCAGGTGCAATGTGTATAAAATGAATAAAAAAGAATTACTTCCTTTTTGTTATAGTGTAACAAAGGATTCCTCTCAATCCTCGGGAAAATAAGAAGATAAGATACACCTAAACATATATAAACAGAGAAAAAAACCTCATAGGGCATTAGCATGTATCAACAGATGGCCCCTTTTTCTATATATTGCACTCACAGACTAGATGCATTTTTCAAGCTCATCAAATTAGATTTTCACACCTCCATCATCACTCTAATATCCATGGACACATGTAAGAAATATAGATTGACATAGTATAGCACTATTAAAAGTAAAAAACACATGCTTTATTGGTACAATTACAGTATACAAGAGGTTAAAATGCTCATCAAGATATCTCTGCTTCCCCTCAGTCCAAAGGTATAGGGCAGAATGTTGTTGGCAGGAATATCAGGCAAAAACAAAGTAAAATAATAAAATACACTCTACGCGTTTCATCTACTTCTGTAGACTTCCTTAGGAGTAAATTAAAATGTAAGTGCTGTGCAAATAAAGTGCTGCGTGTAATCTAATGATCTGAGCAATATTTAAAAGTCCCTCCCATTTACATATGAGCCTCCTCAGCCAATCCGTGGTCTTCCAATCATCTGTTGCAACTTCATTACTTCATGTCCTCTTTGTTCGCCCTATATGGGATTCTGGCAGATGTCCGTGAACGCACATGCGTTCCACTGATAAGGAAGTTGGTCTGTCTTCGCGTAGATGTGGTTGACATCATCAGTAGGCGGCTGGAACGTGTATGCGCTCCACTTTGTGTTCTAGTCCCCTTTCGGCAGTTTATCAATCAGTCCCAATGAGAATGTTATCATCAAGTAGAAGCATGAAAATGAAGATGTATTTAACAAAATTAATGTGCTGCATCCAGATTTCTTATCACTCATTGTCACATATGTCAAAAAATTATTGAGTATACATATGATGATTTCATAGACACAATTTTCATACTCTAACATATAGAGCTTATAATTAACTGATATCTTTAGATCGAAAGTACATTGTAGCGGAACGCCAATATTAAATCCACGAATTCCGCTGGTTCAGGAAGTAATCCACAGTTAAGCGCTGGAAAAAGCAAGGCAATATCCCAAATCTCCCAGTAACCGGACGAAACACAGTTCTGAGAGTCAACTGAGGTCTTTATTTCCAGCTCCACAATTTATACAAGTCCCCATGCAAGGGGTTTCCTGAGTCCCCTCCCAGGGGCATTCCCAGAGGGGACTACATGGGGGACTTACTGTACAGGGCATTTCTCCCATCAGGCACTGCTGCACGAGAGGGATCCTCCCACAGGAATGTACCGTTAAGTGGATTATCCCTCCGTGCAGCAGAACCGACAATTTACATTAAAATCCATAACTCTTTGAATATGCAGTTCATTTAAACGAATGGACGTTCGGTAGATAGCTGGGGTTTGAGCGCATCATTCGTGAGATTACCGCTCAGATCACAGCTAAACCAACCGAACGCCGCACGAAAAACACATTCATTAAAATACAGGTTCAAAACACCGATTGCCTTCCAGGGAACAAAATACCGAAGGGCCCGGGATTCCCGAACGGCCTGGAAGCTCAGCGGTGTTCGTGCCGTCGAGTAGCTGTTTTTAGTACCATGCGCTCGACGACCAAACACCGCTGAGGGAACAAAGGATCCAAGATGGCCGACCGCCGCATGTTCGGTAGTCGAACGGCGGCCACCTAGGAGAGCCTCTAATTACCGATTGCAACATTGTTGCAATCGGTTAACAAGCGCCACACGTCTCTAAGTGTGTGGGCTACTACATGGGGGTATTTTCGGTTCACGAACGGCCCGCAAAAGTGCCGTTCGTGAAACGAAAGAAAATACAATACATACAGCTATCTGCATTCGGCAGATAGCCAATACAGCAAATACATGTTAATTACAACCAGCATACATTCTACATAGTTAAGCACATATCCCACAACCATACAGGCAACCCTTAAAGGCACAGTCTCTTTATAGTGTCCAAGTGGCTATGTTTGCCACATACATGATTTACACCATAGCCCAAATATACAGAGAAGTGTGGGATAAACAGTGCAAAAATGGAGGGGGAGGGAAGAATTCTTAGACACACTAAACTTATAAGAAAAAATATATCTGTACTAATAAAATATAATAATAAGAAATAAAAAAAATAACAAACAATATACAAAGAAAATAAGACTAGAGAATAAAATAAAATGAAATAAATATAAAATAAAAAATAAATAATAAATGAAAGTAAAAATAAAAATAAAAGTGAAAATTAAAGTAAAAATTAAAATTAAAATAAAATCTATTCAAAATTATTATAAAAAACAAATGAGGTCAAAATCGACGTTGTGTATCCAGAATCCCTCCCTCTGCCTCAGCTTCATTACAATATCTCCTCCTCTCACATCTAGGGAAACCTTCTCAATGACAGTCCATGAGAGGTTCTGTGTTTTAAAAAATGGACATCCATTGCAATGTACAGGGACAGAATGACCTTGCATCCCCTTCCTAATGTTATTTAGATGCTCTAAAAAACGGGTCTGCGCTTTCCTCCCTGTTCTTCCAACATATTGTGCACCGCATCCACATGTAAGCAAGTACACTATACATGTGGAGATGCAGGTAACACCGTCTTGGATTTTAAAAGTTTCTCCAGTATTAGTACTTGAAAAGGCATATGTATGAGATGGTAGACCCCTACAAGCTTTACATTGCCCGCAGGTATGGAACCCCTTCTTCATCTTAGTATTATACATCACATTTTTATGTTGTTGAAATAAACTCGGTGTAAGATAAGAAGAAAGGTTCCTTCCCTTCCTGTATATGGCTTTAGGGATATCTGATAGTTGGCGTTCTAAATACTCATCGTGTTGAAGAATAGCCCAATGCTTTTTAAGAATTCTATTGATAGAAAAGGCCTTCGAATTGTATTGGTATTAAAATGAAAATTTTAATGGGGTATTATGATTAGTTGTGTTTTTATTTTTTTGATTTGTCTATCAGGAGATCCCCTCTGTTCATCTCTCCTATTCTCTTCACCTCTGTCAGTAGATGTTCCTCATTATACCCCTTTTCTATGAATTTTTGGGTCAGAAGATCTGCCTGTTCAATGTAAGTGGTTAAATCTGAACAGTTCCGCCTAAGTCGGGTGTACTGACTTTTCGGAACGCCTGCAAGCCATCTGGGATGATGTCCACTTGTGGATTCGATAAAGCTATTTTTTTTGGTAGGTTTAAAGTATGTTTTGGTTTTGATGTCACCATCCTTGACAAAAATAGTCAAATCCAAAAAGTCTATAGAGACCGGACTATAAGCTGGGTTAAATACCAAAGATAACGTGTTGTTATTTAGGTATACAAAAAAACTTGCAGTTGTTCATCAGACCCCTTCCAGATAACAAGGATGTCATCAATGTAATATTGCTCAGATTATTAGATTACATGCAGCACTTTATTTGCACAGCACTTAAATTTTAATTTACTCCTGAGGAAGTCTACAGAAGTAGATGAAACGCGTAGAGTGTATTTTATTATTTTACTTTGTTTTTGCCTGATATTCCTGCCAACAACATTCTGCCCTATACCTTTGGACTGAGGGGAAGCAGCGATATCTTGATGGGCTTTTTAACCTCTTGTATACTGTAATTGTACCAATAAAGCGTGTGTTTTTTACTTTTAATAGTGCTATACTATGTCAATCTATATTTCTTACATGTATCCATGGATATTGGAGTGATGATGGAGGTGTGAAAATCTAATTTGATGAGCTTGAAACATTCATCTAGTCTGTGAGTGCAATATATACAAAAAAAGGGTCCGTCTGTTGATACATACTATTGCCCTATGAGTTTTTTTTTCTCTGTTTATATATGTTTAGGTGTATCTTATCTTCTTATTCTCACTTATTGATTCTGCCTAATGGCAAGATATCCCTCTATAGTGGAATGCCTGTCTGCACTCTACAGTGTTTCCCTATACCTAACATATATACTCTGTTCCTATTTGGGACCCTTTCACTGTGAATAATAGCTCTATGCCTTATGGACTAATAAAGGTTTTTACTATATTTCTTGGGATGTAAGCTACTTATTTAACCTAAGTTGTGCCTATTCCTAGACATTTACTTCCATTTGGAGTGAACGCCTTGGATATTGTCTTCATTCCTTTTCTAATTTTAGTAATTAGGGTTATCTCCTGTTTATCTAGTACAACTAGGTGACCTCTTTTTTGACTAGGAGATATAGTCATAGGACTTCCCCAACTTATGGTTTTAGTTGGTAGGAGACACCCTGACCTGCGCCTTGGTCAATATCCTTACTAAATACAATTAATACAAGTAACGCACCATCTGATAACCATATGGGAAACCACGACAGGGCACTGAAAATTAGCTATTTTGAGTTTAAATTGCCGAAGAAGGGCTCTGATTGATGCATAGTGGTCACATGACGCCAGAACGTGCGACCGGAAATAGGGGCAGAGTAGATGGATCAATAAAAGGCTGCAGTGCGCAGCAGCCGGTTTCGATAGAACTATCCGCAGCACCTGCGGCACAGCCGCTTGGGAACACATCTCATTGGAGTTGCCCAGCGGGAGCCGTTACAGTAGCATGTGAACGTTTATGTAGCCCTATGTGTATTGTGATTGATTTGCGTCATCTCTGCAACACCTAAGACGCGTGAACGATGTCACAGAAATGACACAGGAGTATCAGTGTCTGAAATGAAAGGCACACTGTTCACTGTTCAAGTGAGCAGGATCTGACGAAACACGTAAATGGAGTGAGGTTAAAATGAGTGGTTTGCCTGCATATATCTCCAGAATTACACAAGTATGAGGGAGCAGCGTCAATAATGATGTAGGAAGGATGTATCAAACTACACTAATATGTCTCTATAAATATACAGTGTTCAGAAAATGAAGATGTATGGCCTGTTATTTATAAGAACAGACCGGTAGATGGAGGAAAGAGTTAAAGGCATTTCCATCCCCCTACCAAAAAATATGTGTAATCCTTCACCAAAACCAAGCACAGTGTTTAACCACTTCCACATCTTGCTTTATTTCTGCTACCCATGAAGGGATACAGTAGAGTTATTTACAGCTTTCCTATAGCTGTGGGTATTAGGAAGCTCTCTATTTTATAGTGCAGGTCTTGCAAACTAAATATTGCCTGATAAAGTCCAATGCTTTGATGAACAATTACGAAACTTGCATTCTATTGAGCATGTCTTGAAATTTCTGCTTAGCAATAGGTGAGATTCATGTTCTACTAAAATGAAAGCAGTTTATTTATCAAGGGGAATTCTTTAAGATGCTTGACATAACTGGTTAATTTATTTCACAAAAGCAGCATGTAGCATTCTGGCAACAATAAGCTAATGTTTAACAATGTGTTTTTGTTTCTTTAGTTCTATTCTTTTTACATGGAAGTTTGAGTTCACATTCAAATGCACACCATTATTTTCATTTTACAAATTAGGGGTTATTCACTAAACACCAAAATAAAGTAAACTGAAAGCTAAGTTACAAAATTTATGCTAAAATAGTCAAGATATGATTATAGCTGTGTTGGAGAATGTTCACATATTAGCACTTTTTATTTAAATTCTGCATTTAGGTTTTCATTTTTCCATAATTCATTAGATATAGAATATATCATATGTATACTTTAATTAACAGACAGGTAATATTTCCTCTAATTTGTTCCTCCCGATTAGGATGTTGACAATATTGTAAATAGTGATGAATTGGCAAGTAAACTGCAAATTTGGGGGAAATTAGCCAAAGTGAAATAGTTCTTAAATTCATCTGAGCCATTTTGGCCAAAAATGTCCAATTCTTTGCTCAATTCACGTTGATTTATGGTTTATTGGATAATCCTATAAAGTGAAAGGAACCCTTTCTATTGGCTGTATTTTTTATTTAAAAAAAACAGTGAAGTGAAAACAAACAAAACCGATTTTGTTTGGTATTTTTTATTTAGCATAACTTTAAGATATATGTAGGCACTCTCAGTTTTTTTTTATCAGAACCTGCAGTTTTTAGATCTGGTTCAGTATTATACCGTATATATATATCAGGTGTATTACTGTATTGTATACATTTGGTGCAGGTTTGCCTTATTTTTCATATGTATTATTGTATTGTATAGATCAGGGGTACAATTGTGCAATGTATTATATGTATGGACCATGTCCAGTATTGTACTGTATTGTATTGTATGTATGGATCAGGTACAGTATAGTATTGTATTACATGGATCATGACAAGTATTATGTTATATGAAAAGGTGCAATAATGTTTTGCATTGTATGAATAAGGTACAGTATTGATTTATATGGTGCAATATTCTATTGTATTATATATATCATGTGCAGTATTGTATGTATGGATAAAGTGCCATATTACATTGTATAGTTCAGATGCAGTAATGTATTGTATAAATTAGGTGCAGTATTGCATTACATGTATGGATCAGGTTCCAGTAATATATAATATTGTATGAATAAGGTGCAGTATTGTATTGTATTGATCAGGCGCAGAATTGTATTGTATTGCATGGATCGAGTGCAGTACTGCATTGTATGTAGGAATCAAGTTCCAGCATTGTATGGATCAAGTACCTTAAATTGTATTGATCATGTGCACCTCTGTATTGTATTGAATGTGTGCATAGGGTGCAGTATTGAATTGATCAGGTGCAGTATTGCATTACATGTATAAATCAGTTTTTTTTTAGTATTATATAATATTGTATGAATAAGGTGCAGTATTGTATTGTATTGATCAGGCGCAGAATTGTATTGTATTGCATGGATCGAGTGCAGTACTGCATTGTATGTAGGAATCATGTTCCAGCATTGTATGGATCAAGTACCTTAAATTGTATTGATCATGTGCACCTCTGTATTGTATTGAATGTGTGCATAGGGTGCAGTATTGAATTGATCAGGTGCAGTATTGCATTACATGTATAAATCAGTTTTTTTTTAGTATTATATAATATTGTATGAATAAGGTGCAGTATTGTATTGTATTGAAGTTATGGATCAGGTGCACTATTATATTGTATTGTAGTTATGGGTCAGGTGCAGTATTATAATGTATTGTAGTTATGGATCAGGTGCACTATTATATTATATTGTAGTTATGGGTCAGGTGCACTGTTATATTGTATAGTAGTTATGGGTCAGGTGCAGTATTATAATGTATTGTAGTTATGGATCAGGTGCACTATTATATTGTATTGTAGTTATGGGTCAGGTGCACCGCCCACTACTGCCTCAGTACTCCACTACTGCCCCTAACCCCCTACTACAGCCTCTAATGGAGAGGTGTGGTTGTTGCCATAGAAACATGCATGTCTGAACTATACATTGGTAAAGGGGAGGGATTAGTAAGATGACCACGCCCACACGGGGTCACCAAAACAAAATTCTGCACCCAGACATCTGTTACCCTAGGATCGGCACTGTACAATATAGTCTATTGTATTTTAGTAATGGATCAAGTGCTGTATTATATTGTATTGTATTTTATTGTAGTTGTAGATCAGGTGCAGTATTATATTGCATTCTAGTAAAGGATCATGTTCAGTTTTATAATGTATTGTATTGTAGTTATGTATCAGGTAGGTGCAGTATTATATTGCATTGTATTATAAAGTAGTTATAGATCAGGTGTAGTATTATATTGTATTGTATTTTATTGTAGTTGTAGATCAGGTGCAGTATTATATTGCATTGTAGTAAAGGATCATGTTCAGTTTTATAATGTATTGTATTGTAGTTATGTATCAAGTAGGTGCAGTATTATATTGCAATGTATTATAATGCAAATATAGATTAGGTGTAGTATTATATGGCAGTGTATTATAATGTAATTATGGATCCGGTACAGTATTATATCACATTGTATTGCAATGTAGTTATAGATCAGATGCAGTATTATAATGCATTGTATTATATTGTATAATATAGTTATAGAAATTATATACCTAGATTAATCTATATTATATTAATTAGATTATAGTGTATTGTAGTTATAGGTCAGGTGCAGGATTGCTTTTTATCATATTGTATTACAGTTATAAATCATTTGCAGTATTATAATATATTGTATTATATTGCAGTTATAGATCAGGTGGGGTTTTATAATGTAAATGTATTATATTATATATTTAGATCAGGTGTAGTTTTATAATGTATTTTTTTGTAATGTATTATATTGTAGTTATAGATCAGGTACAGTATTATGTTGCATTGTATAATAATGTTTTATATTGTAGTTATAGATCATTTCCAGTATTATAATGTATTGTATTACATTGTAGTTATAGATCAGGTGGGGTTTTATAATGTATTATATTATAGTTATAGATCAGGTGCAGTTTTATAATGTATTGTACTGTAATGTATAATATTGTAGTTATAGATATAATAATGTATTGTATTATTATGTATGGTATTGTATAATTTATTGTAAAATAATGTATGGTATTGTATAATGTATTGTATAATAATGTATTGTGTTATAATGTATGGTATTGTATAATGTATTGTATTATAATGTATTTTACTGTAGTTATAGATCAGGTGCAGTATTATAATGTATTGTATTATAATGTGTGGTATTGTATATTAATGTATTGTATTATTATGTGTGGTATTGTTTTATAATGTATGGTATTGTATAATGTAATAATGTATTGTAGTAATGGATCAGGTGCAGTATTATAACATATTGTATAATAATGTATTGTATTATAATGTATGGTATTGTATAATAATGTATTGTAGTAATTGATCAGGTGCAATTTTATAACATATTGTATAATAATGTATTGTATTATAATGTATTGTATAATAATGTATTATAATAATGGATCAGGTGCAGTATTATAATATATTTTGTATAATACTGTATTGTATTGTATAATAGTGTATTGTGGCAATGGATTAGATGCAGTATTATAATGTATTGTATAATAATGTATTGTATTATACTGTAAAGCGCTACGGAATCTGTTGGCGCTATATAAATGGCAATAATAATAATACTGTATGGTATTGTATAATAATGTATTGTAGTAATGGATCAGGTGCTGTATTATAATATATTGTATAATAATGTATTGTTTTATAATGTATGGTATTGTATAATAATGTATTGTAGTAATGGATTGGGTGCTGTATTATATTGTATAATAATGTATTGTATTATAATGGATGGTATTGTATAATAATGTATTGTAGTAATGGATTAGGTGCAGTATTATAATATATTATATAATACTGTATTGTAATAATGGATCAGGTACAGTATAATACTATATTGTATTATAATGTATTGTGGTAAGGGATCAGGTGCAGTATTATAATATATTGTATAATAATGTATTGTATTATAACATATTGTATAATACTGTATTGTAATAATAGATCAGGTGCACGGTTCCTGCACGTAGCCCTCCGCGCGCTCCACTCAGGTGCAGGTCCCTCTCTATCGCGCGCCTCACGCGCGCTACCCTCAGGTGCAGGAGAAAGGGGCAGGAACTCCCCGTACTGCCAGGACCAATGGGTGCTTTGCCCGCAGTCACGTGGCTCCGAGTGCCTGAGCTCGCGCCCCTGTCGGTGTGTGTGAGGATAAGGAGGACGGCAAAGGGGAGCGGAGCATCCCGGAACACCGGCACCAACTACTGGAGGTATGGACTGGGCGAAACACATCCCGGTGTGCGGGGAGGAGTATACTCTGTGTGCAGCTACTGAGTGGTGAATTATCACCGGTCCGGTTGGTGGCGTGCGAGAGGAGGAAGCGATGGGGTATCACCCCCCGGCGGTCATTCTCCGTGCCCTGCTCTGCTGTGAGGGAGGCAGGGAGAGAGAGGGGGGTGTAGCTGTGCACGGGGAACGCACGGCATACACGGCATCCTCTGACGGAGAGCTATGCACAGAGCTGCGATGTGCGGTTCTCGCTCGGCGATGCGCCCTTGGCTGTGTGTCCCATGTGGCTGTTGCCCTGGCACCGTGTGTCACTGTGTCCCCGAGCAGGGCTCCCCCGGCACTGGGTGGCAGTGTGTGGGCACGGAGGGATGCTGGCCGCCTGCCCCGGGCTGGGATGTTGCTGGGCAGCGATTTGATGGCATCTGGGCTGAACAATGCGTTTATCTAACCACAGGGATAAACTGGGCAACCTGATCCCAGGGCTATGATTTATTGCCTTCTCGGTCTCTGTAAATGTATACATAACGTGTGTCCTCACAGTGGGAGCTCTTCATCGGGGTCTCTATTTACTTGAAATGTGGGGGTGTGTAGAAGAAATTGGCTAGTCTACTCTACACTATCTCTACCACCCTGCCTGCACCTCCTCCTCCTCCATCTGGGGTACCAAGGAGAGATGTAGGAATTCATCATTTACTGCCTTGTTTCCTCTCTCTTCATTCCTCGTCCTGTGGTCCTAGGTGAAAGCTACACACGAACAAAAAACATTTAACAGTCAAAGATTTATTGGGACACATGCAAAACTAAGTATATGTTAGTATAGTAAAATTGTGTATTTTTAGCCCAACTCTAGAAAGAACTAAAATATATATATATATATATATATATATATATATATATAATTTATTTTAAATCTGAGCAACATCTTCACAGTAAATAATTACACTAACATATAAAATGAATGTGACATTTTATGTACTTTATAATGTTACACTCCAAATAGCGTCTTTATATTTTATTTGCCCATGTTTAGTTAGGTACTTTACAGCACAAACAAAACTTGTCTATTGTCCATGCATATGTATGTGTTTTATGTGGGTTGACTGCGTCATCCAAGCATACCTAGATGTTAAATGGGTGTTTCTCATATATATATTCAGTGGTGTCCTTTTGAATCAAAGTGCAATGTGTGTCTACCTTAAGGGCATAGGTGGGGTTTGTATAACTGTATATACATAATGTGCTTGGTGTCTTAAGTCAAAGGCACTTAGGACAGTGGGGGTAGGTGTTCTGTATACATGTGATTTGGATGCCTGAATGTTGTGTATTGCTGTAAGACACAAATTTTGAGAAAGTATAGTGAAGACAGTGTATATATAATATACACATATATATTATATATACACCTAAGGTTCCTTAATTTTCTTTGGTCCAGAGACGTGTTTGTATGGACTCCTTGTGCCTTCTTGTAAGCACCATGAATAGAGATTTGTTTTCCATGCACATGCGCTCTGCATCCCCCAGCAGGTCTGCCAGATGGTGTCCCTCAGACTCCAGTCAGCTTCTCACGTTGCTGCGGGACAGACTGTGCTGAGATGAGCATGTAGAATGAATGGAGCTGGAAACCAGGTATTTATTGTGAGGATGTTTGTATGAAAGCAGTAGTTTGAGCTCTAGAATAAACAATTTAGTAATATTTTTGAAATATGTACACAAGAGGTTTCTGTTGGAAATTGAGACAGTACAGCAAAAGCGAAGAGGTATTCTCTATTCTCTAATTTATGATTGTCCACTATTTCTTGTGTTTATTTTCGTGTTGTAAAATATCTAGATCTCAAGCTGTACATACTTGTTATCTAAACCTTTTGGTTAGAAATGTCACCTGGTGTGTGTGCGTTTATTTTTTTCCATAGAATATATTAGTTTTTTGTAAATATACAATGTATAATTACGGAATTCTGCCTTGAATGCATTAAGTAGTGCTGGAGTTTTTGTTTAGATATATTTTAATGTGAAATTTGTATTTGCGATGTAAGAAATGTTACTTACAGTTGCTTTGCTCATGGAGATATTTAAATCCTAGTTTGTGATTTTGTAACATGCAGTTTTAAGTTCAATAATAAGGGAGCTTTTATACCCCTTTCTGTATATACTGGTATGTAAATGGGACTTTTTACTTATGGAAATGTACAGTGGATGTGAATGTTGTGGTACTGCTTATCAAGACAAGTATTCATTAAATATATTTTTGTAATTGCATACAATTATCTCTATTAATCCCCACTTGGTGGCAGGGAACCAACACATTTTGACAAGAATTCCAAATATTATTTAATATAATGTACAACTTTTTTTTTTTTTTTTTTTATGTTTTGATTGTAGGTGTCAGCTAGAGACTAAATAAGATTGATAGAGGTTCTCCATAATTCTGTTCAAACTATCAACACAGCAAGTACCTGGAAATATAGCATTTAAAGGACAACTCTCCTCAAAAATATTTTCATCAGTTATTAAAAGGCAGTTAAAAAGAGGAAAAACGTACACCTATATTTTAGTATAAGGATTCTTCAGCCATATATATATGCACCTTTGGTTGAACAATGTTTGAATACCAACAGTTAGTGTCTGTTTTTCTTTCTGCTTCGGCGCAGGGAGTGAAGCAGAAAAGACCATAGAAATTGTAATTTTTCAACAACTGTCTGACCAAATGTGCATGTATATGGCTGAAGGATCCTGTCCTATACTAAAGCTAGGGATGTGTTATTCTATACTTCATTTAAAAAAGGAAAAAAAAAAAAAGGGTTATTAACTTTTTTTTTTCTTTTTTCTTCTTTGAGGTGACAGTTTTGTTTTTTAACTAGAAGTGTTGCCACATATTTAGAAAAAACATGTTAGGTGGTGGGGGCATATTCACACTGTAATTGTGGAGACTTTCAAAGCATAAATTATTTTATAATATTTTTGGAATGTGTAGAAAAACAGTAGCACCAAGACTGCAGACAAGTACTTAGGTGTAAATTTTTTTTTTTTTTTAAATACATAACAGGAGTCTGGATTGTGTTTTGTATATACTTCGTGTATACAATGGTGGTTTAAAGGATTTAAGAGACAATCTTACAAGATGAGCCATCAATGTGATTAAATTTGACACTGCTGAGGTGCTAGCTATTTTTCTTGCATCAGCTTCAAAATTGTGCTTTTGTGATCACTTTTTTGCAAAGTTCTATAATTTTGTATGTTTTCAGTTTGAACAATCGCTGGTACACCAAGGAAAGCTCCACTTGCAGTGTGTAAATTGTGTTCTCATATTCCATTAAACACTTAGGACTGTTTTCTAAAATGACATGATCTCTCTAGAGATGCATAATTATAAGGAGCACTGCAGACCTCTTGCATTGCATTTCTCTTTGTAGGTAGAAGAGACTGATATAGGCCATTACATTCTAATACTCTCAGGTCAAAATACAGACCACAATTTTAAAGCTCTTCAGTCCTGGTTTTTGTTTCCTTATTAATCTTTAAAATGAAAGCTGCCAGTGTTCACATAGCAATGAAATTCTGTAATCATATGGTACAGCTAAAAAAAAATACTGCAACCAGAATGGAGTATAACTGAATTATACCTTTTAGAAGCATTAAAATTTCGAGCTATTCATCATAATCCAATTACAGTTGAACGTATGTGAGAAAAGCCGACCTGCTGGAATGCTGAGTAGCTACTGCCTCCTTGATGAGGTGATTCTGTGTCAAAACAGAAAAGATTGAAACGTTGGGTGACAACAAATGCTGTAAAAGGCAGGCATTAAGGGTTCTTTTTAAATGTTGACTGTATGTTGCCATGTCTTGTATACTTTTTCTCAACTTTACTGTTTTGAAGGTGCTGCTGTGGACTTGTTCATAAATCTGCATAAACCACCCAGGTGCTGACAGTAGAGAATCTACTTTGGAATTCTTTACCCTTTGTAAATAGACTTGGTATAAATTAATCTGCAGTCCATTTTTATGTTGTAAGTTTTCCTTCCTGTGTAGTAGCTAGAACCTTTGCAATGTGATAGTTTGTGGAGTGGCAGGGGCATTATTGCTTCCAACCAGATTTAATGGTGACCTCCTTTTACAAATGTTGATGTGTGGGCTATGACCTATGACCAAAGATTATTTTATATATATATATATATATATATATATATATATATATATATATATATATATATATATATATATATATATATATATATATATATATATATATTATTTTTTTTAATTTTATTTTTTTGTGTGCATTTTTCTTTACTTAAATATTGCACTCACTTGGAATAGTTGCCTTTCTATTCAGCTATTGACAGCAAGGATATATTAATATGAGCTGCACTATTTTTCCCCCCCTTATTTCTCGCTTCTTCAATTGGCATTTTATAATTTAATATTGTATTATTTTGGTCAGGTGTTTAAGTATTGGAATTAAATATTTTGTTTGCTACATGTGTAATTGCACAGCTTTTTGCCTTTTTCAGAACACCTCATACACATTTTAATGTTTGAATCTTCTTTATAAGACTTCATGAAAAAAGAAACTGTTCATCAGCATTAGTCATGCTTTGTACAGTCTGTCTGTGTAAAGTGTGTGTGCATGTGTTCATTTACATCCTGTGGTACAAATAATGTATATTATATTTGGTACTCATTCAATTGACCTTCATTGGATAAAAAGCTAAGTTGACCTTGCTGGGAATCGAACCTTTGACTCTGAGATATTGCAGCTGGAGCACTATCCAGCTTCATATTAATATGTTTAAGTTCGTTTAGGAGTGATTTATTATGTTTAGTGGGTTCCAGTGGAATGCATGCTTTCAGAATATGATGAAACTAACAAATTAAGAGGACAAAAAAAATGTTATGGTACAAAAGCACAATTTCATATATGGTTGCAAAATTGGAACAATAAAAATGAAAATAAGTGATTTTTACATTTTATTGTCAATTCTTAGCACAAGACTGGACACTAATACCCGTGCTGCCTATAAAATGTGTGTGTATATTTATAATTATATATCTTACATATAATTTTTTTTTTTTTCTAATGAAAAATCATAGTGAAAATGTAAAACAGGAGTATAAATAAAAGTACTCTTATGGAGCAAGTTAGAGGGAAATAGTGGAATTCTGCTTTTAGATTTATGGTGTGTTTTTATTTTTAAATGTTATTTATTTTTTGTTTTTGTGACCATGCCTTGTTGAATTTAGTTTTAGAATTTAAGCTTACGTTGAGACTCCGTACTTTAATATTTTTTTTTAGACCCAAAGTTGTATGTGCTGCTATTAATCCACCTTGCACGAGGGCTTCCCAGATCTAGGGACCTAGGACCAAATGAGAACTTTAACCCTTTTTTTTTTTTTTTGTAGCCTCAAAATGTTGAAGAAGCGCAGTCATATTTGTTAGGCTTAATGTGACATAAATTAATGCGTAAACACAAGCTGGAATGTGGGCTGGCAGCTAGGGCAGTTTAATTGAAGAGTGTATATATGTAATATTATATAATGTTATTTTTTAATAATACTCCTTAGAGATGCAGCTTCCTAATCTTTTCTTTGCTAACGTTTGCTCTGGTTGGCAAAATATCATAACCTGGATGTCAATGTATGTGTTTGCTTTAAGAGGACATTACATGACTAGGTCTTCCATAGAGAGTGGTGGCTTTCCAGGCTTTACTTTCAGTAAATGTGTGAGAAAGGCATATAAATAAGTATATACTCTGTTGTCTAACACTTATTTACTGTGTGTATTTCAAAACACAATCTTTCCAAAACAAAAACTCTTTCTTCTTCAAATACTCCACCTATATTGTCTCCCTCCTTGCTGGCCAAAAGTACACCCAGTATCCGAATACCCTAATTGAGTACTTCCTTGGTGTTAATTTCAGTTCTGTTCTCTCCCCCACTTCTTAACATACACACTTCCAGTCTATCTCTATATAGTCCAAATCATGTAATTTCTACCACAAAGGGACAAGCTAAGCACCAAAACAATTACTCCTGATGTAGGGTTTTGGTGCATAGATGCTGCCACTTTTCTCCAAGAATGTAACACATGGGTATTTTTTTTAGAACATTGTTTACATTTGGTCAAAACTTTTTTGATCTCAACAATTAACAATCTTAACGTTGGGTGTCATCACATACAGCATTATGCTTTTAATAGACAAGCTTTGAATTCTCTGCGAGAAGCGTTGCACCGACAAATGGTGACAAATTGCCATGTATGGTCTCTTTGTTCTCAGTGCGACTGTAAGAAGCAACTGATTGCACAAAACTCATCAAGATTTATGACTTTAGTGAGGGAGGTTTGGGCTCTGTTCACTGCGGAAGTAAAGGTAAGTTTTAATCATGCTTTTGATTAAAACCAAAAAATGGGAGTGCCAATCTAAGAATGAAAGGAATGTGTGTAATAATAAGCAAAACATGTTACTTTGCAAGATGCTACTAGGGCTCTTTGTTGGTTATGGAAACTAACTCCACATTGTGCCACCTTTATTCTCGCATTTTTCCAACTGCATTCTATAATGAATATTAATGCCAGGCTTATTTTACCTACATCAGCCCGTTGCCAGTGCTAATATTGTCTTCCCATACCTTTCAGGATACAATTTGCATACAAAATACTTCACAATTTTACTCCCTTCTTACATTTCATTTTTAATTAACAGATACCCCTTCTTACTTGCTATACTCTGCCAGTATACCTCAACCTCACATTGCTAATTATCCCCTGTCTCCATTTCTGTTAAGTGCCTTATCTTGTTCTGTCAGAATTTCCCCTTGCCTCAAGTGTCCAGTGGTCCCTTATAACTCATCTCTTTTGGAAAGTTTATCTTCCAGGATGACTTTTTACTCTTTGGTCCAACTATCTTTCAACACATAACCTGTGCGTCCACAGTTCGCTTCACTTCACCTCAACACAACACTTTTACAAGGTTAAGTAGACACAGACATCCTATCTGTCAGCCTCTCCACCTCTTTGAGTTGTGGTTTGTGTGTCACAATTCCTCCTAAATTGTAAGTACATTCAAACCGGAATCTGAAACTATAAAATGTGAACTTTTTCTTTTTGTGTGTGTTTTTGTGCTGTTTGTTAACCTTTATTTTCTAAACATTGTAGTCTTTACAAAAGAGATGACGTGGTCTGGGTGCATTTAGTGGTCCTTTTCATGGTTACAGTTAGTGTATTGTAGGTGGCTAATGTTTATTGGTAATGTAGGGGATAAGGAGAGTACTTGTATAGCATGCATGTTCTGGTTTACCTAATATTAAAGGGTTGCCATAACACTTTTCTTGACTCATTTAAATGTATCTATTATGCCATATATGCACTATTTATCTTGTTCACCCCCCCTTTAATTAAATAAACCTATTAAATAGATTAAAATGTACCTTTAATCCCCAGACAAGGTCCTCATCTTTCTTTCCCCCGAACCGTCTGTCGTCATGCTGTCGTCCATGATCATTTAACTAGCTTGAATCACATGCTTGTGCTCTGGGCTGGTGAGGGAGAGCTTTAATTATTTTAAACAAATACATTTTTGAAAATGGAGGAAGTGCATGCGATAAATGTAATTTTTGCACAGAATTGGTATTGGGCAGCCTAGAACATAGTTCCAGGCTGCTTTAGTCACATGTGCTTGGGGTGCATCTAGCCCTTGGCACAAAAGTGCAGATTTCTCGTACTGCATTTCAAGCAGAAATGCTGAAACAGACTTCTACCACCATAACCATTTCGGAAAGCAGAAGTGATCATGGTGGTTTGAGTAACCCTTTAATGAGTTACATTGCCAAGAGGTAGATGCTGCTTTGGAGTTTAGCTCCCACTAATCACAAGTTCTTTCCTTCACCCCTTCACTAAACTATCAATAAACTTGAGCCCCTACACAAACCTAAAGCTAAAATGATCATGTAATATAAAATACACAAATAGTGTTATTGTTGTGTAGTATCTTCAGGTAAGATTTAATCCCTTGCACCCCTTAGAGCCCGGCGGGAGGGGGGGAGAACCTATTGTGCATGTACGGCAAGTGCAACATGTGCATTAGGCCTTACCTATAGTAAAGCATTTAATCAATGCTTTCCTATGAGGGATTTAAATGACCTATAGTGCCAGGAAAATGAGTATGTTTTCCTGGCACTATAGTGTCTCTAGGTCCCCCCCACCTCCCGCCGGGCTCTAAGGGGTGCAAGGGATTAAATCTTACCTGTTTTCCCTCGGCGTGGGGAACTCTCCTCCTCCTTTTTGCCGTCATCGGCTGAATGCCCATGCGCGGCAAGAGCCGTGCGCGCATTCAGCCAGTCCTTAGGAAAGCATTCTCAATACTTTTCCTATGGACGCTGGCGTCTTCTCACTGTGAAAATCAGTGACAAGCGCCTCTAGCGGCTGTCAATGAGACAGCCACTAGAGGCTGGATTAACCCTAATGTAAACATAGCAGTTTCTTTAAAACTGCTATGTTTACAGTAGAAAGTGTTAAACCTAGATGGACCTGGCACCCAGACCACTTCATTAAGCTGAAGTGGTCTGGGTGCCTATAGTGGTCCTTTTTAAAGACGCTTGACGTTACCATGCAAAGCACGAGGACATCCAGTGTTGTTTCATGGACTTAAACTCTGACCGCCACTCGAGGCAGTCTTTCCGTTTTAGGCTTTTTTTATTTTTTTTATTTATCATTCTGGTTTAGGAAATATTTGTGCTATTTTTAGTAAATGCATATACTGCATTGATATTTATTGGCATTTATATAGCTTGTTTGAGTAATCGAGCAAAGTCCTCATTAACATAGTGTTGCTTTCAAAATTTGTAATAATTTGTCTCATTAGTTGTTAAATGTTATAAAGGAGAGAGTTTAACAACAAATGAGGCAAACTATTACACATTTTGACAGGAACATCATGTTCATGAGTGCGTACAAGTTTATATTTTTTTGTTATGCATTTTTTTTCTTTCTTTTTTTTTCTTTTTTTTTTTTGGTGGAGTGCAGAAATTAAATGTGACAGCGGCCACTCAGAATAGTTATTCCTTATCTTGGATGTTGACATCTAAAACTTGATCAGCGTATTAAAATAACACACAAAGAACAACCATTCATTAGGATACAGTATCAAGATTGGGAAAACTCTTTGGATTTTACCCATAAACACATACACGGTCTTGAGAGAAGTACAAAACAGTTATGCACTGGTATCCTGACGAAAGCTCCATGTGTGAGCTGAAACGTTGATCACTTCTGGCAGTTGCTGAATACAGCTAAGTTGTTTTTTTTCCACCTTATATGAAGTCCCTGGAGTGCTTTTCACTATTTTCTACCTATTACTTATGCCGACAAGCACCGGGCCATATAGACTATTTTACAGGAGTGCAAGCATTGGACAATAATATATATATATATATATATATATATATATATATATATATATATAATCTCTCTCTCTCTCTCCTTCTAATTATACGAATACCTATCATAAATTAGGGCATACCTAATACCCCTAAGAGACTAAATATATAAAATGTATATGTGTGTGTGTGTGTGTGTGTATGTATGTATGTATGTATGTATGTATGTATATATATATATATTCTCTATATCTGTCTGTCTCCTTTAGGTGCTGTATTTTAAAGAAAAAAGAACTTTCTCTTGGCTTGTTCACTATTATTACTTTTATAAATTAACCTGGTTACACCCCCATGACTTTCAAACAGACAAGTAATATTGCTTTCTGGTTTCGTTAACTCAATGCAGCAATTGCCGAGAGCACTTCTTATTGAGCTGTATTGAGAAGGGATGTCCCTCAGCGTTTGGTCAGTGCTTCACCTCCTCCGACGGGGGACCTAATGCACACGCGCAGCCAGCAATGCAAGCACATTTGGTCCTCCCCATAGGAAAGCATTGCCTCAATGCTTTCCTATGTGGTTTTCACTGATGCTGGAGTGTGAGGATGTCCAACATCATTTAAGGGACTTAGAATCCCAGAATCTCCTCTGGTCGCTGACTAATAGTCTAAGCCCAGCAAGGCAATTATTGCAGTTTCTCTAATGAAGTAGGTTTAGTGGATAGAACATGCCCCTGCAGTTTCACAGCTCAATTCTGTCATTTAGAAATTAATTCACTTTTGTTCCTGTTTATGACTGACACAGCCAGCATGACAAAATAGTTTAATTTTCAAATAGAGTTTAACTTGATTTAGAAGCTATCTCCTGTTCTGTAAATTGAACTTTGTTCAGACAGGAGGCTGCAGCATGGTCTAATAGGCTATCAACAGAGCAGGAGGTGAGAAATTCTAGATTAAACAGAATGTGCAATACAGGAACCTAAAATATTTAGGTTCCTTTTCAGGATGTGTTCAGGAAGGCTGTGATTAGGACTGCATAAACAAAGTGATTTAACTCCCTAATGACAGAGAACTGCACAGTGAAATTGCAGGGGCGCACTCTATATACCAAAACTGCTTCATTAAGCCAAAGTTGTTTTTAGTGTCTATAGTATCCATTTTTTTTTTTTCAATTTGAAATTTTATTTTCATAAAGACAAGGAAATGGGGTACAGAAAAGAAGGGGAAACTTCAAATGTACATAGTGGGGTCGTACAATTGCTATACATTTTTCGATATACATTTGTAATTAAGGGGGGAAACAAATAGGAGGAAGGGGGTAGCTCCCTGACACATTGGCCTTCCTTACTTAGTATTACCCTGATGTCATGGTGTTACAGTAGATGGTGCTCATGGGGGGGGTCTCTGTCGGATGGGGAGTTCGCTCATTTAGTGCGTGGATTGTCGTTATACTAAGTTTTGCGAGTATGGTTTATTTCGTTGTTGTTCGAGGTCCCTTGTCTCCAGGGGGGAAGGGTGTCATTGTGGGCAGGGTGCCTGCGGTATGTCGAGGGTGTAAGGTGAGAGTGGGGGGTCCCCGTGAATTGGGGGCGAGTAACAGGTGGAGGGGAGTAGCAGCGTGGTACCGGTTTGTGGCTGTTGGTGGGTCCTAGGATCGTGACCTCTATGTCACAGGGTGGGTTGGTAAGTGTGTAGGGTGGTCGGTGTTGGTTTTGAGGGTGGTGTCGTTTCGGTAGCCAGTGCTGTGGCCTCTTTGCGGGCTCGTTAATGACTGTGTTGGTGTTGTGTGAACTGTTGTGTGTAGTTTCGCCATATTGCGGCGGTGTAGGGGCTCAGTTTCCCGATTTTTGCCTGCTTCCACATGATGAGTTCGTACTCCATTGCTTGTGTTACTTCTGTTACAACTTCTCGGATGGAGGGCAAGTCCGTTGTTTTCCATTTCCTGGCTATTAGTATGGACACCGTGCCCAGTATGATGTATATCAATTTCTTGATCGGTTTTGGAAAGTCGTCTGGGAGCAATCGAGGCAGGATTGTTTTAGGGTCGAGAGCTAAGTGGAGATTCGTGACACTTCTTACAAGTCGGACTGTAGCTTTCCAAAGATCTTGCACACTATCGCATGTCCACCACATATGCATCATAGTTCCTTTAGTTGCATGGCAACGCCAGCATAGGTCTGAAGTGTTGGGAAATATGGTGTGCAGACGGGTCGGTACCATGTACCATCGGTATAGGATTTTCCTGGATGCTTCCAGGTGTGCTGTACTTGTTGTGAGCCCTATATGAGAAGTGAAAATCTTTTCCCATTCGTTTGGGGATATTGTCACCTGGAGGTCTGTCTGCCAATCCTGCATAAACTTCCATGTGTCGCTGTTTTTAGGGTTGGCAAGGTGGTCGTAACAGATGGAAACTGTTTTCTTTGGAGGGTCTAGGGAGAGGCATTGTGCTTCAAATTTCGTTATGGACGATCTCAGGGAGTGTTCCATGTCTTTGATTACGTTGTGGGTTATTAGCGCTTTGATTTGTAGATAAGCAAATGTGTAGCTTGGAGGGAGGGCAAATTCTTTCTGCAGGTCTGGGAACGGTTTAAGACCTGCCTTGGTGCACAGTTGGTAGACATGTGTAATTCCTTTTTCTGCCCATTTATGATGTGGAAACAGGCCATTGCATTGGTACAGGGTCCGAATTGGAGTTGCCAGGGCCCACGGGTGTGCGGAGCACAGTTGGTCCCTGTAGGTGTCCCATATTGTGAGGAGGTGTTTGGTGGTGTTCAGCATGGTTGTAGGTTGCTGTCGCAGGTGCCGGGGTATCCAGAGCATTGTAGGCAGGTCCTGGTTCTTACTGTGCATATTCTCTACCTCTACCCATTGGGGGATGTACTTGGCCGAGTGAACACTAACTACATTCGCAAGGATGGCTGAGTGATAATACGCTTTGAGATTAGGGAGGCCCATGCCTCCATGTTTCGTATTTCTCAACAGAAGTGATTTGGGGACTCGAGGGTGTTTGCCGTCCCAGCTGAATCTGAGGAGGGTAGCCTGTAATTTTGTGAGGTAGCTTTGTGGGATCTTGATTTGTAGTGTCCGGAAGAGGTAGAGAATTTTAGGTAGAATTGTCATTTTCAGTGCTGCTATTCTTCCGACCCACGATAGGTACAGGCCCCTCCACGTTTGCAGCTGGGTGTCTATATCTTTGTGCAGCTTTACGTAGTTGGTAGGGAATAGTTCTTTTTCTCTGTGAGTTATCTTGATCCCTAGGTACACCAAGTAGTCTTCTCTCCAATCAAAGCAATGGCCGGATCTCAGGATTGTTTCTATGTGTTTTGGTGTGTTGAGGCACATTGCCTGTGTCTTAGCCACGTTGAGCTTGTAATAAGATTGTTGACTGTATGCATGTATTTCTTTGTGTAGGGAGGGGAGTGTTATAAGTGGTTGTGTGAGTGTGAGAAGAATGTCATCGGCAAATAGGCTTAGTTTATATTCTGTTTGGCCCACTAGTACCCCTCGGATGGAATCGTTGGATCGAATTGCTATTGCCAGGGGTTCTAAGGCTAACACATAAAGGAGAGGGGACAGTGGGCAACCTTGTCTGGTTCCGTTGGTAATGGGGAAGGCCTGTGAACTAAATCCTGAGGTGAGTACCGTCGCCCTGGGATCACTGTATAGGGCACTGACTGCAGAGAGGAAGGGTGCTGGGAATCCATAGGCTTGTAGGGTTTCCTGGAGGAATTGCCAGTTCAGGCGATCGAACGCCTTCTCGGCATCTAGGGATAGCATGACGCTCGTTTGTTTGGTGTTTTTCAATATGTTGTATATGTCTAGTACTTTCCTGGTGTTATCCGACCCTTGCCTTCCTGCTACAAATCCCACCTGGTCTGTATGAATTAGTGTTGGTAGTATGGACTTGAGTCGTTCTGCGTAGATTTTGGCATATAGCTTTGCGTCTGCATTCAGGAGAGAGATTGGCCTGAAGTTTTGGCATGTGGTCGCGGGTTTCCCCGGTTTGGGGATAGTGATAACATGTGCCGCTAAGAACTCGGTGGGGAAGGTACCCAGTCGGGTGGCTTCATTGAAGAAGCGTGTGAGGTCTGGGGCAATTTCTGCCTTGAAGGCCATGTAATAAGCGTTAGTGTAGCCGTCCGGTCCTGGGGCTTTATTTTTCGGCATTTTGTCTATTAGGGTGAGCACTTCGTCTGTGGTGATTGGTGCTGATAGTTGTGCTGCGTGCTGTTCAAGGAGTTTGGGGAGGGCAATCTGTGCCAGGTAGTTGCGAATTGATGTGGATGTAGGTTGGGCCAGGGAGTGCTGATCTTTCAGGTTGTATAAGGTGGTGTAATAATGTGCGAACTCATTGCAGATTTGTGCGGGTTGTATTATCTTAGTCCCGGTGTGTGAGTTTATGAATGGGATGCGGGCTTGTGCCTGCTTCATCCGGAGTCGCTGTGCCAATACTTTCGTTGCTTTGTTTCCCATTGAGTAGGAAATTGCTTTGAGTTTTTTTAATGCTATGTTGGCTTTCTTGAGAAGAATTGCTTTAACTTCGTCTTGCGCTGTTTGCAATTTCTGTTGGAGGGTCTTGGAGGGGTGCAGTTGGTTTTCTCTATGGAGGTCTTGGATCCGTTTGAGAAGGTTCAGCAATGCAGTATGTGTTGTTTTCTTGAGGTAGGACGCTCGGCTGAGTAATAGCCCTCTGATGACCGGCTTGTGCGCGAGCCACAGTGTGGCGGGGTTGATCTCGCCGTTGCCATTGGTTTGAAAGTATTGTTGTATTTCTTCTCGTATTTTGTTGGTAAAGTCTGCGTCACTTAGCAAGTGTTCGTTCAGCCTCCAGGGGCTGCGATGCTGGTATTGGTAGGAATCGGCTAGGGTGAGAGACACTGGGTTGTGGTCTGAGATTGTAGAGGCGTCTATCTCACAGGATTTGATCTGTTGTAGTTGTGAGCTGTGCATTAGGTAGCCGTCTATGCGGGAATAAGTGTTGTGCACCTGTGAGTGATGGGTGTATTCCCTATCCATTGGGTGGAGGGTTCTCCAAGCGTCGTAAAGCCCATATGATGCTAGTGTTTTGTGCAGGGAGATGCAGTGTTTGCGTAGGGCCTTTTTCCTCTTGTGTGTGTGTGTGGCTGTGGAGTCTGCAACAGGGTCGAGGATATGGTTAAAGTCCCCACAGAGGACTAGGGTGCCCATCTGTATTTTCTCGATCTTATCTAGTAGCGTGGCCATATATTGGGGTTGGTTCTCGTTTGGGAAGTAGGAGTTAACTATTGTGTATGTGTTGTTGTTTAGCGTGCAGATGAGAATGATATACCTTCCTTGCGGATCTATCTGGATTGTTACTAGGTCAAAGGCCAAGGTGTGGCTCACCATGATCGACACTCCCCTGCTTTTAGATGGGGACGTGGCATGGTATTGGTAGGGAAAATGTTTAAGCCCAAGGATGGGTTTAGAGCCATGTTTGAAGTGGGTTTCTTGCAGGCATATGACGTCTGCTTGTGAAGTTCGGATCTCTTTGAGGAGATTGTATCTCTTATGGGGCGCGTTTAGGCCTCTCACATTATGGGTGTATATTTTCATTGTCGCGATCAGTGGTAGGTCACTTGGGTTGGTGCAGAGATGTAGGTTCTGAGTTGGGGGTCGGTGCTTTGTTTGTATCTCAGGAAGACCCTTCCGTATAATTTGTGAGGTCTAGGTTGGGTTGGGTGTCGGTACCAGGGGTGGGGGCTAACAGTAGGGGTAGGGTATTAATACCTGGGGGTGTATAGTTAAACAGTAAACTTTACAAAAAATTGAATGTACAAAGGGTACTTTCGGGGGTATGTGCCGGTATGGCACTTCTCAAACGGGGGTAGTGTAGTCGGGTCGAATCCAGCTGACAGCTAACTAGGGCCTATCTTGTGCAGGCCCCACCCGTAAATATGTTAGTTTAGCAAGTGTATGGGTGCGCTTGGTTCTCGCCCTGTCTTAGGTGGGTTGTTGGGTGAACGCCCCGGTACAGACATATAGGGTGGCGCATATGGCTTGAGTCGTAGTGGGCAACCCGGGGGGGTTTTGCTCATAGGGCCCTCTAATCTACATGTCGTATCGGCATGGTGGTCTATCTGTCGGGGTGGGGGGCGGTACTTTGCTAACATTTTGGTGGTTTTGTCCCCGCCATTAGGGTTGCTGTGGGAGTAGTTGCGGCCTTTTTGAGTGTGTCTAGGCGCGTTCTGGGTGCGTCGGACCGGTGCATGGAAACAGTAAAACATAATCAAACATATATACAGGTTGCAGTTGTTACATCGCTTCCTCCATTCTGGCAAAGGTGGGCTATGAGAGATTGACACCACTTAATCTTACATGGTGATCCAGCAAGCTGAATCGCATGTAGTCTAATACAATCATATACTCGGGAGGGCTCTCTAAGGAAATAGAGAGGGAGTAGGCGTTAGGGAGATTAACATTGGGGCGTCAGCAGGCCTCTAAAGCCTTTAATCGGTGCACGAAAGCCCATACATTATGGACTACATACGTGGTCTCTAGGGGTCGTCTTAAGTCAAATGCCACGGGGAGGTTAAGTGTGGCTGATCCTGTGGATCATTAGTCTTGTCGCTTAGTTTGTATCTTACTCTGTTCCTGCAATATATAAGGAAAAACTTTTTTTTTTTTTTGTATATGTTTTACAGTAATTAGAGGTCGCCTGCAATTTGTCAACCCTTTTGGGATGTGGTTATTCTAGTCAGCAATTATTTTTAACATCAATCTATAGCTAAACATGTTTTAGGTTTTGAAGAAAGTAGAAAACACTTGCTATTCCAGGTATGGCTAGTGGTCATCGTCCCTGAAGGTAGTTCGCCGTTGTCGCTGAGGGCGGCCGTCGATATTCTGTGTCTTGCGCGGGCCTGGTGTTTGTAGATTTGGGGCTATGTCCCATTTGTGCAGCAGCTCCAGGCCTTCTTTCGGTGAGGCGGCTATGAGTTGCTTCCCTCCTTTGGTGATGAGGAGTTTCGCTGGGTAGCCCCATCTGTAGGGAATGCGGTGGTGTCTTAGAGCCTCTGCTACTGGTTTGAAGGATCTTCTCCGCCGGAGTGTCTCCGCCGACAGGTCCGTAAAGAGGAGGATAGGTTTAAATTTATCAGGCAGGTCTTTCCTAGTTCTATGTGCACGGAGGATTTGGTCTTTTGTGTGGTAATAGTGGAGCCGCATGAGCACGTCTCGTGGCACGGTTGGTGGTAAGTGTTGCGGTCTCGGGATTCTGTGGATGCGATCTAGTAAGAGCATGTCTGCGGGTATGTCTGGCAGGACCGCGCGGAACAGCTCCATGGTGAAGGCCGTTAGGTCCTGGGCTTCCACATCTTCTGGGACCCCTCTGATTGTTGCGGCGAGACCTGTCTTCTGCATCTGTGATTTTGGTTTCATGCAGAGACAGTTTCCTTTCGATATCCTCTAGCCTGTCTTCGATAGCTGCATGGGCTGTGGCGTTTACTTCCATTTTTTCCTCTAGTTGGGAGGTTCGTGCGTCCAGGTCGGTGATCTCGTTATTAATTTTAGCCAGGGCCGATGTGAATGATGCCTGCATTTTCAGGACCGCTGCGTCTAACATCTTTTGTAGTAAATTCGGGGTCAGCGGGGTGTCCGCGCTTGCCTCGTGTGTGTCGGCAAAGTCCGCGTGGAGTTCAGCCTCGGCGCCATCTTGGGCCTATATTTCAGCCTGCTTGAGGTGTGGAGTTCGGGCTGCAAAGAAGGCTGCCTTGTCCTTCGTGTCCACACATTTCTTTGCGCGGTGTTGGGACATCGTGACCCGGGTCTGGGAGTCGGGTGCGAGCCAGTAATAGTGGGTTTTAGCCGCGTTTAGGAGCCCTTAGCTACGGAGCTCTTTCAGTGTGCTGCCAGCTTCATTCGGCGTCCGGCCACGCCCCCTATAGTATCCATTTTAAAGCCCTGTACTGCATTATCTGCATAGACTATAATGCAGTCCTTAGGGGGTTTAAAATATAAGGCTCATTAAACTGTCCCATATGAGACTGAGACTCTGTATGGAAAAATTTGAAGTTTGACGTGTAACATCACCTTTCTCCAGCAAAACACCTCTGGAAAATAGCACTGATTGCCATTTTCTTAAAGTGAACCTGTCATGACTGGTTCACCTTGATGGGTCACAACTCCTAACACAATGAAATATATCATACATATACATTCTAGAATTAGTTGGCCAAATTCTCTCTTGCTCTCAAGCGTGTCAGCACCATCTAGTTGGAAGTTCCGTAGGTATTACACTATTGTAAACCAATTCCTCTCCTCTGTCTCCTGGTGAAATGACATGCTGAGTGATTTGGAGTGGGTGGAAATGGCTTGGGATGTGAGAAAGACATGTTGTGAGGGCAGACTAGGCATGTGGAAGAGGTTGGCTATTAAACCCAGACTTTTCAATAATGCATCACTTAAGAGGTGAATATTAATTTTGAAGGGGGGTGGGTGGGTCCATGTCCCATAGACCTCCATATAACTGTATCTAAATTGGCATACCAATGGACGTACAGTATCCTCTACTTCAGTTAACCTTTCATAATTCGTTATGAGTCCCAGAAAAAAAATAGCGATCTTCCATTTACTGTATTGCTGACATGAACAGTGAAATATAAGCATAATCCATAGCTATATTCTGAAAGAACAGATTAATGTGTTCATAACTGGATTCCCTTTCAACAAATATTTAAGGGTTACTTGAGGAATTTAGCATTACAATTGTAATTGTGTCCAGTTCGATAATTTGAAGTGGTTATGGTGCCTAGAGTCTGCATTCACAGTGTTTAGCTTCATCTGCTGCTAGAGGCAGGGCCGGATTAACATAGGGGCTGATGGAGCTGCAGCTCCAGGCCCAGGCCCATGCCCATGGAATAGGCCCATTGATTTAAAAAATAAAATAAAAATTCACTTTTTAAAGATATTATTTTTTTTTTATTATTATTTTCTTACACACAACTCTTCACATACTCTTGCTTAAGTATGGAAACCTAAGAGGGATATATGGCAACAAAATCTGTTTGGACTGGCTGAAAATGAAATTAGTTAAGGTAATGCTGACTTTGGTCTCTCTAACACTGTGGCATACCTCCTTTCTTCTACACTCACTACATACACATTTTATCTGTCCCAGACCATATCCCAGGAGCTTCTACCTGCTAATAAGAAGGTAAAGAGACAAGTGGACATGTGAGTGCTAGGGGACAGTCCTTTGAAAGCATGGAGCAAGTGCATCAGTAGACGCATTTATGCCAAGCTCAGGATGCTGTCTGCATAGTATACCCTTAGTTGGCCAGGCTGGCTCCAATTGCTTCGGCAAACATGCCCCCTTTTTGGGCATGTTCGCCCCTTTCCGCAGTTATGGTTATATGAATCGTGTCAGTGGCCCACCCTTATACACCACCCATTGACTTGCTGATTCACTGGACACTGCTGTTAGGGGGTATGGATTTACTTGAAAGATTAAAGAATAAATTAGGGAGAAATTAGCATAGGGTATGTGTTTTCTTACAGCTGCATCCTATGCGTTTCCTCCCAGCTCCATATCCATCAGATACATAATGCTTGGAAGGTATGACTATTTTAGTGTTTTTTGGTTAAGATTCTAGAAATAGGCCCCTCATAATTGTCAGCACCATGCTCACTGGGCTTTTAATCTGCCCTGGGCTAGAGGTGTAACTCCACATCTGGCAGTGTCAATGGACTGTCATCAGCCAGTCTGGAATAAGAAATCAGAGGTCTAGGCTAATTATGCACATTAACAGATTAACACTATAATGTTAGGATTACATGTTTGTATTCCTGATACTATAGTTTTAATTTAAAATTATACTCTGGGCACCAATACAACTTTAATGCATTTAATTTTGTCACATGAATATACTGTATTTGTTTTGATGCTCAAAGGGACACTATAGTCACCAAAAAAGCTTAATGAAGCAGATTTTGTGTGTAGATCATACCTCTGAAGTTTCACTGCTCAATTCACTGCCATTTGAGAGTTCAATCACTTTTGTTTGTTTTATGCACAGCCACATCTCCACTTTCTGTGACTGACACAAGCTTGCATGAAAACAAAATGGTTTCATTTTCAATCAGATGTAAACTTACTATAGACTCTTTAATTTCTTGCTTTCTAAATTAACCTTTAATTACATGGGCTCCTGCAGGGCCTCAAATGCTATTAACAGAGCAAGAGATAAGAAATTCCAAATTAAACAGAATCTGCAACAAAGGAAGGTTAAACATTAGCTGACTCTTTACAGTACATGTTTAGGAATGCTGTGTAAGTCACATGCAGGGAGGTGTGACTAGGGTTGCATAAACAAAGTGATTTAACTCCTGAGAGAATTGCGCATAGAGACTGCAGGGGCATGATCTATACACAAAAACTGCTTCATTAAAGGATCACTATAGGGTCAGGAACATGTATTCCTGACCCAATAGTGTTAAAACCACCATCTAGCCCCCCTGGACCTCTCATGCCTCCATAAATATAGCAAAATTGTACTGTATTCAAGCCAGAAGCTGTAACTCTGCATGCTGTTTGCCTTAAAAAAAAAAAAAAAAAGTAGTCTGCTGACATCATCAGAAGTGGTTGCCTGGTCCAATCACAATGCTTCCCCATAGGATTGGCTGAGACTGACAAAGAGGCAGATCAGGGCAGAACCAGCATGATTCAAACACAGCCCTGGCCAATCAGCATTTTCTCATAGAGATGAAATTAATCTCTATGAGGAAAGTTCAGTGTCTGAGGGAGGAGATACTGAATGTTTGGATGCATTTTAGGCAGCCATGACCCAGGAAGGATCTCTAACAGCCATCTGAGGAGTGGCCAGTGAAGTTATCACTAGGCTGTAATGTAAACACTGCATTTATTCTGAAAAGACCGTGTTTACAGCAAAAAGCCTACACACCAGAACAAATTCAATAAGCTGTTGTTGTTCTGGTGACTATAGTGTCCCTTTTAAGCTAAAGTTGCTTTAATGACACTATCTCTTTTATATCTTTATAGTTTTTGCATAACATGAACGTTTTGCAGAATACTGCACCATCCACATAGACTCACTCCAGAAAAAGACTTTCTTATCAAATGCTTTAAAGTTTTATTGATGTCCAGAGGGTTCATTAATAATTATTTTAGTCATTTCGTTAGTACTGCATTCACATTGTATGCTAGTTTTTGGAAGAGTAGTAAGACTTTGTTTACCTAATGAGAATCCAAATTTATACTTTTTTTTGACATTAGCAATCAGTTCGGTTTGGGTTGGGGTGGTGGAAGACAACCATTTGCGTGCTAGTAACGTGAGTGCGGCAATTATAATATGGAATATTAAATATTAGGTGGGTTGAGAATCTCTTTATCTGGGAGGATTAAAAGAAGGCCGCACTCCTGAGAATTTGGCTACAGCAGATACATTTTCCAATCAACAATAGGGGGAATACCACTTTTTTTAAGGTTAACTGAAATGCGAGTCTCTTCCTGGCTTTCAGCTCCAGGAAATAAAGTGTGTTTTTTTTTTTGTTTTTTTTTTTCTCATTTCTTCTGTATTTTCCATTTTTTTAAATTATTTTTTAGAATTAAGTTTAATGTATAAATAAATTGGGGAACTGTCCCTGTCTAATCTGTCACTTTATAATATGTTGTGCTCCCAAGATTAAAGCATAATTGCATAGTTGAGACATACTGGATTATTTGCTAAAGTGAGAATTCTAGGCAAATTAAAAGTGAATTTCAAATGTGAGGTGAAAATAGCCAACTGGAAAATTCTCAGTCAGATATGCGTCCAGTTCAGCTACTCAAGCCTTAAAGTTGAAATTCACTTTGAATTCTCACTTTAGTAAATAACCCTGCAAGTCAATAGCCTGTATCTCCCCAATTTGAAGATAAAAGGATCACAATCAATCCTTCTCAATGTTCACAGTTGAGCAGCTCAAAGGATTAACTCATGTTATGCACTTCAGAGCTTGAATATGATCAATGCTTTAAAGTATGAAAGGTACTTGCCTCCCGAATCTCCCTTGTTTCCAGCAACCCCCCAGAGTTCTGTTTCTTCAGTGACATCTTCCTTAATTAGAAAATGGTTAAGGTCTCTGTCTAACCTAGTTCTCCTGTAGCTTTCGAAGGGAGAGGTCTGCAGATGATTGAAAATGTGCTCTGATACTGAAGCAAAAACAATGGAAAAAAAAAACTGTTAAACCAGTGAATGAAAGTTAATGGAGGACTATACTCCATGTTTGTTTGTTTGTTTGTTTTTCCTTCTATTTATTTGTATATTTTTAATATAGGAAACCCCTCAAGAATATATTGTGGGGTGTGGTTGCTGGGCCATATCGCTGCAACTCTTTCTCCTCCTCAGACTCGCCATTGACAGCGCAGCAATGGGTGCAGTGCTGAATTCAGCTAAAGCCCCAGAGTCAGAGCTTATCATTGCATGGCCTCGCAATTCAGTGTCGTCCGATAACACGCAAGGATTTTATGGCTTCTGGGGATTTAAAAAAATTTGTTTTTATATATATTATATTGTAGCGGACCGGCAATATTAAATCCCACGAATTCCGCTGGTACATACAGTAATCCACAGTCAGCACTGAAAAGTAAGGCAATCTCCCAAATCTCCCAGTAACCGGACGAAACACAGTTCTGAGAGTCAACTGAGGTCTTTATTTTCAGCTCCACAATTTATACAAGTCCCCTTGCAAGGGGTTTCCTGAGTCCCCTCCCAGGGGCATTCCCAGAGGGGACTACATGGGGGACTTACAATACAGAGCATTTCTCCCATCAGGCACTGCTGCACGAGAGGGATCCTCCCACAGGAATGTACCGTTAAGTGGATTATCCCTTTGTGCAGCAGAACTGACAATTTATATTAAAATCCATAACTGTTTGAATATACGGTTCATTTAAACGAATGGACGTTCGGTAGATGGCTGGGGTCTGAGCGCATCATTCGTGAGATTACCGCTCAGATCACAGCTAAACCAACCGAACGCCGCACGAAAAACACATTCATGAAAATACAGGTTCAAAATAAGCTCAGCGGTGTTCGCGCCGTCGAGTAGCCGTTCTTAGTACCATGCGCTCGACGACCAAATACCGCTGAGGGAACAAAGGATCCAAGATGGCCGACCGCCGCATGGTCGGTAGTCGAACGGCGGCCACCTAGGAGAGCCTCTAATTACCGATTGCAACATTGTTGCAATTGGTTAACAAGCGCCACACGCCTCTAAGTGTGTGGGCTTCTAAATGGGGGTATTTTCGTTTCACGAACAGCCCGCAAAAGTGCCGTTCATGAAACGAAAGAAAATACAATACATACAGCTATCTACAACCAGCATACATTCTACATAGTTAAGCACATATTCCACAACCATACAGGCAACCCTTAAAGGCACAGTCTCTGTATAGTGTCCAAGTGGCTAGGTTTGCCACATATATATATAGTGTGGATTGTATTTAGAGGTTTGCCTTTAAAGTTATCTACACTATGATGTCCGAATGTCAGTGCAGGAACTTTTAAGTATTGCAATATTTTTCATGTTTATACATTTATTATATTTATTACAATGGATACTTTGAGCTGGGTAATTATCATCCATTGATCAATGCAGCACTGGCTGTGTAGTGTAAGAGAGCATGTAAGTTAAAAGAACATGTATCTATCAAGAGATTTGATATATAGCCCATAGTGTTATATATCATATGATCTACACTTGACATAATCTTTCAGATTTTACAACATATTTATGGCTTTCCCAGTTTCTCATTAAATATCTTGATTAAGAAAGAGATATTTACCATTTTTTAATGTTGTGATGAATGTCATCTATCTGTCTGTCTATCTCTTAAAACCAACTCCCTCGGTTTTGCACCCTTCCCAGTCACAGGTGCCTCATTCCAGGGCTGTATTTAACCTTGCACGGCAGGGAGCCCAAGTAAGTGGGTTAAATTCATAGGAGCAGGCATTAGGTTGCTTGAATAAATCTTCAAAAACAGGGTGCATTGGCATTGTGGCAGGTTTATGCAATGTATAATCACATACTGTAGTTAAATCCCCACCCCCCCCCCAAGGTATCTTTAAAAAAAAACTATTACATTTTGTGAGCTTTGAAGTGGTTTTTTTTTTGTTTTGTTTTTTTTTTACATATACAGTTAGGCCTAAAAATGTTTTGATATTTACACAATTTTCATAATTTTGTCTCTGTACGCCACTACTAGGAATTTGAAATAAAACAGTGATGTCATTGAAGTGCACACGTTCAGCTTTAATTCAAGGGATTGAACACAATATCATATGAAACATTTAGGCAACACAACTATTTTCTTATACAGTCCACTTATTTCAGGGGCTGAAATGTAATTGGACAAATTAACACAATTATAAGTAAAATGTTAATTTGTAATACTTTGTATAGAATCTATTGCAGGCAATGACTGCTTGAAATCTGGAAAGTATGGACATAACCAAACTCTGGGTTTCCTCCTTTGTCATGCTTTGCAAGGCGTTAACTGCAGCTGTCTTCAGTTGTTGTTGATTGTTCGTCGGTTATTCTGCCTTAAGTTTTCTCTTCAGCAAGTGTAATGCATGCTCGGTCGGTTTGAGATCATGAAATGACTCGTCCATTGCAGAATATTCCACCTATTTGTCTTAAATAAACTCATGAGTTGGTTTTTGCAGTATGTTTTGGGTCATTGACCATATGTAAATGAAGCGCCATTCAATAAACCAAGCTGAATTTGTCTGAATCTAAGCAGACAATGTATCTCTATACACTTTAATCCGGATGCTTCTGTCACATTATCAAAAAACACTAGTGACCACTGTGTTTTACATATGGTGTGGTATGCTTTGGATCATGAGCCAATCCAAGCCTTTTCCATACTTTTTAAAATTGTCCTTCCCATCTTTCTGATTCAGGATCATCCTCCGTTTAATTTGTCCAAAGAATGCTGTTCCGTAACTGGCCGGGCGTTTTTAGATGGTTTTTTGTGGCAAAGTCTAATCTAGGCTTTCTATTCTTGAGGCTTATGAATGGTTTGCACCTTGTTGTGAACACTCTGTATTTGCTCTCTTGAAGTCTTCTCTTTATGGTAGACTTGGATAATGATGTGCCTAGCTCTTGGAGAATGTAATTCCTTGGATAGCCACGACAGCCAAAACAAGCCCAATGGCAACATAACATAACATCAATATGGCATAAATAATAACTGCACAAATTTAAATGGTAAGTCGAGTGTGAAATAAAAAAGATTATTAGGAGAGTAGTTTCCATACGGACTGGACAGTAGGGTCATCAGTGGCATAGGTACAGTTGAGTTGGACTAAACATTCAAAAGGAGGTCTGATGTGCGTTAGTATGTTGTGGTGGTTAGTGGTATCTAGTGAGCGCCAAGCCCCCTAAGTGATAAGGCCGGTGTGCCTGTGCTGTAGATACAGAGAAACAGCAGTGATTGGCCATGTGGAGCCCTGCGAGGCAGTATAGGTAGTAGGGACCAATACATAGCCTAGTCTACCGTAGGCAACAAAAATGAAAAGAGGGTCCTGACGTGGTACTTAGTGTATTGCCGAGGAGCTGTTTGTAAGTATGATAAGGGCTGATTGAAGCAGGTGGGGGGGTAGTTTGTAAAGTGGAGCTGCATTTCTGGGTTATTCCCGGTGTCTGTGGTGGGTGTCCGCGGGGGTGAAACGCCGTGTGTGTGCAGGAGACTGGGGATGGCGTAGCATTCGAGGTCTGTGTGGGTTAGAGGTTATCTGGGGGGGTAAAACCCAACATATAAATTTAGTGATAAAGAAAAAACATGCAAAAACTAAAGTCAGTGGGTCAGGTAGTCTTCGTCCCAGTTGCGCCCCTGGTAGCTGGGACAAACGGGGCGACATTGGCTGGGTCCCAGGCTGTAGTGGTCGTGAGGCCCATTGTCGCCAGGACAGTGTCCATCTCCGCTATATGCGTAATAAGGTTGGTGCCTTAATGCGGTATGAGCACGTGTGATGGTCCCCAACGGTATGCCACTCCTCTGGCCGCCAGTGTCGCCGTCAACGGTCGGAGAGACCTTCGCCATTTCAGGGTAATGCGTGATAGGTCTGAGAAGAACGTGAAGTCCACGTCTTCAATACTATAGAGATTCTTCCCGTTGATGGCATTCATGAATGCTGTTTTATCTTGCTCATTTTGAAATTTGACCAGGAGGTCCCCTGTTGCAGAGCCTGTGAGTTGTGGTGGCTTGGGTAGGCGGAACATGCCGTCTAGCTGCATCCCTTTAGCTTAGGGGGCAGCAGGGCTGTGCAAAGCCTGCAGAGGAAATAGGGCAGCTCAGCAGGGGTCACCGTGTCAGAGAGGCCTCTAATTTTAACATGCTTCCACCTCCGATGTCCTCCATGGCTGCTGGTTGGTGGGTGAGTGTAGTGTGAGCTGAGGGAAGTTCTCTAACCTGTGTCTGGAGCTCTGTCACCTGCACTGCTTGCGTTTGTGTGATCTGCTCCACAGTCGTGAGACGAGCTGTGAACCTCTTAACATCCTCCCGTACTTGGGAGATCTCTGCTGATGGCTTCTGGCGCAGGTCTGAGAGGAGAGAGGTGAGTATATCCGTGGTGACTGGGAGACCCGTTCTTGGCTGATATCCCAGAGTCTCAGGGCTGTGCAGGAGGATGTAGTCCTCAATGTCGGCCGCCATGCGGTCTCCTCAATAGATCGCCAATATCCACGGATTGCTGAGGCCGATCCAGGAGCGTTTTTTTTTTTTTCTCCCCATCAGTGTTGGGATGTTTCTGGGCTTCCTGCGGTTTGTTCAGTTGCTATTTTGGTCAGAATTTAGGCTGTTTGGGGCTTTGATCGTTGGAGAGCCGCGAGCGTGCAACTAATCCGAGAGCTGGCTCTGCCCCCTGATATGTATATGTATGTGTTTGTTAATATGTGCCCATGCTGTTAATTTTTATAATTAAAGGGACTCTATAGTCATCAAAACAACTTAAGTTTAATAAAGCGTTTTTGGTGTATAGATCAGGCCCCTGAAGTCTCACTGCTCAATTCTCCACCATTTAGGAGTTAAATTACTTTTGTTTCTGTTTCTGCAGGCATAACCACGCCTCCACTGACTGTGACTCACATAGCCTGCATGAAAATAAATGGTTTCATTTTCAATCAGATGTAACTTCCTTTAAAAGTTTTTATTTCCTGCTCTGTAAATTTAACTTTAATTACATACAAGAGGCTCTTGCAGGGTCTAGAAATCTATTAACAGAGCAGGAGATAAGAAATACTAAATTAAACAGTATTTTCAATACAGGAAGTGTAAACATTAGATGACTCTTTGCAGGAAATGTTGGAAGTCTGTATAAGCAGTGAGGTGTGACTAGGGCTGCATAAACAAAGTGATTTAACTCCCAAATGGCAGAGAATTGAGCAGTGAGACTGCAGCAACATGATCTACACACCAAAACTGCTTCATTAAGCTAAAGTTTTTGTTGGTGATTAATATAATTGTGTATAGCCTAAAAATATTTAACTGTCTTATGGATAAACCAGACCTTAAAAGTAATATTGATAAAGGCACTACTCAAAAAAACAAACTTGGTTTCAAGTAAGCAGGTATGATTACACAAAAGGTACAATTACAGTGTACGCAGACAAGGAAACAGGTTGCTAAGGAGTATAGATTGCTTCATGTGCTAACAATATAAAGTATTTATACAAATGCAATGCATAGTAGCAGTAAAGAAGACATACCTCATTTCATTATCTAGCTGGGCAGTGGGGTAAAAACTACAAATAAACGTTGTAGGGTTCCTTCACTAAATGGCATATTGTAGTGAAATAAACATTTAACTTGCAAATTGTAGGCAACAATAGCTGACTGTAAAATTCTCCAGCTTTGCTTTCATTACAGTTGTCTATTTTGCAGATCATGTTTCAATTCAGTGCATAATAAGTTAACCCTTTTCCCACCTAATTAGATAACGTTACTGGGATAAAATTCACGGAAGCTCAAAAAACAAAATACACAAACCTTGGGGGGGAGGGGAAATTTTAGTTAAAGAAACACTCTAAACACCATAACTATAGAGTGTGGTGCTATTTATCGTCCCAGGAGTTGCTTGGCCCCTCCTTTCATTGTGGTAACTAGTCCAACCATTTTTTGTGACAAAAAAATCTGCCTGAAGTAAGATGTTACTGTTTATAAAGTCTGTCTTAATGCGTGGAAGGTGAATTACTTCTTGTGTAGAGAACATGAAGTTGAAATACACAGAGCATTGTTTAGATGAGGAAGAGGTTGCTCTGAGCTCCTGATGACCACATGTAGATGAACTTATTGAGATTGTTAAATTAAAGGACCACCAAAGGCACCCAGACTACTTTATTGCAAAGAAGTGGTCTGTGCTCTTTGTGCAGCGGTCCTGTCAGTTTAACCCTGCAATGTAAGCTTTGCAGTTTTTTTAGAATCTGCAATGTTTACATTGTAGGGTTAAATGTACATCTTGCCTCTGTCGTCCTGACAGCCACTAGAGATGCTTCCAATGCACTGACCAAGTAAAACGTGGATGTTCATAGGAAAGCATTGAATTTAATGCATGCCTATGAAAATCTTAAAAGAGGACCTGATAAGCATGTGCAACTTTGGCAGAAGAGGAAATACCTCGATGGCAAGTTTTGTTCTGCTGTCTCTCCCCATTTTGTTTGCTCTGTTTTGTTTTTGTTTTTTCTTTGTCACAGCTTGCGGGTGTTCCTGACCACGACTACTCTGGTGGACTTTGGGGAGACATGCAATGCAGAATGCATATGTGTAACACAGTTAGTGCTCAGGGATTTTAGTTGCTTGTCTACTTGGTGGTAGGATCGACTTGAGAATTTACAAACATGTTAATGTAAAATGGTTATAAAACTTATTAAAGCTGGGGCCTTCATAAATAAGTGAAGAGTTGGTATTTTATTTGTGTATGGGTAAGGTGAGGGTTCCTGGTTCAGCAGTCAAGATACCAGAGGTTTTTTTTTTTTTTTTTTGTGTTTCATAGAAATCAGGCAGCTTCTGTTGCCATTTCTCACTTGTGTGAGATCACCTATATTATCTATAGCAAAAACCCCTCGAGATCATTCATGGCTTCCCATGGTATACTTCAGAGTGCATTAATGACTCCCTATTGCAGATGTGGCCCCAGAAGCTAAACAAAGTGCTAAACAGGAACATTTATGCCAAGGAGAGGATCAGGTGAGCATATGTACTGTCCCGGTGTCCACTCAAGGCCCAACTATTACAGCAGACTTGTCACCATAAAAATGCAAATACCCCTCAAGTGAATATCCCTCTCTAGCGAAGAGTAATTGCATGAAGACTTGAACAGTAAGCCTGAATAAACTCAGTGACCTAGATCTAAATAAACATATTGAATATGCTATAATTTTCATAGTATTGGGACTTAATTTGCTATAAGTGACTTTGACTGCATAGAAACCATTTGTTTTAAATCGTTTTTTATTGTTTAGTTCGTCAATGCATATTATGGCACTACATAGCATAGTCATCTTAGAATGACAGGAAAACTACAAAATATTGGTTCCAATAAACAGAAAATTACATGCAGTTTCATATAGCAAGTAGTTAACCTGGAATAAGAGAATGCCGTACATGCCTCTATTGACTAGCCTCAAGTACAGGCAAGCCTAGTACGGTCGGTAATGCAAACGTGATATGAGTTGCCTTCGCCTTGAAGTACAGCGTCATGGGCCTACTTGGGACACTGTACCTATGTGGTCAGTGTATACAAAGCAGTTAAGCCCGGGACGGGGTTGTGGTCTGACCAGGACATGGGTAGAATTTCCGATTCGACGAGTAGGGTGTTGTGGTACAAGGGAGTAATCAAGTCTCTAGTAGCAGGCATGCGTTAGGGAGTAAAAAGTATAATATCGTGCCGTTGGGTGCAGCGCTCTCCAGCAGTCCGTGAGTTGGTGGTGATGGAGTAGTTGGAATGTCTTTGCGTGCCTGTTATCTGGGGCTGACGTTGGTTGCTATGTGGTATCCTGTTGGTGTAGAGTCAAGTTGAGGTTTCCTCCTATGATAAGGATGCCCTCAGCAAACCTCATTAGTCTGTTCAGGGTTGTGCGGAGGAATTGGTTGCAGCGCAGGGTATCTAGTTCAGTGCAGGGGGCCCATCTGGAGAACAGTATCCTCCACCCCTAGCGTGCGTCGTAACGGGTTGTTGCTAAAGAATCCAAGTTGGAAGTTGTGATCTCTTAGGGATGGTGCCTGGTTCCCTTGAAAGTGTGTTTCCTGGAGAAATGGCACGTAAGTTCCATACCACTTGAGATCACGGAGCATTTTTTTTTAACGTTATAGGAGAGGAGGTCCTGGCCCTCCCGGGCGTAACAGTTCCTTCCCGGGGCCGGCATCCCCAGGGTGGCAAGCAAGGGTGAAGTAGAAGCCATTTGGATATCTGTGGGCACAGGGACATAATGTCATATATTTAGTCCACAAATTTAACTGGCATAATTATCAGCAAATATACACAATGCGTATACTCCTGCTACTTGGCTCTGGGAAATGCATGGACAGCTGAATATGCATCACTCAACTCTTTGTGTAAAAGGCATCTTGAGAATCTTATTAAATGCTACTTGGGGGACAGACTTCTGCCTACACAGTGTGTAGCGCGTGTTATCTATTGAAATATTTCATTTTCCTCCCCCCCTAAACGACAGCCATTTCTCTATCCAGTCCTCCCTAATTCCACCTTCATACGTGTATTATATGTGTTATTTCCACTTTGCTTTCCTCCTCCTTGTACTTCCTTTCAGTTATGGGCTATGCAAGTCTTTTCCTAAGTTGTTAACATATTCCTCTGGAATTCCTACATTTTCCAGGGTATTTTTCATAAATTCATCCATCCAGGTTTCATCTTCATTGAGAGTGGCTTTGGGTATTGGGTATAGTGGCATTGGGTATTGAACCCCACGTATATATTCAGTGTCTTAATTTGTATTTACATTGTTTACTGGTATGCTGATGCTAAAGATTAAAACAGAAAAAATAGAAAATAATAACATTAAACACTATAACCAGTGCAGCTTGCTATAATGAAGATGGTGCCTGGAGTTCCTTGGCTTCATCCCCCAGTAAGTAGTCAAAATGGTTTGACACTTAACAAGTTACCTTCAGCTGCCTGCAATGCTTCTAGTTTCCTCCTTATAGCTAAAACAGACGTTTGGATTTAACTTTAGTTGTGTCAAATTTGTGTAAGTTTTCAGTTCATTCATTGGCTGAGGGTGTCAGCTGAGATTCTAAACTCACTTGAGCAGGTCTTTCTTCTGTCTATATTTGTTGAATAATCCCACTGTATACTTTTAAAGTAGTGCTGAAAATATTGGCACTGTATAAAAGCTAGGAATAATAAAACTGACCATATTTAAGGCACCCAGGCTTAGTGTCTGTTAATAAAACGTTGACCCTTAACAGTGGTACTCGTAGGACCATAACCACTACAGCAGGATGTACTGGTTATAGTGCTTAGAATGCCTTTTAAATAGGCAAATACATTAAAATGTAAGTCTCCACTGCCTGTTGTAGGCTCCCTCTTACGATTTTGAGGGAGCTTATGCTGTGCTACCACGAATAATGGAAAAATATCGGAAATAACCTTTTTAGCAAAGTAATGGAAGCTTTACTGTGTCTTTGACAGTTCCACTGCTCAACTGCATATCTTATACCCCAGGTCAAGGATATATGGGGTATTCTGTGACAGTTACATGTCTTGTTGTGCTGCTACATTGCTATTTCTAACATGTCAATGTTAATCATTTGTCCACTAGCCACCAACAAAGCCATAGCAGCTGTAATAACTCAAAAGCTTACAAAGGAGCAACAGTGTCTGTTCAACTATAGTCTCAACCTTCAGATGATTGGGTGTTAGTTTGTAACATACTTATGCTACTGCAATCATATCACATATAGGACAGGAAACACTGTGTGGGTTATTCACTAAAGTGAGAATTTAAACTGAATTTCAAATGGTAGGCCAAAGCAGCTAAACTGGAAACACTTTTCCAATTCTTTTAATTTGGCCTTACATTTCACCAAGCACCAGTACAGTAGTCATCTAACGACACTGTGCAAGGAAGAAGCCATGTTGAAAGCACTCTGATATTAAAGGTGCCAACTCTCATAGATTGTTAAAGGGACCCTATAGGCACCCAGACCACTTCAGCTCATTGAAGTGGTCTAGGTGCATATTCCCAGGTCCCATATTCCTGCAAAGGTAATTACTGCAGTTTTCAATTAACTGCAATAATTACCTATGTTGGTTAACTCCACCTCTAGTGGCTTTCTAGTTTGTTAGGCAGCTTTTGGTCACCTAACTGACGGTGGACATCTTTATGCTATAAATGAGGACATCCAGTGTCACCCGAAACCTCATAGGCAAGAATTGTGTAATGCTTTCCTATGGAGGAAATACTAATGCGAACGCAGCCATAGCCGCGCATGCACGTTAGGTCTCCGACGTCGGCGTGGAAGTAGCAGAGACTAAGCCTGAGTCACTGCTAAGGGACATCGCCGCTGGATGCAGGTTAGTGACAGAGGGTGTGGGTGGGCTTGACCAAGGGGGGGCACTATAGGTAGCCATAGGGCCAGGAAAACAATGTTGTTTTTAAACTATAGTTTCCCTTTAAAGAAAATGAATAATTCCATTTTGGGCATTTATTCTTTATATGCCCCCCTTCTGAATGCTTCTTAAATTGGTTTAAAAGAAGTTGAACTTACCCAGAAACCAGCACTGGGCGAAGCGCACGGTGCAGATTTCCACACCCTCTCCTGATATCACGACAACCAACGTGCATCCAATCAAAGGCTTCTCATAGAGAAACATTTGATTGGACCATTTAGCTGCCTCAGAGCTCATTGAAGTGTTCTGGGTGCAGTGTCCCTATTGCATTTAGTGCTGCAATGTAAAACAGTAGGGCATATGAGCATAGGCGAAGTTACACAGCTTTGCATTCCTAGCACTAGAGTATCTCTTTAAATAAATGGGAGTGGGCTGCCGGGAAGGAGGGGAGACATCAGACTCCCCTTGCAGGCTCCGCAGTGCACACGGATGATAGACGTAAAATATGCACAGAACTTTCATTAGGCAATTTAAGATTTGTTCGTTTTTGATTATAGAGAATTGTGACTTGCATTATGGCATCCATTTTTCTCAGTTTTACTTGTATGGGTTTTCTTCTGTAAGTGTGCTTCTCTACTACTGTGTGCATATGTATAGTGATGTACCGAACGGTTCGCCGGCGAACGGTTCCTGGCGAACATAGCATGTTCGCGTTCGCCACGGCGTGCGAACATATGCGCGGTTCGACCCGCCCCCTATTGCGTCATCATTGGTAAACTTTGACCCTGTACCTCACAGTCAGCAGACACATTCCAGCCAATTAGCAGCACAGCCTCCCTAGCAGACCCTCCCACCTACTTCATATTTCACATTAGAAGGTTAATGTATTTTTTTCTTTTTTTTTTTCTCCTGAATGTAAATGCACTTAATGAAGCATATGCACTGTAGAATTATAGTGGATTTATCACACCCAACTCCCTTTTGACCACTTGGTTAGGACCGCTCCAATAAATGTAAAAAAATAAAAAAAAAAATTAACTTTGTCAATAATATGATCATATGATTAATTTTGCATATGCTGTTGCAATCAGTTAATCTTTTTTTGAACGTTTATGAAAATTCTAAGAATTTGATCGTGTAACTGTGCTGCTGGATATAATATAGGTTGCTCATCTGAGGGTTTATTGTTTTACATTTGATTATGATGCACGTAGGAGAGTTTCAAGTAAACTTCTGAGATTTCTTTATATTGCAATTTGTACTAAAACCTGTCTGCAAATAAATATAAAGGTTTACTTGAAAACTATTGTGCAGTAAATACCTTCTAAAAATAGGTTTAATGCATATAAAGTAATTTGTGTCAGTTATAATCTGTCACGAGCACAGCTGTTATTGTTTTTAGAGATTGGCTCTTGTTTAGCACAGAATTACCAGTATTTTGTTATAACTAGCCGTGCCCAGTGTACTTTGGACACTGTTTTGGTAATCTAGCAGTGTTACATAATTTCCTTGTCTGAAACATATCTCAACGCAATATAGGTCTATAGGTCTATGTTTATATGTGCCATCTAGACAGACACATGTATGCAGTGTAAACACCATGTGAAAATTGTTTTTAACTTTTAGAAGTAACTAAACCACTGTTACAATTTAAATGGACAATATAGTCACCCAAACCACTTCATCTCATTGACTGGTCTAGGTGCAGTGTTGCTGTACTCATGGACTCTTAGGAGCATTTTTGCTCTGTGTGTTCAACCGCAATTTCCATCTTTCTCATTTAGTGGACCAACACATATTATATATCATTTTTTTAAGAGACCAAAAGGGCATTAATCTAATGTAACATATATACATCTACTAATTCTAATTTGTTATACAGTTTGTTGCATTTTTTTTTTTTTTTTTTTGTCAAAAACTTAAAAAGTTTGCATGGTAATTAGACGTCACAATATACAATGAGTAAAATAAAACTTCAATCTGTCACGATTGTAGAATTTGGTATGTTTGTCTTATAAGTTTATTAGCCATCACAGAAAAAAAATTGCCAATGAAAAGTATATATTGTATAAAGTAGACATGATAAGCTATTTAAAGGTATTTTGACACTTATTATGTAGCCATTTAATAGGCCATCTCTAAGAATTGTGCTAAAAAAATGTTTTTCTGATTTGTTAATACACATATAGAAAGGTTTTTGTAAACCTGATCTGTGCTACTATTGTACAAAACCCCATATTATGTTCAGCTACATCTTCTGTGTACAACAATACCCCAATGCATGTCTTTGCCACTATCATGTGAAGCTGGGTGTGTGTTTTTAGTAGTTCAGTCATGTCCGACTCTCCGTGACCATGTGGACCATAGCATGCCGAGTACATCTGTCAGTCACTGCCCCTCTGAGCTCCAACAACTTCATGTTCGTAGCTTCAGTGACCTCATCTATCCATCTCTGTGTCTGTCGTCCCCTTCTTCGTGTGCCTTCAATCTTTCCCTGCATCAGTCTTCTCTAGAGAATCATGCCTTCTTATTATATGGCCAAAATATTTGAGGTTCAGCCACATGATCATTGCTTTCAGTGAACAGTTTGTCTTGATTTTCTGTAGTACAGATTTATTTGATCTTCTTGCAATCCAAGGGATTCTAAACAGTTTTTGCCAACACCACAGTTCAAAGGCATCAATTCTACGACGCTCAGCCTTTTTTATAGTCCAGCTCTCACATCCGTATGTTGTTACTGGGAATACCATAGTTCTGACTATGCGGACCTTTGTTGATCGTGTAATATCTGTACACATATTTTACAGAATCATCTTGCAGAATTTTGACTAGTTCAACTGGGATTGCATCAACTCCTGCAGCCTTGTTATCTGTAAGGCATCCTAGGGCCCATCTCCCTTCCCTCTCCAAGATTTCTGGTTCAGTCTCATTGGACCAGCTATTGAGGTCATCACTGCTGCTAAGATCCTTCCTGTATAGATAGTCAGTGTATTCCTGCTATCTCTTGTTTATCTGTTAAGTCAATGCCATTTTTGTCTTTTATCACCCCCACTTTGGCATGAAAGGTACTTTTTAGATCTCCAATTTTCTTGAATAGATCTCTTGACTTTCCCATTCTGTTATCTTCTATCTCTTTACATTGCTCATTGTAGAATGTCACATTTTCTCTTCTTGCTATCCTTTGGAATTCTGCATTCAGTTGGACACATTTTTTCCGATCTGCACTACCTTTCACTTTCCTTTTTTCCTGGGCTATTTTTAAAGCCTCATCGGCCAGTTTGCCTTCTTAGATTTCTTTCTTTTGGGGATTTTTTTTTTCTTGCGGTTTCCTGGATAACATTGCAAACTTCGCTTCAAAGTTCTTCAGGCATTCTATCGTCCATGTCTAGTCCCTCAAATGTATTCTTTACTTCCACTGCATATTCACAAGGGATATTATTTGGATTGTTACCTTGCCGTGGTGGAGGTGCTTATGTACTTACAATGAAGCGATGAGCTATACCATGTAGGGGCACCCAATATGGGCAGGTCATAGCAAAGAAGTTCGACAAATCGCGGTCCACTGGAGAAGGAACTAGAAACCCACTCCAGTAATTTTGCGAAGATATCTATATTGACATGCACAACCAGAGACATGTGAAGCTACAGCGCCATACAAGAGACATTGCCATTTACATTTCTACAGTTAGAATTTTTATTGATGGATTTGATTGACCTATGCATCATTTTTGGGAATTATAGCAGTTTGACTGTGGCAATTACCTCACAAAGGACATTTATAAAATCTAATATGTGTGATCAAACCCTCACAATTATGCTCGACAAACTCTTCTGAACAAATCAATACCCCCAATGTATGCAATATAAGATCTATTTTAATTTTTTACATTGGGCATTGCAGCAGATTCACATTTCAAACCACCACATAAATGCATACCATTTGTGAAAGTAGACACTACGGGAAATGTCTCTCATGGTATATTTTGACTCTAATCATTTATCAATTTTAGCACCAATTTCTTTCAAAGTTTAGTGTTTTTATTTTCACATTTGTTTACACGCATATTGCAATTTTGCGGTTAATTTGTGCTGTTTCAATAATAATCATTAAACTGTGCTCAACTATATCTCCGGAGTACAGAATTACCCCCTACATATAACCTTGTCAAGTTTTTTGTGAAAATACAGAGGTGAAATTAGATATGATGCATTTGGGGCATTTTAGTAGCTCACATATTTAAATTACCCCCCAATGCATCTAATTACCAAAAGTGGACGCCTTTGTATGCTTAAAAAATGTAATAAAATCTTAACTCATCAACATATCCTGAGTACAATACGATATATAATATCTTTCTTTGCAAAGTAACAATCTAAATCCCATTCTAAATACTTAATCCTAAACAAACCCCAATTTTAAACCTAATCCCATATTTTACAGTAAATACTAACCATACCCTAATTTTATGACTAACCCTAATGTTTCTGCCATCTTTTGGGTATTTTCAGTTTGACCACTTTATATCTTTAACATTGAATTGATCAAAATTCCATTGGGGCCTGGAGGAAGACCCTCCAGGATCTGTTCAGACCTATCTATTGATTCTGCATGCAGCTCGCCTGTCAGTCTGGGACCACTAAAAATGCCCTAGCTGACAGAGGAGAGCAACAGGTATATTTTGATGCCTGGGTTTCCTGGTGTGGGCATGGCTTTAACCCTGTTCACACTGCATTGCTATCTGTGGGGATCTGAATCCCCATCGAAAGAACTGAATGCTGATCTCATTTTGAGCTCTGCATGCAGCTCACCAGTCAGTTTAGGGCCACTAATTATGCCCCTAGCTGACAGAAGGGATCCTTGTTACCAGCAAGGATTTAACACATGCTGGTACTTTTACTGAATGATGGTCTATGCTATCACTGGCCAAGTCCCGCACTGCAAGATGGCTTAGACAGTCATGTGGTTCTTAAGTTGTTAAACAGGATGTAATTCTTACTCTGTATGATATTTTGAGGAATAGCTGCTTATTTTTAGATAGGTGTAGTTCTTTCCAGTTCTTGTGTTATAATAATCAGTAAAACACTAGCATATTATGAACCATTGTACATTCAGGGCAAGACAGAAGTAAAGACAACAAGAACATTTTCACTTGCTTGAACAAGAGGCAAGAGGGTCTTCCTCACTCTCTTGCCTCTTGTTCAAGTAAGTGAAAATGTTCTTGCGAGCTTGCTATTTAAGGGAAAACAAATAAGACTACATAAAAAGTAATGATATATACTATTTGTAGTAATCATTGTTAGGTGTATTATTGAATTAGTTGATTTATGTTTGTTTTGTTATTGTTTTGCAGTGAATCTTATTTTACCAGAAAATACCTAAATGGATGGCCCTATACTTCTGTAACTGAAAACAAACTGCCTTTTACTTTACACCATCAAAATCGGATGTGAAGTTTCTCATTGCAGTGTCGAGCCAAAAACTAGTTCTTATGGTAAGTGTTAGCTGTTTTATTGGCAAATATTTAAAATTATAACATTTAAGCTGTGAAATGTTTATGAAACACTCCCACACAGCGACTTTAAGATATACAAGGAGGAGTGACCGTATGCATCATTCTTTCAGGGGTAAAGCTATTGCAAAATGCTTTAACCCATAAAGGTTAGATGGCACCTGGCACTTCTCCATAACCATTTCAGTGAGCTGGTTTTGTCATGTGGTAGGTATGTTCCTTTAAGAGCAACTTCTTGTGTCAATTCTGCAGAAGTGTGTCTGGAGTTGTACTGCACCTAAGTCATATCAACTTATACCAGTGATGGGTGGCAGAGGTAGGATAAAAGGATACTATAGGCACCCAGACCACTTCAGCTCATTGAAGTGGTCTGGGAGCATATCCCCAGGTCCTTTAACCCTGGAAAGGTAATTATGGCAGTTTTCAATTAACTGCAATAATTACCTTTTGAGTTAACTCCACCTCTTGTGGCTGTCTACTGTCTTGTGGCTGACTTACAGGTTGTTAGGTGACTTTTGGTTGCCTACTGACGCTGGACGTCCTCACACTATACATGAAGACATCCAGTGTCACCCGAAAACCCCATAGGAAAGCATTGTATAATGCATTCCTATATTCCTATGGGACTTTTCTAATGAAAGAGTGGCAGTGCCTGAGCCAGCACCAAGGGACATCGGCGCTGGACTCAGGTAAGTGACAGAAGGGTTTTTTTAACTGCTCCACCATAGGGGGCATTATAGGAAGCTATAGTGCTGAAAAAACAACTTTATTCCTGGCACTATAGTGTTCTTTTAAGAGGAATTTATGCTGCAGGGTCTCTCGTTCAATGTTAAAAAATAATAATTAAAGGGGCATTCTAGACCCTTAAAACACATTAGCTTGATGGAAAAGCTTTGTGTAAACAGTGTCCTAGTTTTTTTTTTCAATTTGCAAAAAGTGCAGATTTCAATATAAATTAACACTTTCTTATTAAACCTGGTTACGCCCTCTTTGCTTTCAGTAAGAGTACAGGTCCTGTTACTTCCTGGTTTGGTTAGCTCTGTGGAGCTAAACACCGTAGGCAGTCTTCTCATGAGCTGCATTGGGAAGTCTGTGATTGGACAGCCATAGAAAATCTGGACGGGGTTAGGAGAAGGCTTTCACAGGCAGCAGAAAAGATAACTGCAGGTTTTGCAAGCTGGTTTTAGATCTAATACAATGAGAAAATATATAATTAAATGAATACATGTTTTAATGGTGGTATATCTGTTAAACAGTGATTTTTATTTATTTGCATTTGTGCAGTGGAGTGTCCCTTTACTTAGAGGCCCTTAGAAACATGGAACGTGACGGCAGATAAGAACCATTTCAGAATTGCCCTGATCTCTATATATTTATAGTATTTTATTGGTGTTCTCTGTTTGCTTTCATTCGTGAATGGCTTGAGTTTATTTCTTTCTTTGACTCCTCTGTAGTGGTTTATTGTTCATTTTGATTGATTTGCTGATCTGTTGGCCTGACGGATAAACTTATATGATGTGCTATACCTCCTTTTTTTTTTTCTAATAAGTTACCTTGCGCCCCCTAAATTGTTATCTATTTATCTACTGATAATGTTAGACACCCCATTTATTACAGAGATGGCTGCATTTATTATTATTCCAATGGGACACCAAATTAGCCTTGTTAGAGTGTAATAGTCCAGCAATGTAGACTACAAAATACACATATTGTTCCTGGAGAATCTCTTTGACATTGCCTTTTTCTTTCTTACCTGAACTTTTACTTTAATGCAATGCATTAAGATTATAAATACATGTGCAAAGCAGATCTGAGTAAATCACAAATAAGAACCACAACCCGTAGTTAAAATCCCTTTGTGTCAATATACCCCACTCCCTCTAGAATGTAAGCTCATTGAGCAGGGCCCTCCACTTCTCTGTTCCTGTACGTCCAATTGTCTGGTTAAAATGACATGTCTGTTAGTCCACCCACTGTACAGCGCTACGGAATGTGATGGCGCTATATAAATAATAAAATAATAATGTATTTAAATGTTTCTATTCTATCTCCCCGTCTCGTCTCTCCCAAGCAAAACATGTTAAGATCTTTTAACCTTTCCTGCAATCCATGAACCAGTTATCCATGATTGCATTATCCTGCAATCCATGAACCAGTTTAGTAGCTCTACTCTGAACTCATTCCCAAGTATCAATATCCTTCTGAAGATACGGTCTCCGGTACTGTGTACATACTCCAAGTAGGGTCTCACCAGTGTTCTGTACAATGGCATGCGCACTTCCCTCTTTCTACTGCTAATACCTCTCTCTATACAACCAATTATTCTGCTAGCATTCCCTGCTGCTCTATTACATTGTATACCTACCTTAAAGTCATCTGAAATAATTACTCCTAAATCCTTAGATGTTGAGGTTAGTAGGGTATCAAATATTCTATACTCTGTCCTTGGGTTTTTACACCTTTGGCATATGCACCTTAAGCATATAGATACTATGGAGAAGTTTACCAAGTATTAACCAATCTTATTGCTGTTTTTTATTTTTATTTTTTTTCGGGACAGCCGATGTTGGGAGGTATGAATTACCACATAAACAACAAACAAAATTGGTGTGCTGCACAAAGGTGGCAGAATGTTTTGTAAGTGCAATATTATCCACTCCTTGTATATCTTTTAATTTTTTTTAATTTTGATATTGTTATTTTGTACATTTTTACACTGTTATGTTCTCTCTACGTTTAAGTGATTAAAGCTGGAAATATTTCCATTCCTAACTGGGATTATTGTAATATCAGCATTCACCAGGGGACTCAATACCATTGTATGTATACCATTTAATTGGTGATTTTAACACACTTTTGTGCAGAACGCCACACCAATTTTGCTTGTTGTTTTTGTATATCACAGTTTTGGAATTAACCGGGTTGTAGGTGTCAACTAGAGTACACACTATATTTTGTGTGTTTTCATGATATCACATAGCAGGATTTCTGTTTAACTTTGACAACCATTTAAAAATGCATGTGTGGATGTTGCAAAGTTCAATTGCGTGAGACCAGAAGCACAATTTCAAATTTTGTTTTTGAGGCCCAGTGTAAATCTTTTGTGATTAGGTTTTATTTCATTGTTATACACAATAACAGAAATAAAATTCATCTTCCTCCTGTATTTGTTTGTCAACATTTGTATTGTGTCTTGGATGTATTGTATATATTGAATTTTTTCTTTGTACTTGTACCAATTGTACCCGTGGACAGAGCTGCAAAAGCATTGGCGCTGTATAAATAAAGTATATATTAAGTGATTTTAGTAAATATAGTAATTTTAAAGGAACACTATAGAGTCAGGAATACAAACATGTATTCCTGCCCCTATGTTTGTGTTCCCCCATCGCACCCCTGAAAAATTGGTAGAACTTGCTTTTATTAGCTGTGCTGGTACTATAGGAAAGCATTGGATTGGCAGAGATAGTAAATTCTGATGATCTCCACCAAGGGGGAGGTGGAGCCAAATGCTGTGCTGGCCAATCTGCATCTCATCATAGAGATTCATTGAGGAAGCCGCACTAGTGGCCGTCTCAGTGACTGCCACTGGGGGTTTCCCTAGGAAGTAATGAAAACACTTCAGCAAGCTGAAGTGCTTTTGGGGTGTGGAGTGGTCCTTTAACCCCTTAAGGACCAAACCTCTGGAATAAAAGGGAATCATGACATGTCACACGTCATTTGTCCTTAAGGGGTTAAGGAACTGCCTTGGTTTATTTTTTATTTATTTATTTTTTTGAGACTTTGATGTCATCTATATGGAAATAGTCACGCACATAATTTTTATATATATATAGTGTGTGTGTATTTGAATACAATTGGGATTGTTCATGATCACGGTTTCCTTCTGCATAGTCGAATATATTATTTCTATAAATCACAAAAAGATGCTTTTAAAATTTTAGTATAAAAAATCTGGTTGATTAGTTGAAAAAACATAGTTAAAGGTCAAGGTTTCATTGGCTGCATGCAGTCTTTAGCACACAAATTTTTTTTTTTTAAGCATTTGCCATTATGAAAGCAACAATTTAACTATGATCTTATTATCCAATAACACACTGTGCCTTTTGTTTTGCTCAGTAAATATCAGCATAACACCACATCTCACACTGCCTTCATCAACACTCTTTTTCATTATATCCGTGTTACTTTATGATCTTTTCACCTAACCTTTGTGCCGCATTTGTTTCCTTTAATTTTACATTTTGTCCCAGTTGAATGTTTTAACCCTTTGTGAGCGATCATGTACACTAGATGCAATGTTCTCCTGTTTCATTCCCAATCTGCATCTTTATTGTCCAGTTTACAGGTGGATGGGAGATATTTTGGAACAGCTGTTTGGTATAATTTCCCTATATTTAGTTTTGCAGCTGATTCATTATGGTTGCCTAAAATACTTAACCTGTTTTCCATAGTCCTTATACAGATATTGTCAAGATTGGACTCTTGATATCAAATGCTACCCTTTGCACTCAGCAGGGTCCATTTAGGGAAGACTGCTGGAGTACAAAGTAGTAGGCTAGTACTTATTTGCATGGAGCTATGCATCAAACAAATTGTGTGGACTTCCACTTTATTTGGAACTTTAACTCCTATAATGCTCTATGAACTTTTAGTACTCCATGACAATGCTAGTTTTGTTAGTGCGATGTAGACCATGTATGTGATACCTGCTGACACCTGTCTGCAAAGGTTAGTGTCTACCATGCTCCTGCAACAGTTTGTGTGTGATGGTTGCATTGTTTGCTTTTTATTTGTGTTTGTGTTTGTTTGCCAAAGTTATGACTTTTTTTTTCACTTTTAAAATAAATCACACCCAAATGCATTGAAAACATTTCACAGAGATAAACAATGTAGTTAATGTAAAAGATTTAACTTGCATCACCTGCGGTCTGCTGCCGCCATGTCTTCAGCTTTCTAGGTGTTATGCTTCAGTAACATCCACCACATGTCCACTAGTTTCTGCTTTCATTTGATTTGCTGCCTTGGGGACATTTTCCCAAGCAGGGAAATCTTTGTCCATGACAGAAACGCTGACTTCATTGTCAACATGCCGGCGTCTAAACGATGTGATGTTAGCCACTCCATAGCTATACTCCCTAACTAGTACTAACCGTGTTGGCTAGAGAGCAACCATGGTAACTACAGTACATGCCTTGTGATTGTTTTTTTATTTTTTTTATTTTATGTAAATCGTATTTTATTTGAGTATTTCAAGGATAAGGAAATGTAAAAAAAATGAAGAGCATGCAGGCTCCGAAATGGAAATACAGCATTACACATTCTCCAGGATGTACATTAAGAGAATGTAATTGAATATCGGCAGTTGTAAAAGAAAAACATACCTCAGCATATTTACAAAGTGAACCTTGCTACTCTTGTGGAAACACTTAATATTTCCCCTCTCGCCTTGTTTAGGCTGCCTGATTAGGTCACCCCCTTCTACACAGCTTAAGTCAACCCTCTGTGACATTTCCGTAGTGGGATCAATGCCTGCTGCCTCATTATCTGCCCAACCAGTAGGAGTTAATGCATGTGGTTACTGGTATCAGAGAGGGTGCACAAACTGTTGGGTCAAATTGCACATTTCTTGAAAATGTGTGTGGCATGTAAGTGCATAGTTGGATCAGGAGCAAAGCTACCCATCTGCCACTCCCTCCCCAGCGCTTTGCCCTCTGGCAACTGCGGCGCCCCCACCGCCTCCCGCCCTGTCCGCCACTTAGAGGAACCATGGGCGCTACTGGTCTGCATGTTTTTCCTCTTGTGCCTTGCAGTGCCGCCTGGATGGCCTCCGACGCCTGAATATCTTCCACTTGTTCCAGCCACTGTTCCTTGATGGGGGTCAAATTTTGTGTCCAATAAACCGGGATCAGAAGTCGAACAATGGCCTTTTTATACGTTGGAATTGTCATCGAGGTGAGAAGCAATAAGGCAAACTCGGCAGGGAGGTGTTATTGCTCATTGTGGTCCGTATCATGTCCCAGAAAGGTGCGGTCATGGGGCAACTCCACCAGATATGTTTGATCATCCCCTCTCCCAGGCCGCACCTCCAGAAGAGGTATATCCTATAGGATGGTAGATGTGCGATACCAGCCGGACAGAAGCTTGTAACTGGTTTCCCCAGCCATACCGCTGCATGCACAGACATTTCCGTTCCTCCCCAGTCCAAGGCTGACCATTGCTGATGAGGGTGTGCGGCGTGCCAGTCAACAATCCGATGCAGAGTCGCTGCTTGATGGTATTTTTTAAAATCTGGAAGGGCCAGGCCTCCCCACTGCCTAGGTAGGCATTTGCAAGTTGTATCGAAGGTGTGATCTTTCCCCTCTCCAGACATGTCGGATCACTGCAGTTTTCAGAGCGGAGAAGAACAATTTGGGTAGAGACAATGGCACTACTTGAAATGGGTAAAGCAACCTTGGTAGAATATTCATCTTAAGGACCGCTATATGGCACAGCCATGATATGTGCAGGTAGGCCCTGCTTCTGAGGTTTCCCAACATTTTCCATAGGAGGGGTTCAAAGTTAGTTGTATAATTCAGCCGGGTTCTCTTTCACCCAAGTACCCAGGTATTTCATTTTTTGGTTGCACCAGCGGAAATGGAAGTGAGGGCTTAGGGTAATAAGCGGAAAAGAGACGTTAAGCACTTTGTGAGGTTCAGCTTGAGGCCCGATATTGCTCCATAGTCCTCAAATTCCCTCATCAAGCAGGGCAACGTGATGCGCGGATTTGTTATGAAGAAGAGGTCATCCACGTATGCAGCTACCTTATGTTCCGTGTTCTCCCATCGGTATCTGATGACCGCCACGAGAAATGGCTCAAGCGAGATGACGAAAAGCAAGGGCCCCAGGGTGCATTCTTGTCTTGTGCCATTAAGAATCGGGAAGTTGCTAGTCAGGGCTCCATTGACTCTCTCTTGCGTTGGGGCAGCTGTATAATGAAGCTATCCAGCTTCTTAGTTTGTTGCCGAATACCATTGCAGCCAGCGTGGAGAACATGAAGGCCCAGTTCACTCTATCAAATGCTTTCTCTGTTTCCGTGGAGAGCAACAACGCAGGTTTGTTTTCCTTGCGTGCGAGCTGTTGTAACGCAAAGAGACGTAGGGTGCTGTCCCTAGCTTCCCTGCCTGGAATGGATACGGTTTGGTCTGGGTGTATTAGCCCTGGCAAGTGCGGCTGCATCCTAGTAGTCCACAGTTTCGTGAGCAGTTTGACATCCACATTCGGGAACGAGATTGGTCCGTAGCTTCCGCATGATTCTGGGTCTTTATCGGGTTTCAATAAGACTGTAATTGTGGCGGCCAGGGATTCACTGTGGAACTCTCCACCTTCTGGTAGTGCATTGAATGCCTTAGTAAGCCTCGGGGTTAAGAGATGTGAGAACTGCTTGTAGTATACGATTGAGAGGCCATCTGGGCCGGGGGCCTTTCCAGACTTGGCGACCTTAATTGCTCCCAGGATTTCTTCCTCCCCTATTGGCGCATCCATTAGTTCTGCTGCCTCATTGGAAATCCGATTAGGTTTGTATCTACCTAGGTAATTCTGCTCCTGTGTCAGAAGCCTGCTCTGGTCCCCCGAGTGTAAAATACCTCTCCCCCCTCCCCCCCATTTATTGGCATGTGTATAGAAGAAACCATTGGACCACTGGATGCCTCTGAAATGTTTGCTTGTCAGAAGATCAGTAAGCGAGCTGCGTGCCTCCAGGAGGTCCACATATACAGAGTCTGAGAGATCGTTTATGTTGGGACTCCAGTTGAGCAATGCGATTCCACAGGTCTTCGAGTTGTTGCACCGCCTCCTTCTTTCTAGTGGCGATACCTATCAGGCAGCCCCTGATAACACTTTTGTGTGCCTCCCACAGCGAGAGACGGTACATGCCGTCTGTGTCATTCTCTTCGAAGTACAGGCTTAGTTCACTTGCCACTTGTTCTTTGAGATTTAGATCCAGCAGGATTTGTTTAGCCGCCAGGTCCATTCTGTCTGCTTTGATAAGTGAGATTCCACTGTAATTAAGACTGAGCTGGTCCGACCAGGTGGAGGCAGCTATCGTCGCCGAGAGCAACCAAGTGAGATGTTCCTGTTGCATGAATCTGGCCAGTAATTTATCCGCGCATACCGGTCATGTATCGCCGGATAGTGCCTGTAGTCCCTATCCGCTGGACTGCACGCTCTCCAACAGTCCACTAGTCACAGGTCTCACAGCGCATTGCCAATTGCCTTAAATGCGTCCTTGGGTAATGCAGCTGTGTCCGGTGGAAAAATCCTTCCGTGGACCCAGTGTTGAAGTCCCCCGTCCACCCGTCCCCCCGCTGTGATCCGCTTATCCGCGACCTTCCCCTTGATAAACCGGTACCTGCCCTCTGGGTCTCCACAGTGGTCCAACTCCAGAAACTTTTGCGTGGCGGCTAGGAGCATTGCCACTTCTGCTTTCTTAGTAGTTTTATTGATGCTGAAATAATTAGTGGGATAAAATCTATTTTGTAGCCTCAGAGCCATACTCCCAAGGAAGTGAGCCTCTTGCAAGAAGGCTATGGACTCACCCTGTGTTTTTATTTCGCGCAGCACATACGTACTGCATTTTGGGGCGTTAAGTCCCCTGCGGTTAAGGGTGAGGGCAGAAAATGGGGCCGGCCGGTATGTAGTGCTACTGCCCCGTAAGGCGTGCAAGAGTAAGGTCCACAGAGGAACAGGATCAATTGTATGTGTGCAAGGAGGTTATAAGATGGACGTGGGGAGGGGGGGATGGTGGTGTATGGCGTGTGGGTCACCCAGTCGCACCCCACCCTTCTGTCCGTAGGTGGTGGTTGGCTGGGAAGCTCTAGGAAGGGAAAAGGAAGAATAGATAGATAAGTGGGAGAAGAGATCTACTACCCTCTCTGCCCCAGGTCCAAAAGGAATAGGCCTATCCCCAGTCAGTAAGCGAGCAGACTCCTCCCCCCCCCTTTTATGGTTGACTGTTCACTATTAGCATATCCCCTCTCGTAGTAGCAGCCCCCCCTCCCCCCATTTAAAAAAAAAAAATTGATTACCATTTATGTAGATTATGGGTTCCCTCTACGCCTGCTACCCTTCCTCATTGCTTTACACGGTCTGCCCCCCCTCTATCCATACATGTGCCCCCCTTCCCTGCAGCTCTCCTAACCCGTGTTACTCGGTCCATATGTCCCTGCCGGAGCTGTTGCTTGGTGCTGCCTCTCCCATTGCTCCATCCCCCACGGTCTGCGTTCAGGGCCGTCGTTCTTCCCTCCACCCCAGGCCTTTCCCACCGGGCTCTATTGAAGCTCTCATCCATCAATATGTCAGGGCGTCGGAAATCTAGCGGATACAATCATCTTGTACACACATAACCAGTATCATTGCATCACTTTGGCGGGGGGGGGGGCAACAAGACCCGTGGGTGGTGATCGGGGCCTGTGAGCATAATTGACCTGTCCATCTCCCTAGGAATATGGGGTCTCAGCTTGTTAGGGCAAAATGGGCATACTCATAACCTTACATTGGAACCCCTCTCTGCGGTGCTTTACAGTTCCTGCAGCAACTGTTAATGCCCAAAATTCGGGTATGGAGTGACACCAGTGGCTCAGGGTTTGGTAACCGTGCTCTGAGGCGTGTAGGATCCTGTGAGGAAATGGTCCATCATCCCGGATGTAACACAAATGTGGGGGTGGAATCAAGTCCCACGCTATGCCAACCGTCCACTCCCTCCCCATCCAGACCCTTCCCCCTCATAGCATTGAACAAGGGAATCCCCGGGATAGGTACGGCATGGTTGTAAATTGGATCTTGATGGGTCAGACCATATCCTTAAGGTGCGACCCAATCCGTGCCTGTGCCCTGTCCGTGTTGGTAGGCACCAATGTGCAGAAGCAAAATCCCTCCCCGTCTCCCCCAAAATGTGTGGGGCACCTGTCCCCCACTCCAGTAAAGTGCTCCTCCCCAACCCCTCCAGGGCCTTTAAACTCAGGCTATACATAGATACGGGGCCCCCAGTGTACCTTAAATTACCAGAAGCCACGTGAATGAAGAATGCTCCTTACTCTTCCGGGATCTGGGTGCCGTCTGGGAGGAGGGCCCTCCGAAGATTCCTCCCTTCTGCAGCGCTGTGGTCTCAGCGGACGGGGCCTCTGGTCCAAGGGCCCCAGAACCCAGCTGGTGACAGTCTGAGGCGGGAGCTGCAGTTGCTGCAGGAATGCAGGCACGTCTTCTGGCAAACGAACAGAAAGCCATTCGTTCTGGTGGCGTACTGGCAGAACGGGAAGCCCCATCTGTAAGGTATATTCTGCATTCTTGTAAAGCGGTGGTCACTGGTCTGAGTGCTCTTCTAGCTTCCAGGGTAAATGGTGACAGGTCATGGAATAAGGCTACCTGTGCGCCCTGAAAGTCCCATGTCTGTCTGCTGCGGGCCTTGCGCCTGATGGTATCTTTGAGCTTGTCTGAGCTCAGGCAACGTATCAGATCCCGTGGAGCAGCATTTTCCACTCGAGGAAGCAGTGCACGTACTGACGAACTCCATGGTGCTCAGTGCTTCGTCCTGGGGGATGGAGCGTGTGACGGAACGCTGGCACTCCGACTGAGTACCTCCGCCAATCGATGCTCCTAGTGCTCGCTGAGGACTCCAAGCACTCCAACTGACACCATCAGCACTGCAGACCCCACTTCCAGCGATGCAACTGCGCCGGGGTCTCTGCTGTCTCCACCCACCCTGGACCCTGAACCTCTCTTTCCCCAGAGAGCAGGAACAGGAACAAGCTCTTAGCAGAACTTAGTGATCATACCCTGGGGAGTATAGTGATTATAGCAATCCCCAGAGTGTATTTCTCCAATCCCCCAAACATGAGCCAAGGCTTAATGCTGGAACAAGACTGATTTACTGGCACACAGAACTCACAATTTATGCAACACAAAACTTCTCCTCTGGGCCAGGCTAGATAATTGAGTTTCTACAATACACAAAGCTCAATTATATGCTGGCCAGAAATAATACAGTTTTTACAGCATTCATAACTTCTAAAATATACATCACATTCACATAAAAATTATATATTCACAATCAATCCATTCAGGGAAACAATGTATCAAAAAAGGCATGAATCAGACCAGGGGTTCAGAAGTTAGTAAAGTATCTTTTGGGGCCTGGCTGGCAGCATGACTATCTGGCCCAAACTGGTTTTACAGAGCCCTCTAGCCTGGAGACAATGGGGAAAGTAATCCAATTATCCAGGGATAGAGGCAGACTCCATTGAGCACATGTTCCCAGTAAAACACAAAGGATACAAAAATACATAACTCCTATCATACTGAATTGAACGGGCCAAATCTCCCAGGGTCCATAGTCACAGGGCAAGAGGCGGGCAAGCAGTCCTCTCCAGGCACAAGTGGCGAAGGGCATTTCGTCACAGAGCGAACCAAGCAGGTAAGGAGCCTCTCCGCATCTTCATCCCCTTCAAGCTCAGTCACTCCCTGCACCTACGGCTGCAGTTGTCGAGATCTTCCTTTTGGTGACGCATTTCTAATGGCATGGTGCCTTGCCGGGACACCGTCTGGTCCGTGGCTGCGGCTCGTGCCTCTACGCCTTGGGATGTTCGCTCCAGGTCCCGAATATGGGTGCCATGCGCTGCCACCTGCGGATCCCAGCCAGCTCCGTCTTGATGGTGTCATTGATCGTGGAGGGAAGTTGCTGAAGGTCCGTTTTAGTCGCCATCGACGCAGCTAGGGACCTCAATTCCATACAGATGCTATCAAGGGTAGCATGGTCGGATCCCGCTGTGAAGCCAGCGAGGATGACGCCATATTGGAATTGGCACGGTAGGCCCCAGCCGGGGTTTGGAGGAACCCATCCATAGGTCCCATTTGGGAGCTGGGATTTGCGCTCCTGGGGGATCAGTACGCTTGGTTCGCCCCATTTGGGCTCTTGGTAGTAAGTTAATATTGAATTTTGTGTGGAATTAAGGCTTGGAGGAGCAGAGCTTATGAGTAATGCCGCCATGCCGGTTGGAGTCCAAGCCACGCCCCCGCCGCTTTGTGATTATGTTTGGAGAACAGGAGGACTGCCTGTAGGAAGTAATTTCTCCCCTATTACTCTGTTCTTTGGCACAGGAGGCTATACTGAAGAATTGAGAAGACAGGTGGAAGAAAGATCTATATTAAATAGGTTTTTCTCACAACCTACACATTTGCTAGCAAAATGAATAGATATGATTTTATATCTTTTTTAAAAAGAGCATAAGTTAAAGATACCATGACCGGTACACTTTCTAACTTGGCATTAAAGTGTATATCGTTTTACGTTATTAGGATACTGACCGCTACCACAGATGAATGATACCTACATAAAATTAATATAAAATATACCCTATGGATCAAATGATCCATTTATGTATACTCTCCAGAACAAATACAATAAGCTGTAGTTCTTCTGGTTGACTATAGTGACCCTTTAAATTATGCTCAGAAGTATTAATTGTGTGTCTCTGTGTACTTTGGTGTAATTACTGTATGGTTTTTTTTTCGTTTTTTTTCTGTAACCTTAGTTTCCAGCTTTGGCTTATCTTAAAATTTCGATTATGTATAAATGTATTTCTACCTTGCCTACTTCCCCGTTATCCGTTTTGTACTTTTGTTTATGTGTCTGTCTGTTTTCTTATGTCTGTTTTCTTAGTTAAATTGTTAATGCACCAGATCATTGAAGCAGGAAGAATAGATATTGTTGTAAAGGGATTTAAGTGCATGGGGCTTAATATTTAATACATTTAAAAGCATAGATTTGGTGTGCAAGCCAACTTGGATTTGCAATATTTAATAGATTTTGCTATTACCAAATATTGTTGAGGGACAACAGCCTTATATGAACATTCGTAAGGTATGTCCCAAGACAAAATTCAGCAAAGTTTATGAACTTCTGTATTGGCCGAATTTTATCTAACCATGTGGGAAAACCTTTTATTTTATTCTTTTAAAAATATTTCTTTCCATAAAGAAACACTTCTGTTTTCTGTGAAATAAAAGAATAAATAGTGAATGTAAATGTATATATTAAATGTGTATTTGTGGAGGAGAGGTAAATATACAGGTCTTATTTTTTCTTTATTTTCCATTTTGGAATAGGTGGGCCTTGCAGTCAAATCACCCTCTGCCCAAAGAAATAATTTTGCACAAAAATTGCAATCCCCTACACCCCATTCTTTCTTCATGATGATTTATTGTTACACCTTAGGAACATTAGTATCTTTTTAACAAATTCCAAGCAAAACAAATCCATTACAGAGCTTTAAATTGTACTTCTTTTTACGCAAAGTGAAATTAGGTGACATGATTTGTTTCCTTCATAAAATCAATTTGCCTTAGTGTTAATACTGATTATATTTTCAAAAGAGATTCCTAATTATATTATCTCTTTATAACAAATTCTAAACTTTAGGAAAAGGATATATATTATAATACAATAGTGCCTTCCACAGCTAAATAAAATAATCCAGGTGTAATAAATATAGTGATTTATACAAAATGAATGAATAAATACACTTCCCTTTAAGGATAATAAACCCAAAGATCCTCAGCATAATCTTCAAAAATAACTAATATACACAAATGGGGAATATCCTGTTAGGGAAAAAAATGGCACAACAAATCATTTACACTCATTACTAAATTAAGTCAAAGCAGTCCAACTTTAATTCAAGGGTTGGTTTGGTTAAAGCTTTATGCCAACCTATTTAATTATGCTTCACTTTACGGTTAACTTTTTCTGATAATCTACTAGGGATCGACCGATATTGATTTTTTAGAGCCGATACCGATACCGATATTCTGTGAACTTTCAGGCCGATAGCCGATATAATTTGCCGATATTCTGTACATTTACCATTTTGGAAAATAAAAACAATTTCTAAAGGTAAATGCACAAAATATACATGCCACATGTAGTGAATGCAGTGTGTTTAGACAGGGGAGCTGTGTGTGTTTGTGTAGTGTGTGTAGTGGATGCAGCGTGTGTTTGTGAAGTGTGTGTGTGTGTAGTGGATGCATTGTGTGTTTGTGTAGTGGATGCAGTGTGTATTTGTCGAGTGTGTGTATTAGTGTAGTGTGTATATAATGAAAGCAGAGTGTTTGTTTAGTGTGTGGGTAGTGTGCATAAAGTGAATGCTGTACTAAATGCAAAGTGTGTGTGTGTATTTGTGTAGTGTGTGTGTGTGTATAGTGAATGTAGTGTGTTTATATAATGCAGAGTGTGTTTGTATAGTGTGTGTGTGTGTGTGTGTGTGTATATAATGCAGAGTGTGTGTGTAGTGTGCATTATATAAACACACTACACAAACACACTGCATTATATACACAAACTATGCAAACACACTGCATTATATACACACACTACACACACACACACTACATTATATACACACTAAACATATACACTACATTATATACAGTGTGTTTGTGTAGTGTGTATATAATGTAGTGTGTGTGTATATAATACAGTGTGTCTGTAGTGTGTGTATATAATGCAGTGCGTTTGTATAGTGTGTGTATATAATGCAGTGTGTGTATTTGTGTGCATTGTATACACACACACTATACAAACACTATACAAACACACTGCATTATATACACACACAGCATTATATACAGTGTGTTTGTGTAGTGTGTGTGTGTATATAATGCAGTGTGTGTTTGTATAGTGTGTGTGTATATAATGCAGTGTGTGTATTTGTGTGCATTGTATACACACACACTATACACACACACACTCCATTATATACACAGTGTGTTTGTGTAGTGTATGTGTATATAATGGAGTGTGTGTGAGGGGGCATTTTTTTATTAAATTATTATTATTATTTTTTTAGATTTAATTATTTTTTGTTTGTCCCCCCTCCCTGCTTGTTGCCTGGCCAGGGAGGGGGGATATGACAGTCCCTGGTGGTCCAGTGGCATTGGCTGAGCTCTGGGGGGAGCGGGCATCAAGCGCTTACCTCCCAGCAGCTCCTCCAGCTCCCCAGTGCAACTCTCGCGGCCAGCGTGTCGCGCGGAGCGTTGCCATGGTGACCCATGGCAACGCTCTGACGGCCAGGGGTCTCGCGAGAGTTACGCTGGAGGAGCTGCTGGGAGGTGAGTAAGCGCTTGATGCCCGCTCCCCCCAGGACCGCCGGGCTTGTAATGAGCCTGGCGGTCCTAGGAGGTATTATCGGCAATATCTGTATCTGAATTGGCCGATACCGATATTGCCGAAAATACCGACTATCGGCCGATTATATCGGTAAAACCGATAATCGGTCGATCCCTATAATCTACCTGTATTTGCTCTTAAAATGGCATTTGTGCCATTTTGAGTCATATAGTTAATGTATGTAATAACTTCTTGTTGATCAAAGACATAATCTCGCTCCCACTTTGAAGCCAAGACATTTTTCTCCTAATTTGTGACTAAATTGCGAATCACTTCAAAGTGTGCGTTTTTTTGTTTTTGTTTTTTTTTTAAATCAGCAGCTGTAATACAGATATGACTGAAAAACCTGTTTGGCCAGTGTATTTTTTTCAATCTATATTAGTATGTAATAAAGGTATTTATTCAAACACTCATGAAAAAAACTAATATATATTCTCTTCTAATAACACTTGCAAATTATGTTTTAGAAGGAAGACTTTCTCAAAAGTAAATTATTTGTACACAGCCATATAGAAAGACATTTTGCTGGATGATTTAAAAAGTGATCACATATTTCTCCTGTTAACCCCTTAAAGGACCACTATACAGTGGCTGTCTCATTGACAGCTGCTAGAGGCGCTTCAGCACTTTTCACTGTGAAAATCACAGTGGGTAGACGCTGGCGTCCATAGGAAAGCATTGAGAAATGCTTTCCTATGGACTGATTGAATGCGCGCGTGGCTCTTGCTGCACATGCGCATTCAGCGCTGACGTCGGGAGCCCAGCGCTGGAGAAAGGTAAGTGATTAATCCCTTCCTCCCCCTTCAGCCTGGCGGGAGTGGGACCCTGAAGGTGGGGGGAGGGGACATACAGACCCTATAGAGCCAGGAAAACTATTTTTTCCTGGCACCATAGTGGTCCTTTAAAGGACAAAAAGGCTTTAATCTGATGTGACATATACATATATAAATTCTTATTTATTGTAAAGAAAATGGCTTTTTTTTTCACAGTTCAGGCAATAATAACGTGTGTATAATAAGTGCAGCTTAAGAAAAGTCATTTTAAAAAATCCATTAGTTCTGATTTTCAGAGTACATAATATGTCTAGGATTTCAGCTTATTTTGAAAGTTACCGTTCACAAAATACAAGGAGTAAAATAAAACTTTAATGTGGAAATATTTTAGAATTTAGAACCCAACAGTATATATTTATATAAAGCACATATCACAGGCTATTTACCCAAGGGTATTCTGACACTTTTTACATAGCCATTTCGCCGCCAATCTCTGCTAAATAGTGTAGTAAAATTGTGTTTTTTCAGATTTCTAACACATAAAACAAGGTTTTTTTAATGTGTATTTCATAAAACTGTTGTATACTACTGCTGTAGAAAACCCCATATTGTGTTCAGCCATATCTACGGAGTAAAACAATACCCCCAGTCTATGCCTTTGCCACTATCCTTTGAAGCTACAGTGCCATAAGAGACCTGACCATTTCAGTTTTCACAGTGATAATTTTGATAGATTAATTTGATGGGTACAAGTCTCATTTTGGGGCATTGTAGCAGTTTGACTGTTGAATTTATCACTCAAGGGCCTACCATTTGTGAAATTAGACACTACAGTGTATCTCATATGGTGTGTATTGTGCCTTAACGTGATGGTATTCTTTCACCAGTTTATGTCAAACTTTGTGGTAATTTGTTTTGTTTTTGTTTGTTTTTTTGCATTTTTTACATACACATTACATTTTTGGGGTCATTTGTCAAGTCTGGTATGTGCCACTGTGATCAAACCCCCATAATTATGCTCGGCAAACTCTTCTGAATAAAACAATACCCCCAAATGTATGTCTTTGCCACTATCCTGTGAAGCTACAGTGCCTTAAGAGTCCTGACCATTACCATTTTTACAATTAGAATTTTGATAAATGGATTTGATGTGTCTATTTCACATTTTAGGGCATTGTAGCAGTTTGACCGTTAAGACTACTCCATAAATGCATACCATTTGTGAAAGTAGACACCACGGACTATGTCATATGGTATATTTTGAGCTTTATTATATAGTTCTGTTAGTACCAATTTCTCTCAAATTTTATAACATTTTATTTTTGTATTTTTATACATACACATGTTGTATTTTAGTGGTTAATTTTGGAAACTTGATATATGCTACTGTAATTTAAATCACTAAATTGTTCTCGGCTGTATTTCCTGAGTACAAAATTACCCCTTTGTATAGCTTAGCCAGGTGTTTGTGAAAATACAGGGATAAAATCATACCTGGCCCAGTACAGGTTTTTGTTTTTTGTTTTTTTTTTAAATGGCAAATTGACAATGGGTCTGGTTTCATTTTGGGGCATTTTAGTTGCTCATATATTTAAATTACGCCACCAATGCATACCATTTACAAAAGTGGACACCATGGGGTGAAGGGACATGTTACCATTTTGTTTCAAAGTTTGTGGTATTAATTTTTATTTTACATACACAGTATTTTTTATGCTTATTTTTTTTTTAATCTTGTGTGTCCCACTGTCATAAAATTATCTTAGCTGTACTCTGCAACATCTTCTCAGTACAAATATACCCCATATGTGTATCTTTGGAAAATAGCAATCTTAATCCCAATCTAAATCCCTAATCCTAAACCAAGCCCTAATTCTAAACCAAATCCTATTCCCATATCTAATCATAAACCCTTACCACAATCCTAACCCATAAAGTAATCCCATGTGTAACCCTAATTATAACATTTATCCTAATCTCAATCCTACCTCTTGCAATAGTGTTAAAATGATTCCCCATGCTGGTGTCAGCAGAGGAATTCCCTTGCTATATTCAGCAAGGGATGCCCGTGCTGACCGTAATCCTAATCTGAAACATAATCCCAATACTACAATTAATTATAAACCTAATCTTAATTATAAACCCTAATAATAACCCTAATAATAAACCTGATAATAAATCTAATACTTATTCTAAACCAAATAATTAATTATCCTTAATTGTAATCCTTAATTTAATCTTAAACTAAAACACAGTGGTACGTTGCTGCCATCTATTGGCTATTTTCAGTATTGCAGTCTCCTATCTCTTACATTGAAGGCATTATGCCCAATGCAATGCGATCTGTGCAACTGAAAAAGCCCAGCACTGATCAGAATGGCATTGGGGCATAGAGGGTGACCCTCCAGGGTCTGTTCAGACCCTGGGGGGGGGAGCTCCCAAGCACCAGATCACTTGTGCTTGGGAGGCTTGAGAGGCTGTTTTTTTGATCGTACTGCATTGATATTTTAATATTGTGGTCCCTGAGGAAGTCCCATACTTTATAGAGGGGACGAAACGCGTAGGACCTCTATTTGTATCTATTTTATATTTTTATACAATTAAAGCCACTTTTTTCATATCTTCACCCGGAGTCCTGCATTTTGAGTGCCACCCCCATATCATCAGGGGTGGCACCATATACGCCTGAACTGTCCAATATCCTGTGAGTGCATTTCATATTGCGCAGTGTTAATATTGTAAAACTGTGTATTACACTATACTTCTTTTTATTCATCTCCATTTAGATAATCAGCCGGTTCCCTAGTTGTGTTTTGTATATTAAGATATGGTTGTTTTGTTGCGGTCCCTTTAATTTAAAAGTGCAGTAATGTCTGAGTTTGCACTCCTGATCTAAAAGACCTATTTAGAAGACTACAATCAAGCAGCCAGGTTAAGATTAAGGGGCCAGCAATTTCTTAAACAAAAAATATATTTTTATAGGCAATCTCGCACTAAGGCTAGTTCAGACATGCACACTTTATGGGATATATCCGCTGTTCATATTTCTGCATTTAAAGAAAGCAAGTAATGAAAATTGTAGGAAAATAGAGTGGAAAAAAATATATACTCCAACGAAACTTTATTCTGATTGTTTATTTGGTGTTGGTTGTGTTTTGTTTTGTTTGTTTGTTTTTTGGGGTGTTGTTTTTTTTTTTTTGTTTTGTTTTTTTTTTAGTCTAAATTCATAAAATGAGAGTTTAACAACGAGAAATTTTGAAATTGGAGTCATGACTGAAAGAACTCCAAGTCCGTATTTCTCAGCTTGAATACTGAATAACTTGAATACCTGAAATATAAAATTTCCTTTTCAATTCTGTAAAATTCACAGTTTAAAAACTAAACATTTCAAGTGACCATCAAAAAGAATAGAAAAGTACACTGATGGAAGCTGCCTTGTATTTGTACTTACTAACTTATTTTAAGACAAAAAAAAGACAGATTTCTTTTAATATATGTTTGTATACTTGATCTTTTTATTTATTGTGCATATTTCTTTAATAATGCATTTAAATCGGCACTGTCATGCTGAACTTACCTTTCTTTAATCGATTCCTCTTCCTCCCTCGGTCAGGATCTGTTCTTCATTTCTTCCTGTCTGCTCTAGTTTTCTTTGAAACATAACTACTTTGTCTTATGGAGGTTTCAAATTATGATTGCTCACTGCTCACTATGGCTGCTCACTGTTTACTAGACATGCCCCTACTCGCGGTATAGCAAGTAGGGGCAGAATTTACTAACATTAAGTAATCTTTACTTTGTATTAGTAAATTTGGCTGAAAGACCAATTTAGGTCTTTCAGCTTTTTGGTAGATCGCTCCCTGATACCGTGGAAATTAGGGAGTTATCTACTAAGTGGCTGCAAGATGCAGCCGCAGCGCAAGTAGGATTGGAGTTTCATTTAAATTAAATTCCGAAACAAATTCCCGAATTGCGTCCTAACACGAATGGAGAAACTGTTCTCATTCTGTTAGGACGAAATTCGGTATTTTCGCCGGCGTTCTGTCGAAGTGACAGGACGTTCGGGAAAACAAACAGGAAGCATCGCAAGATCACAGATCAAAGGTGAGAACTGTGGGAAAATTGCTTTGATCACAAGAAATGAAGCACACTTTGCTCCTCAGCTGGTCAAAGCTGGTCAAGTGTAGGAAACCTCCATAAGACAAAGTAGTCCCTACTTTTGTCTTATGTTTTAAAGAAAATTAGAGCTGACAGAAAGAAATGAAGAACAGATCCTGACAGAGGGAGAGAAGAGAAATTGATTAAAGAAAGGTAAATCCAGCATGACAGTGCCGCTTTAAGAAAAAAAAAGTTTCAGCTCTGGAGTGCCCCTTGTGGCATACTTTTTAGTTGGTTTACAGCACATTAGTCACACACACACACACACACACACACACACACACACACACACACAAAAAAAACTATTGAACTTTTCCAAGCTGGAATCTGTACATATCATGTGGTGTATTTTCTGTTTTGTGGTTTTTTTGGAGGTGGGGGAGTGACTTGCAATTAGGAGTATTGTAGTTTTAAATCCTAGAAAATGTAATAATACTGCTACTTGTTGACCTGAAATTATAAAATCATATGCATGGATACGGATTACAAGACCACCTTCTGGTAGGTAAACATTTAGTTTAGAAACAGTGTATAGGCTAAATTGATGGTTTGAGTAGATCACTCACACAGCATTTTAAAATGTATTAAAACTTGCGAGTTGATATACTTTGCACAGGTAAAATATATTCACATAAAGAAACACCAAAGTCATGTTGTTGCGGCGGATGCCCTTTAGGTCTAATGTATTATTAAAAGGGACTAACTCCATTGTTTCTAATTTACTTAGTTAACAGTGTTCACTTAATTTGCTAGTTAACAAATCCTGAAAATGGCTTAATCATCTAACATATAGTTTCAATTATTCTAGAACACTTTTTTATCATTCCCTGTTGCAAAGCTCTGTAAAATACACAACCTCTTCCTAAATAAATTGAAAATAACTTTACAGTAATCATTTTTATATTTTCACAAGGGCCAGATATAAACAGATGTAGCTTTGTTCACAAATGTGGGAGGGAAAAGTAAAGGTTCCAAGAAATCTCAGGGCTGCATTTGCCTGCCTACAGTTTTAATGTGAATAAATCAATTGCTCCTTATCAACGCATTGTTTAAATTTATCAAAATCCAGTTTAAATAGCTTTAAAATGTGTAAATTCTTGGCACCATGCTTTTTAATACATTAATGGACACCTGTCGGCCCAAATCAACTAATGCATTTTATGTACATTTATGATGGCAGGTTTGCTAGTAAATGTATAGTTTTGGGGAAAAAAATCTATTTAAAAGTATGTCTTTCTCTCACCTACCAATCATTTTTTTCAGGCATAGACTCCATGATAAAGAGCCCTCCCACAGACTGCTTTTTCTGCTTTCCAAATCATAGCAACCGGTTATGGTTACTCCCTAGATGACGCTGTTTTAGCAGTACAGGAACAGAGTGAATAAATGTCACTCCTTTCAGGCACCCGCATGCTGGCAATGAAGCCAGTATGCCTGTCATGCAGGATGTTTGCCCTACTTGATAAAGCATCCCAAAGCAGGACAAATCGGTAAAGACTGTGGGAGGAGTGAGAGTTGTACCCATCTCTGTAAAAATAATGTGGCGTTGAATCGGAGGGTAAGGTAATTGCTTGACAGATTGCCTTGAGGTCTTCTGAATTGCAGGTTGTGTTAATATTTTTTTAGGAACAGTTTTTAATTGTTTTAAAAATAGAAGTTTTGTGATATTCACAATCTTCATCTACATCTATATGAATGTTTTAGGAAATAATGATGTTTTGTTACAAGAGCACTAAACAAAGAAGCGTTAAAGTGTTCACCCGTGCAATGAGATCACTACCTATGAAGTACATAGTGGCACAAATTCTCTTTGAAGCTAAGTACTGGAGAGTATAAACCAGAAAACACAGGAGTTACAAGGTAGACGAGATAGTTGAGATTCATAGTGAAGTTAGTTAGCCAACAGTCAGGGAGCAAATGAACACTAGAGAATGCACTAGCTTTAAGTCTCTAAGTGAGTCCATGCACTTTGTAAAATGGAAACAGACGACATTCTTAACACATAATGCATTTCAGAAAGCTGAAGTGCTCTAGTAATCTGTAGTGTTCTGCACATGCGCATTCTAGCATCTCTCTTTAAGTAGTTTTTTATTTAACCCCTTAAGGACACATGACGGAAATATTCCATCATGATTCCCTTTTAGTCCAGAAGTTGTGTCCTTAAGGGGTTAAGCGCTGCCTTTTCAGAGGAAGGCAGTGTTTACATTGTTGCCTAATAATGTATTTAGAGCAGCTAACTACAAGGTAGCCACAGTTGACACAATTAGCAGTGAGCCCGCACACTGGTGATCCTGGCTTGGACTAAACGTGAATAGACTGACCACAGACTGGCTGAGACTCTTGTTGCATGTCTATATGCAGCTTATCAATTTCGCTTGCTGATTGTGCATTGTTATTTAATGTTTAGTTCTATATTGCTTATACTGCCACTAGAGGTGCTTCCTGTGTCAGTGCTTCAGTGTGCAGCACCTACCTTCAGAATTTCCACGCTCTGCATGGAAATGCTGAATGCTCCCCATAGACATGCATTTATTCAATGCAACACTATGAAGAGTTGCTGATTGGCGCAGTACTACGTTATGCTGCACATGCACACTAGCCTCCCATTGTTTTCTTTTGGGAAATCATTGGATTGGCTGAGAGTCTGTGTTCCATGTCTGTGTTCCTGATACTATATAGTGTTCCTTTAAGCTTTTAATAGTTTCAAATGTAACAAGGCAAGATAAAACACATGTAATGGAGTCCTGTTTTTAATATAAGTAAATGTCCTTAACAAAAATGAGAGGACAAGCATATGTTTCATTTATAGGTTACTCTGTAGAATAGTGAACTTGCTGTTGTGTAGGATAAGATCACAGGTACTCTCAAAGCTATGTAGGTACTGGTACACTGCAAAATAATGTATAAACGAATATCTGATACAGGTGCTCACTATGTATTTAAATAATGGCTAAAGGCTGCAGTTTATCACACAAGTATTCCCCAACCTTGTGAAAACACAAAATGGACAAAAACAGACAATAGATAACCTGCGTCTTAAAACCTTTAAATCTTTGGGTGAGATCACACACAAAATGCAAATACATACATTTATTAACAAGGTCTTGTTTGTTGTAGATATCTCTAAAAGAAAAAAGGAACAAACAATATTAGTGCAATACGTTTAAAAACAAACAAACAAAAAAAACTTACCGAATAACCTTTTGTAACAATGGCACACTTACACTTTCAAGAGCTACTGAGAGCTCTGCTGATATTGACGTGGACGGTACAATATGTTCAACATTAGTGATGGTATTTCTTCAATAAAGTACAATATATGGAGACATATACGGAAACTTCCAATAACGTAATATGTATGATGAAACTCAAAATAAACTAGTGATGGGTATTCTTCTTACATTTAGTAGTGTATGAACCTGCTCTGGTATGGTGGAGCATTGGTGGTATAATCCCCACCTGTGATATGCAGGACCAACATGTAGGAAAAACCAGAAAGTACAAAGTAAATTCCAAATAAATAAAATTTACAGGGAAAAACTTTTATTCCAAAAATAACAAACAGAAAAAATATAATATAAAAACTATCCAAATCTGGCTAAAAACCACACTTAACACCTTTCACCGTGGGGTTTCTTCATAAGTGTGACATTCATTTGTGAAGAGTCTGTTTATACAAGTAAAGTCTTAGTATTCACAGGTGTTTGTAAAAGGTTCTCATTGGCTTCCTGGAATACTTCCAGTTTTCGGACATAAACCGGAAGTGACACCGTTAAATACGTCTATAATTGGTACATCCAGCAAACGTATGTAAATCAGTGTAATCCAGTAAAGGTGTCCGCCTATCTTGCTTGAAAATCGGTCGGTACAGCCATAATTCGAAAATGGCGCTGTACCTAGAGGTTCGTATGCGTGGCAACGGCAAGTCACCATGCATGTCTAAAGAGGAGTACTGTAGGTGGAGCAGCAAGTGGGTTTCCACAAGGGCTTCATACGATTACGCTTTCCATGAGAAAGTCTAGCGTGTTGAAAAACCTTATGTGCGCTTGCCAGGTTTTCCCTATAGACTTATGTCGGAGGAGGAGAAGTTCGACCCAGAGCTAGGACACCTCTGCACTGGAATGTGTTTTTTTTTTTTTTAACTCTTTATTTGTTGGGGTGAGAGGCACTGTAGTTTTAGGAATATAGCTTTGTATTCCTAACACTATAATGTTCCTTTACAAACACCAATTTACTCGATTTGTGCCCAAATCCATTTCAGTTTAAAAAACAAACAAAAAAAAAAACTCCCCTTAATCTATTCCTGATCAAATTGATCCATCTGGGATTTACCTGCAGAGTCTTACCGTATATACTCGTGTATAAGTCGATCTCATGTATAAGTCGAGTGCAGTTTTGTGACCAACAATTGTGAAATATGCTATGCCTCGTGGATAAGTCGAGGGTAAAACTTGGGGCTATGAAATTCTGTGATTTTTATAATTATATACACATACACACTCATACAAACACACACTCTGCATTATATATATACACACTCTGTGGCTAGGGCTGTATAAACAGAAAGTGATTTAACTCCTAAATGACAGTGAATTGAGCAGTGAAATTGCAGTGGAATGATCTATACACTAAAACTACTTTAGCTAAAGTAATTTAGGTGACTATAGTGTTCCTTAAAAAAACAAAAAGGTTTTTTTTTTTTTTTTTGTGTGTGTGCGTGTTCAATGGATAATCTGTGCCAGTGTGGGTGATCTGTGTTTCTTATCTCTATCATATTCTAGACAGAGACATTAAATTTAGAAATCAGCACCTCTATATACTGCTACTCGATAACTTTCAGTCAGTCATTTGTTGCAATCTCTGTCCTTTGCACCTTGCAGTCAGCATTGAGAAACCATACAGAGAAGATAAATTAGTCCATGCTCATTTATAATATAATATAATAGCAAAGTGTTTAACCAGGAAAGGTTCATATAGATATTCTCTGGTTTCCAAGTATGTCCTGTAGATTTTTTTTTGCCCAACATCCAGGGGATGTTACGATTACCCAATTTTATGGTGGTCCTTTTTTCTACCTCGGAAAGATGAAGGGCTGAGTCATCCCTGCTAAGAATTGAATCTACAACCCCCAAGGGGTGCATTTACTCTAAGGTATGTTTCTTTTAAAGCCCATTTTTATGAAGAGGGATTCACTGATTGGCTGAGTGTGTCAGCTGACCGCACTCAGCCAATTGGAGTTGCTGCTGCCCGTTTCTGCAAGAGCCTTTCGGTTTAGAGATTTTTAGAAAACGGAAGGGCAAAGAAGGCAGATTTGGCGCTCGAACAAAGTACGGTTTAATCCCATTATGGTGCCAAGAGGTCCCTGGTGCTGACTTAACTTAATTTCAATGAAGTTGTTATGGTGCCTGCAGTGTTTCTTTTAAGCCACAAAAAAAACTGACTCCTTGGGCTGTAGCTTTTAATTATTTGTTAATACAGAGTTGTGAATGAGAGCTATCAGTGATCAGCTGCATCCTGAAATGTAAATTGCTGAAAGACTTGATTAATGCTCTCTGCCAGAAGCTCTGAAAACCTTGTCTTCTTTGCTGACCTACTTATACAGCTTCCTACAGTGGTGGATGCTGTTAGAGAGTGAATGCTGGCAGAAACCCAGGAATAAATTATACTGCTATAGGACTTAGCACATTTTATTTTTAATTCTTAAGCAATGTGGCGTAGTGTAAAAAATACCTGCAATGGCTTGTGGTGCCGAGCTGGAATGAAATCTATTTGTAATTAGGGGTGGTGTCCATATATGTCACTCTAGAAATAAATGCTTCCGAACATGCTATTTTGGGTTGAGAATATTAAAAGGATTCCAGGACCCGGTTTGCCACTAGACAGAGTAAGCACCTGCCTACAGGAGCACCCCTGCACTTTTGTGTCTTTATGGAGCTTATCTGGGCTGGTAAGGAGGGACGAGTACAAGGCTAGTGTCCCATGGGGGACTTTCCTGTGCAAAATGTCCTATTTGGCACTATGGAGAAGGTGTGTATGTGTGTGTGTTGCAGTAAAACCTATAACATAAAGATTGTATTTAACTGGAATCAAGGGGCCACGTGCATCCTAATCACAGGCTTCTCATTGATTCGACAATTTTGCCGGATCAGAGCGCATGCACGAGGACTGTCGAATGGAGAGGAGTGAAGGGACTTAAAAAAAAAAAAAAAAGGCAACGTAGGGAGCACAATGTGTGTGGGAGGGGATAGCAATCTTCAGCAAGGGGGAACATTTTTAAGTCCATTAGCAGCGTACAGTGCGCACAGACACATTTTAGAGTTCTGGGCTGCCAGTGTCAAGTATGATACAGCTTTCACCCAGCACACAATTACAATTATTTCCGTATGTGCTGTGTTTCAAGCGGAAATCACTGAAGTGGTCATGGTGGTGGGACTAACCCTTTGAAAGCAGAAATACAGGAACTGTTATAGAGGGTATAAAACTTGGTGCTGTCCTACCTCCTCCAGTGTTAGTGTCTGATTCTGGGCAGGAAGTTATAGGGATCATTTCCATCTGCTTGCAGAAGGCGCAGTGATAGCACTGAATGTAACAGGGTGAGGGTGACTGATAGAAGATAAAGGTGGGTGAGTACTTTGCAAATACAGCTTCAAACTCAAAAAAACTCTCCTTAGCCCTGAATTTAAAGGGATACTCTCTTACCCAAATGTAAAATCATTTTGTTAAATCACTTTTTAGGAGATATACCCCAATGGCAACTTAGAATAATTTTTAATTATACAGCTCAGGGTAAAGTCTTTACAAGGCAGCTGCTCTGGACAATTGCTGCCTCTTGAATTTAGCTCCACTGAGCTAACCAAATCAAGAATTAACAGGACATGTCTGCTTCAAAACCAAGGGGATTTAACCAGTTTATATAATAAAAGCACCAACTTCTATTGAAATCTGCACTTTTTACAAAATGAAAAAGACATGCTCTTGACACATAAAGCTTTTCAGCAAGGTGCTTTATGAGTTTGGAGTGTTTCTTTAAGCACTCAAAGCCAAACCTGCAGTGTCCCATTAATAAATTCAATAAACTCACTTCATCTGCCTTTTTATGAAGGGAGGGAGGAGAAGGGCGCCTCAGAATTCTGGTCCTATAGGCACCTGACATGTAAATCCGGCCCTGTTTTTATTCCATGGCATTCTGATTTTAGATCACTCTGTTATAATCTCCACAATATAATATGCTTATCATGCAGTGCCAAAAAATACTGATTGCTTTTAAAGAAGTAGTCCCATTTAAACAATAATGTAATTGCAGCACAGCTTAAATCTTGGCAACGCTTTCTGAAATAAATATTTAAATTGTGTTGAAGGAATTATGCAGCATTGAATTAAGTAGTGTTAAGTTGCTTTATATGAAATGATTTAATAAAGTAGTTAACAAATGCGTGGTTTGTTTTTTTGCTTCAATATGTTTTGGTCTTTTAGGGGTTACTTTTCCTCTCTTTTTGGTTTTGTTGAAATCATGTGTCATTGGACAGACTACTTCCAATCTATACACTCCAATATTAATGCAGCAGTTTAAAAAGCAATTTGTGTACTTTAGGTATCACTGAACAGCCATATATGCTCACCATTTCTGTCCCTATTCAGAGTTTTAGTATGCCTTCTGTTTATACAATGTTAATCTTTACTTTTTATGGCACTACGAAATTCAACATGGTCGGGGTTTTGTTTTTTTATTATAACATTAGACAGGGGTGATGCTTAGGAGCCCTAAATGCCGAAAAAGGGGACTAAATAAACATCCTGATAATAGATATGTGAGCATCTGCTAATTAGACTGCAGATCTAATGAAATCTTAGCAGGATGATAGCATGGTAATCCGCTGTAAGAATTGAAAGTAAGTAGGTTGCTGTTCTCAGTAGAGCATCATCGATCAAAGGTTTTCCCTTTACAACTTCCCCTTCCCCCAACATCGCTTCTCTGTGACACTGAGAAAAAAAGAAATTTGCTGTTATCAGCAATAAAGCTCAGGTCTTGTGTGCCTGTGATCAGTTAGTGTTGAAGCATTGTTACTGATGTGCTATACTGGGCATTTTGATCAATGTATGTAATAAACCTGTATCCCAGCATGGGTTCCTCAGAGACTGCAATGGGCAATTCATGACAAGGTTTCACAGGAAATGAGGATACAGTATAGGAAGTTATATCTTTATAATTATTGATATAGCAGAATAATATATTTATGCAACAAAATAATTACTGCTAAGGGAAACTCACAGGTTATCCATAAATCTTCTGAGTAGTTTAAAAAATTTTTTTTTTTTTAAAATACATATATGCAGTATAATCATATGGCTCGCTGGCCAGTGCTTGATAGCCAGTCGTCACATTAAAAAAGTGGATAAAGCATCCCTTAAACCTCTTATGCTGCCATGCCGTGGGTGGGGTATGGCTACTAAACAGTGAGCTGCTTGACAATGGCTGCCCAGTCACCAGTTTATAGTTGCAGCAAGCAGCTCACTGTTTAGTAGTCATGTCCTATACACAGCATGGCAGGTGGCGGCATAAGAGCGGTTCAAGTGAGGCTCTATTTATTCACTTTTTTTTTTTATGTCACGGCTGTCTAGCAAGCACTGGCCAGCGAGCCATATGATTATACTGCATATATGTATTTAAATATACGTATGCATATTTTTTTTACAAATTGAGGGACCTGCCTGACTGCCTGTGCAGAAAGTCCAGAGAACTTAATTTGCAAGCCCTATATTTAATCTTGTAACTTTCCAAAACACCTCAAAACCTGTTCATGGTGGGTATTGTTTTCCTTGTCAGACTTCGCAAAGTTTAGGTACAGTTAGGTATAGATAAATTATATGGGCCTATTTTTCATTTCGGTGCCCAATAGTAAACCAACAGGTGGCACTGCAAATTCTCCACAACCAAATCCACCTAGTTGGTAGAGAGCATCAGCAGCACAGTAGAGCACCTAAGACATTTAACAAATAATACATACACTGTACCTATAATGGGCAAAGGGTGACTTGGATATTAGACATATCTAGGATATCACAAGATGTGTTCAAACTTTACAGACTCCCTACAGCAAATCCAGTCGCACTTAATCCCAGCTCAAGGGAGAGCAACTCTGGGGGGAAATGAAGGCCAGCAGTTACTAAAATTGCTGCCATAGAGAAGGGCAGAGTTTATATCATTTCAGCAATCGTAACTGCTATGGCAGAGTGATCCTCAGACTGGAGTATTTAAAGGAAAGCTCTGTCCAAAAATGCATTTCCACCCACTTTTTCATATAACTTACTTCATTCTTAGTGCTAGACATTGTCAAATCAAATGCTTCTTATTGAGATGGCTATTTATGTTTTAAGGATTATATATATATATATATATATATATATATATATATATATATATATATATATATATATATATATATATATATATATATATATATATATAGTTAATACAATGCTAAACAAAAATCTGCACACCAGTCAAGCCATAAGACTTGCTTTTCCCACAGAAATCCCAAATCAGCAGTGATGTTACAACCGCAAAGGATTCTGGGTGGGCATATGCAAATTAGTTTAACAAAGAATCACATTTTTGCCTCATTCCATTTTAAACATGGATTCCTTTTAATTTGTGTTTGCAGTATACAACTGCTTGGAACACAATTTAGGATAAGATGCAAAACCAGTGAACCACTCATGGACAGCTGTTTCGTTGTTAATGCAACTCTTCAGCATGAGGTTGGTTACTGGTTTGCTAATTGAGGCTTGGTAGTGCTTGGGAAGCAAAATCCAATGCTTAGTAGGCTTGCAAACCATAATATACCTATGCTAAGATATATATTAATACGAAACATATATGATATATATATATATATATTATCCATATGGAATAAAATATATATATATGCCCACCCAGAATCCTTTGCGGTTGTAACATCACTGCTGATTTGGGATTTCTGTGGGAAAAGCAAGTCTTATGGCTTGACTGGTGTGCAGATTTTTGTTTAGCATTGTATTAACTATCCACATACTTCAGGTGGAAGGGGTTTTCAATCACAATTTTTTCCCCACCATAACCTATTTGGATTTTGCTTCCCAAGCACTACCAAGCCTCAATAAGCAAACCAGTAACCAACCTCATGCTGAAGAGTTGCATTAACAACGAAACAGCTGTCCATGAGTGGTTCACTGGTTTTGCATCTTTTCCTAAATTGTGTTCCAAGCAGTTGTATACTGCAAACACAGATTAAAAGGAATCCATGTTTAAAATGGAATGAGGCAAAAATGTGATTCTTTGTTAAACTAATTTGCATATGCCCACCCAGAATCCTTTGCGGTTGTAACATCACTGCTGATTTGGGATTTCTGTGGGAAAAGCAAGTCTTATGGCTTGACTGGTGTGCAGATTTTTGTTTAGCATTGTATTAACTATCCACATACTTCAGGTGGAAGGGGTTTTCAATCACAATTTTTCCCCACCATAACCTAATTGGATTTTGCTATATATATATATATATAAAGACATTCATACTACTGTTTTTAAGGCGTTTTTTCATCTATTAAAATTGTGACATTGTAATCAATAAGATGTAGTGGTTATGGTGCTTAGTGACTACTTTGGTTCACTCCCCTTATTTTTTAAACCATTCTATTAAAGAGGTAATTCTCACCTTTCTGCATATGTACCCATGTGTATAACAGTAGATCCAAAGATCCAGTGAATTCGTCTAAGCAAAATTGTTCAGATAGGTTTTTACTTACTGCTTAATCTTTATGATGTTTCTGTTTTCAGTATCTGATCAGAACTCCTACTCAATGTGTTTTTTTTTTATTTATTTTTTTGTAAAATAACAAACGTGATGTGCACCTTTTATTTATTTTTTATTTTTTTATTTCTTCTCAAAACACCATTGTTCCACCTGTTACTGCATTATCTGTGAATGCTATAATTGATGATGTGATGGACAATGTAGTTACCCAGTTAGCTTTGAAATGTGTTCATAGTGGAGAATGGTTATTTAAATGGCATTTTATAGATTGTTCTGTTTCTACAGGTTTATATAGGAGCCAGGTGAAAACGTAACCAACTCTGCTTGATCATCTCTGGTGTCCAGAGATCTGGACACTTATGTGGAGTTTGCATTACTTAGAAGATTGCCTGGGGAAGTCTGCAGAGAGGAGTAAAGCAGATAAACCAACTGCTTTAAGATCCATCCATCAGCATGGTAGGTAATGTCAGTTTTCTGGCAGTTAACATTAGTTCATTAAGTTTTAGCTCAATTCACTGCCATTTAAGAGTTAAATCACTTTTGTGTCTGTTTATACAACCCTAGCCACACCTCCATGGATGTGACTGACACAGCCTGCACGAAAAAATGCATTTATTTTCAGTCAGATGTAAACTTACTTGAAAAGTTATTTCCTGCTCTGTAAATTGAACTTTAAATTACATACAGAAGGCTCCTGCAAGGTCTAGCAAGCTATTAACAGAGCAGGAGATAAGACATTCTAAATTAAACAGAATTTGCAATAAAGGAAGTGTGAACATTAGATTACTCTTTACAGGAAGTGTTTAGGAAAGCTGTGTAAGTCACAAGGTGTGACCAAGACTGCATAAACAAAGGGATTTAACTCCTTATTGGCAGAGAATTGAGCACTAAGACTGCAGGGACATAATTAATACACCAAAACTACTTCATTAAATTGAAGCTGTTTTGGTGACTATAGTGTCCCTTTAGAAAACGACTAGTACTGTAACACTATTGAAAAATATATATTTTGCAGAGGTCCAAGGTGATCTTCATTAGTAAATAATAATAATTTTTTTTTAATCATATTGGTGATCCAAATCAGCTTTCTTCTCATTTGAAATTTTAAAAGAAACGATTTGTTTGCAATCCTCCTTCGTGGCAAAGTGCATAAACACCAACTGAGTCTACCCTTGAGTCAGTAGTTTGTATGTAAAAAATATACTTTGTATTCACTTCTAAATTTGTTCTGTATTTCAAGCTGTTTTAATGTCCATGTCAGTAAGGGTAAGCAACTGGTTTTCTGTTGATTATCACAAGAGAACTACACTGGAATGAGTCAGGGGTACCCAGGAACCATCGGTAGATGAGTACTACCTGAAAGGGCCCAAGATGAAAACCGAAGCAGTAGGGTTCTCTTCATCTGATAGTGGACTAACCAAGCTGAGCAGAGATTGCTGCTCAGTGGTTTGTGGTATCATGCAGGGTCCTATCAATTGTGCTGCTGGAGCACAGGTTAGGTAACCTTTGGCACTCCAGATATTTGTGGACTACATCACCAATGATGCTTTGCAAGAGCCATAATGCCAGGAGATATCCTCCCAGGCACGCTGAAATCTTCCTTCACACTAAATCCTTTAAGAGATACCTGTCAACATATCTCAGTGCCTGTAATCATGCACCTGCAATCATGGTTGATTATATTTCCTACTTGTTCTGTGTTAAAAATTTATGTGTTTTATTATTACTTTGGATTTTTATTATTATACTGCACACTATTGTAACAATACAATGCTTTTAGGACCAGGACATACTTGCAAACAGAAATCTCAATGTATTTGTCCTAGTAAAATACATTATAAATGAATAAATGTCATGAATCAGAAGTACAAAATGGGGGTCAATGGAAGATCCTTTGAGACAATGTGATCAACCATGCACAGGCAGATGCTGTAGGTATATGTTATATCATATTAGCTTTTTCATTAATATAAGTATATAAAAAAGTGACAGTGCCGTCATATGGGTTTACTAGAAAATATTATTTTGGTAAACACTCCCCAGACTTTTTTTTTTAATGCAAACCTCTCTGCCTCATTGTCAGAACTATTGCACAGTGATTTCAATTGTTTACGTTTTTTTCTTGTATTTTTTTTAAAAAAATCCTTCCTAACCAATATTCCTAAAACAATAATTACAAAGTCTTTCTACATTTTATATATTTTTGTAAATTTTCTTTTTAAGAAAAATGTTCAATATTCAAAACCTATAAGCATAATAAAATAATGGGACACGCAGACCCATAATGTAAAAACGTAAATGCCGCAATTGTGACTAAAACTTTATTCAGCTGCTCAAACACCACGTCTAAAAACACACATTAATTCAACCAAATTATTTATGAATAGGTGGAGCTATAAAGTAATCTTGCTACCTTTATATAATGTATAATTACACACTAATTTACCACTACAAAGTGACTTATGCTGATATAAGGGAATACGAAACAGAGGCTTGAGGTGTATGGCAAGTATGCAAAGCGTGCACCCTAAAGAGGCTCCGCTACTTTTTGTGACAGAGCCATTCAATGAGGCACTGTTTATTTTAAGGGATAGATTTACACTTCTCACTGCACTCTTGTAAAACAGTATTTACATGGTATTGCTGCATTGACTTTCTACAAACTGACTCAAAGCCCTTATCTTTTTGGGCTGATACAATTGCAACAACATATCTATAGTATCTGATAGACTTTGCAACAATGCCTAAATACTGGCTCACTGTGGGGCTTTTTGATATTATTGTCCACACATAATCTCCTCTCCATTTACTACCCTTGACTTAAATGAAAGAGAGAGCTCTCTCTGTATTATGTTGCTTATGCTAGGAGCTACCTTCTGGGGGATAGGGGCTTATTGATTAGGACTGTCTGGACATTCTTTTCTCTGCTTACACACAGAATATGTTTCCACTTCAAACATTGACCATATTTATGTTATTAAAGTCTAGAGTCTGGTGAAAAGGGGAACTACTAAGCGGAGCAATAGTCATTTGGCTTTGGTTATGTTTTTTCTTTTTTCTGTTCTTGAACATCACATTTGTTATAGAATGAGTTTGATAAGCATTTATCCATTTATTGTTTCATTCAATATTATTTCTTAGCGATTAATAGGATATCCATTTATCACTCTCCTCCTGGGTCATTTCCAGCGGAAAGAGTGTTTTCTACCGTTATCATTTTGACAGGGGTTAAGCCCCAAGACACCACTGGAGTGTCTGTTTGGTGATACAATTCATTAGCGGGGAGGCCAGATTTTCTGACAGCCACCACTTAGGAACTGTCTGTTTAGCATCTGTAGTGCTCCAACTTTTCATAAATAGTTTTGTAGAAAAGCTTGAGATTTGAGAATTTGGATTTAATATGACCTAATATGTAACATGTATTTTTTTTTTTCCCCCTCACCACTTCCCACCCTCCTCTACTCCTGCCCACCCAGGTTCCCCCTAAATATGTAGTATGCTCCTCCAGCTGTTTGAGATTCTCACTCAATTACCTTTTTATTCTGTTTACATTTTACCAATAGCTGCTTCTCTCTGTTAACTCTTGTAGCCATCACCTCCAAATTTCCCTGCTACCTTTTGTCTCAAATCCCCATTGTATCCTTTAGAGTGTAAGCTCACAGACCATCTAGCTAAGCACTTTGTATAAAATAGCTTCAATGGTTAGTTATCCGCTTACGGGCAGGGCTCTCTCTACCTCTTGTATTTGTCTGTGTATATTGTACTTTCGCCACTAATTGTACAGCGCTGAAGAATCTGTTGACGATTTATAAATGCCAGTAATAAATAAATAATATTATATTGCTGTTTTATAGAGCAGGTATTTTGAGATTTCACAGTCGGGAGAAAGCAATGCATCATGATGTGACCTACTTTAAAAATGATTTAGTGATGGCAAAATGAATTACTGGATATTCCAGCAGTGTTGACAGTGGTATGCTAACTTAAACAAAATATGTATAAACCCCACCTAATGCCAACCCATCAGAAATCAAATAAAGACAAAATCCATTCTTTAATATATGCTGGATTAAATGATAAACAAAGTTAATATTTAATACCCTAAGGGCACAGAAACCAGACATAAAATATTCCCATTCTAGCTGGTGTAGGCATACCAACAAAATAGGAATTCCAGGAACCCATTCAAATGTGAAGCTGCCCCCTCGTGGGATACTTGCTTTTCTCTTCAAATTAGAAAATACATCAATTTTTGTTGTTACTTTATGGATTTTAAGCAGTAAAAATAAGTTCAGTCTTTTAACCCAAACAACAGTCTTGCACCTATCGGTGAATTTCCTGAAATAAAGAAAGTGCAAGAAAAACCCCACAGTGCATTCTTAAACATATTTGCTAGTAATGTGTACATACGTTCATATTAAAATGTTGGCAAGAGGGCTGAGAGAAGAGGAACTGAGCTGCACATATCTCTTTAAAGACAAACAGAAAACCTCTAGTCTGTGAAGAACAAAAGTAGTAGTATTTATATAGCTGCAACATTAGAAATACACAATAGAAAGGAAAAGGGCGCTGTACACAAAATACTAAAACTGATGCAGCTTAAAAACACCTCGGTGTACAGTCACTTATTACACCAAATGAAAGATATAGTGAAAGAAAAAAAAAAGGTGAAAGCGCACAAACAGTGGAATATTTTACCTTTAAAATCTTGTATAGGTCCTATTTTCAGCAACAGACAGGAACTGTGGACCCTATATATAATATATAAAAGAAAACAACATAGTGTATACTGTTGAAACCTATTTACAATATGTGGAGAATAAAAAAGGTTCACTCACACTTTCCAGAGCCACATAAGTTAGGCTCTGGACTGTAAAGATATTTCATCCACCAAGGGATACACTGGATCTGATCCTCCTCTTAGATGTTTGTAATAAGTTTTTCTTAGCAGGAACTCAGGAAGCAGGTAAGGTGAAGTGTTAAAATAAACATTTATTTAGTATAAAATAAGAAAAGCAGAAATGGCTGACACAGCAACTAGCACAACGCGTTTCGACCCTCCAGGGTCTTTTTCAAGTGCAGTATATCCTCTCATTTGCTGACCCACCTATATATGCCTCCAAGTTACCATATTGGAGACAGGTGTAGCAGCAGGAAATGGTAATTGAATGTCCATATTTGGTCTTTGCAGGAAGCATCTCACCACCACTAAGATGGTGGTGCTTCCTGTTTTGGCATACATTTAAAAAAAAAAAAAAACTTCCTGTTTTTACATATATAAATAAATAATAAAAAAAGACTTCCTGTTTTTACA